GGGGTCAAAATTGGGGGATTGGGCGGGGGTCATTGATTCTTTATTTGTATATAGTAAAAACTAAAATATATCTTCTTTTAAAAAGCCCAAACTGCTAAAGCTTAGATTTTAAGCATGAAACATCTTCTAGGCGGTGTCTACCAATTTATTCAAATGAAAGCCCTGGGGTAAAAATTGGCCCCGCCCAGGGGGTCATTGATTTTCCTTATTTGTATATACATGTAGTAAAAACTTGAAAAATCTTCTTTTAAAAACTGCAAAGAGCTAAAGCTTAGATATTTAGCATGAAACATCTTCTAATGGGTGTATACCAAGTTTGTTCAAATAAGGGCCCTTGGGGATAAAATTGGCCCCATCCCAGGGGTCATTGATTTTCCTTATGTGTGTATAGTAAAAACTTTAAAAAAAAATCTTCTTATAAAAAACCCAAAGAGCTAGAGTTTATATACTAAGCATGAAATATCTTCTAGTGAGTAGTGAGTGTCTACCAAGTTTGTTTAAATAAAAGCCCTGGGGTCAAAATTAGCCCTTCCGAGTGGGTCGTTGTTTTTCCTTATATGTATAAAGTAAAAACTTTAAAAAAATCTTCTTATAAAAACCCCCAAAGAGCTAGAGCTTAGATATTAATAATGAAACATCTTCTGTTGGGTGTCTACCAAGTTTGTTCATATAAAAGCTCTGGTTTGAATCTGGCCTTGGCCCAGGGGCCTAACTACAGGTGAGCGGAAGGGGCGTCTGTGGCCGAATGGTTAAGGTCGTTGACTTCAAACCACTTGCCCCTCACCGCTGTTGGTTCGAATCCTGACAAGGACTTTGGATTCTTTCATGTGAGGAAGCTATCCAGCTAGCTTACGGAACGTCGTTGGTTCTACTCAGATGCCTGTTCGTGTCTGAAATAATGCACGGAAGGGCACCTGAGGTCTTCCGCCACCGGTAAAGCTGGAACGTCGCCAAATGACCTATACTGTGGCGATGTGACGTAAAACCCAAAACAAACAAACAGGTGAGCGATTTCAGGGCCATCGTAGCCCTCTTGTTATATTTTGTCATAATTTGCCTGAGTATCCCTTTAACAAAATTGAAATACAATAGCTGTATATTATATATTTTGTTAAAAAATACAACTATTATTACTTGTGGAGTAATAAATTGACACCCTGAGATGAAATTGAAACATTCGGCATCATTTCTGACAAAAACATATATGTTATGTTTTGTCTCATAATTAGAATGTCGGCATGATTTAAACATCTTCATTAATAACTCGTAAATGTTTCATGTTACAAGAAAGTTATTAAAATATTGTCTTACTGTTATTGTATTATTATTTTATTTACACGCAACAAGCCGCTTTATGAGTTGTGATAAACTTTAATGGGACTTCAAAGTATATTATTGACAGCAATTGTTTTTGTATCTTAGCAACACATTTGAAACATATATCAAAACTTTTTGAGATCAAATATCCATTCACTTACCTATTAATTGCAACCACATCAGATTGAAAATTAAATGTTTATGTTAAGAGCCATACGTTATCAAAATATCCCCTTACACCCAATAGTAGCATTTCCTTTGTTTAAATTTTAAAGCAGCACACCTACAGATTTTTTCAACAAATATTAAAAACTGTTTGAACACGTCACATGATGTGTGGTTAAGTGATTGAACAGTCTTGTACGAATTGAATAGAATAGAATAGAATAAAAATTGTATTATTTGGTTTAAGCATAACAAGCTTATCACCATATATTACGAGTAAATTTCGTCATAGTTTGCATAACAAGGGTAAGCTATAAGAATCAAAGAGGGATACTCCGACGGCCGTAAATTTGGCTTATAGTATCCATGTGACAGTCACACTTAAATTTGCTCTTATCATTTCAATTGGTCCCTTTTAGGGGTCAACAGTGCTAAGAATAGAATACATCTTCTACTGAACTAGTTGATGGATGCCTTCATTCTTAGGTATAGTCTTTTATCAAAATTGCTCATATTAATTTGATTTGCCCCTTTTACAAATTTATTGCTTGTGCCTTATACCTGTCAGTATTGCAGTAATTACCGTTAAAATATTTGTTCCTCACTATTTCTATGGTTTGACGTTCAAATGAAAAATATCTTCTTCTACTTTCTCTACGAACCTTAAAGCATCATATTTCCAGATTCATGCTAATTTTTATGAAAACGTATATAAAATGAGTTATTGTGACCTGAACAAAAAACCGTACATTGCAAATAACACGTGCTATCCAAGTAAATTACCAAAAATTCAAATATTTCAAAAAGCCTTTTCTGCGTTATTACGCAGTATAAATTAGGTGACAATACTCCAAAATTAGTTCTTAACCGCAAATATTACTTATAATAGTTTTTATGCCCACACAGAGTGGGAGCATATAGCGTTGCACTTGTCCGTCCGTCCGTCCGTCCGTATGTACGTCCGTCCGTCTGTCCGTACGCCCCGAAATCTTGTGAACGCAACTCCTCTTAAACCGGATGGCAGATTTTGCTTAAACTTTCAGGGATGAACAACCTCAATGTGTAGATGGTAGTAAAGGAAGGAATTTTCGCTGCGACCAAATTTAACAGAATTATGGCCCTTTGTTGATTGTTTCACTATATACTATGTAGAAATTTTGTGAACGCAACTCCTCTTAAACTGGATGGCAGATTTTGCTTAAACTTCCAGGGATGAACAACCTTAATGTGTAGATGGTAGTAAAGGAAGGAATTTTTGCTGCGACCAAATTTAACAGAATTATGGCCCTTTGTTGATTTTTTCACTATATACCATATAGAAATTTTGTGAACGCAACTCCTCTTAAACCGGATGGCAGATTTTGCTTAAACTTCCAGGGATGAACAACCTTAATGTGTAGATGGTAGTGAAGGAAGGAATTTTTGCTGCGACCAAATTTAACAGAATTATGGCCCTTTGTTGATTTTTTCACTATATACTATATAGAAATTTTGTGAACGCAACTCCTCTTAAACCGGATGGCAGATTTTGCTTAAACTTCCAGGGATGAACAACCTTAATGTGTAGATGGCAGTAAAGGAAGGAATTTTTGCTGCGACCAAATTTAACAGAATTATGGCCCTTTGTTGATTTTTTCACTATATACTATATAGAAATTTTGTGAACGCAACTCCTCTTAAACCGGATGGCAGATTTTGCTTAAACTTCCAGGGATGAACAACCTTAATGTGTAGATGGTAGTAAAGGAAGGAATTTTTGCTGCGACCAAATTTAACAGAATTATGGCCCTTTGTTGATTTTTTCACTATATACCATATAAATGTTGTCAGTGGGGGCATCCGTGTCCTTTGGACACAGTTCAAGTTTTACTTGAATCTTAAATCTTTACACTTTTATAAAAAAAAACTTCGTTGTTTTTTTTCCTCAAGTTTAATTTTCTTGTAATTTTTTTGGCTCATCTTGAAGTGTGCAGCTTTAATGTTAATCAACACACAAGGAAGATTTACGTGTGACATGTTTATGGGTAAATAAGTAAACACAAAAATATGCTCCCATTTGCTTTTGTCTTTTATTACCCTTCTCAAGATTTCATATCGAACAAACATTATAATTATATATGGTCTTCATTTAAGACCAGATATAATGCTTCTTCGGAGTAAATGAGCCGCGTCACGACAAAACCAACATAGTGCGTTTGCGACCAGCATGTATCCAGACCAGCCTGTGCACCCACGCACTCTGATCAGGATCCATGCTGTTCGCTTACAAACCCTATTACAAGTAGAGAAACTGATAGCGAACAACATGGATCCTGATCTGGTCTGGATCCATGCTGGTCGCAAACGCACTATGTTGGTTTTGTCGTGACGCGGCTCAAATGTTGTTCATTTTAAACACAGAAATGAATCCAGAATAAAAAATAAAGTTTTAAGAGAACACCAGTCGTAACTTATCTCTGTTTACAAATCATTAATTCTTCTAAGGATCTAAGGACGTGTATTTTGTACTTTCTCTAACCTTACACTGTTTTTTTCAATCTCCTACGCAGTGATGTCCCCATATCAATACAGTTAAAGACCCTGTTTGTTGTAATTGAGATTGTATACCACACTTAGGTGAAATTATATATACGTATATCAGTTTCTCTACTTGTAGTAGGGTTGGTAAGCGAACAGCATGGATCCTGGTCAGACTGCGCGGATGCGCAGGCTGGTCTGGATCTATGCTGGTCGCAAACGCACTATGTTGGTTTTGTCGTGACGCGGCTCATGTATACATTTTTTTCACGTGATAAGCATCTTATAGTTCTATTTCAGTTATACATCATTTTAAAACACACGTTTGCATTTTCTTCAGAAAAAGTTTTATTTTTCATTTCTGAAACTTTGTGTATTTTTGCCGCCTTTTTTTGGCAAATACTATTAATTTTAAAGATCCTGTAAATTCAAATTGTTTTGGTTTTATATCATAAATATGATGCTCAATTGAAGATTTATCAATATTGTACATTATAAAAAGGATTATTTGTATTTACATTTCATGTTAATACAAGGGGGTAATTAGAAATTATTTTCGATAAAGTCTCAGAAGAAATAAATGCATATATTTTAATAACTACTTATGATGCGTATAAACATTTGCAGAACATATTTATCATATTCTTGGATGTTTGAAATTGTTTTAGAAGAATAATTATATAAACATTCACTTAAGTGTTGTTACATCCTTAATTACAACATTCAGGATCTAAGCATTACCCAACACAAGAAAAAATAACAACAAATTGGTTCGTTTGACGTGTGATCAGTGGTTATGGCAACCGATTACCTGAAAACTTACACTTTCTCAAATTAAAAATGAATATTTCGGATTAATATAAAAAAACGGACCAATTAGGTGCATGTAATATATAATAATAAATAATAACAAAATCAGATAAGAAGAATGAATTGTTATAGAAATTATCTGCTTTTTTCTCTCAAAACTTTCTGATCATCCCTCGTTGTGTCTCAATCAATATTTTTAATTGTTGTATAAAACAATGCCCGGATGTTAGTCGTCATCATTCTTCTGCAGACCTGACGACACTGAGGTTTCCCGATTGTTCTGAAAGGAATTTTCCGGAAAACTATGTTGTTGAATAACTATTTCTATTTTATTCAAGCGTTTTTCTTGTACGGTGTTAAACATTGCTTTACTATCAGTGATGAATCTAAAACTGTACCGGCGGAGAAATTTCAAGGAATAACTCCTTCATTTGATACATCGGAAACACTACCACCACACGATGAAAATATGGAAGTATCTCCGGTCGAAGGTTCACTTAGTACATTGCCAACAGGAATGGTGATAGGATTATGGCCAACTGGAAACACACTGGAGACAGTACCAACTGGAAACACACTGGATATATTGCCAACTGGGGATACACTGAGAACATTGCCAACCGGGGATACAATGGTGACAGTGCAAACTGGGGATACACTGCGGACATTGCCAACAGGAAACACACTCGGGACACTGTCAACGGGGAATATACTGGGGACATTTCCAACTGAAGGTACACTTGGTTCAACTAGAAGAACACAAGGCACATTACCAGAGAACATAGAAATGACACCGAAGTCCATTCCGACTGGAGGAACAACACTTGGATTATTACTAACTGGAGTAACTTCGGCAACAAAACCAACAAGATATAATACAGATGATTTATCTCCCGGAAAATCAACTAAGACGATGTCGACTATACAACAGCTTTCCACACCAAGTTTAACAGAAAATATTGAACAATCGACATCAGATTTTTCTTTTACTTTACCTCCTTTACCTCCTTTACCTTCTTTTACTTTACCTCCTCGGCCTGTTGATAATATATTTGTCCCTGACTTTGATCTAACCTTTTCTAATTTGTCAGATATTCTTAAAGAGAATGGCGATCTGATCGAGTCGTACGCTATTGAGTTAAATTCACTTTGTCCGCACAATTCATTTATTTGCAATAACAAGATTACCAGCTTGGCAACATCAACCTCAATCTCAAACTGTTGTGTGAGCTGTTCGTGTTCCGACTACTGTCAATTAGAGAACACGTGCTGTCCTTCAAAGACGAGTGAAATTGCTCGGTATGAAAATTCTACATATTTTACATCCTTATTTTGTCAATCAACTTATAAATTACTGACGGAAGACACAGCGTTTCAGTTGTATCTCAAGAGATATAAACATTACAATGGTTATTATTTCGTGAGTTCATGTCCGGCTTCGGCTTCCGAGGACAATAGGTTTCTTTGTGAAGATATGACCACATCAGACGTGTACTCCGTCATAGACAGTGTTCCCGTGACGGACATTTATACAAATGTACATTTTGCAAACGGGTTTTGTGCCGCGTGCCATAATATTGCTCAGGAGCGTACTCGACCATGGGATATTGCAGTTAGGTAATATATAACAAAGATATAAATGAGCCGCGTCATAACAAAACCAACATAATGCTTTTGCGACCAGTATGGAATCAGACCAGCCTGCGCATCCCCGCAGCCTGATCAGGATACATGCTGTTCACTTACAAACCCTATAACAAGAAGAGAACAGCATGGATCCTGATCAGACTGCCCGGATGCGCATGCTGGTCTGGATCCATGCTGGTCGCAAACCCATTGTTGGTTTTGTCATGACGCGGCTCAAATGTATATTTATAGTTTAAGAAACGTAAAAAACCTTTTACGAATATATTACAATATTTAATTACTTTATATGAAATATGTTTTAATTTCTAGTTTTATCTATATATTTTACCACGATTATAAAGAACCAAGTTTTATGAATCTGTTTTTTTTAATCTCTCGATTATATAAACGCAGTAGACTAGCATAAATAATCCTAAATATGTAGACTTTTTGATGAGTAGCAAAATTTTCAAATTTCATAAAATGTAATACAAATCAAAGGACATGGTGCTTGAAACAACATTATTTTATTGGAAACTTTGACAGGACACCGGCACAAAATGCTTTTAAAAATAAAAAGTGTGGTATTTTAGTCCTAATTTGTCTTTAAATGATTTCCAATACAATAGTATGTAATAATATGCGCCTTTTGTGTAATGATATTTATCACATACCCGGTGCCGATTTGGCTACTCCATAGAAATGGTATTGCACGGACGTGCATATATTTTGACGTGACGTCATTTGCTTTTCACAATGGTCTTTTTCTTATTTTTGGTAAGTGATAAATAGAATATTAAATCCGTGTAAGTTTATTTCTGAATTTATTGAACTCGTCGAATTAAATAATATTATACTCGCCATAATTTTATTCAACTCGTTCAATAAATTCAGTATTATACGCACACCCATTCAATATCCACTATGTCTGTGAATTATGTGGTGTTTTTTTTCCAGTTGCTTGAATGATGACACTGTTTTGGAAGATGATATAGAAAATTTTGTGAGACGAACTCCTGACTGTTTCATAAGATATGTACCTCCAGAGGGTGTATCAAATTCAACCCTTGTTTTCTGTCAGCCTGTCATAGGTAGATGTAACACTTCCGGTACATGGAAAACTTACGACGCAAAGGTCGAGTCGTTGTGCCACGACGCGAGGCTGGAGCAAATTTACATTGTCAACATAGATTTTGTAGAATACTCGTAATTATCTATACGTCATTTTATTTGTTAGATGTTGGTATCGAAAATGTTGCATTTGAACCTCAAAACTCAAACTCGCCTTATTCGAAATACCGCATTAGTCGATCTACAAAACTCAAACTCGCCTTATTCAAAATACCGCATTAGTCGATCTATATACAGTATATGCATATATTTTAAAGAAACATAAACAGGCGAGTCGTATCAGTATAATCTGGCAAGCGTGCGTTTTATAAATGCTTATTAAAGGGTATCGATCTATATCTTATGAAATAGTTTTGTAAAATTTATCAACAGTAAAATTATATTGCTTCTTTTATTATATGGTTGATTTCTGAAAAAAAGTTGTAACGCAGAATGTCTCCATTATTTAACACATAATGTATGTAAACAGAATAAATGTTCCGGAACAAATTATTATTTTGCTATTTTAAGTTTAGCAATGATTTTGTGTATGCGCCATTTGCTTTTAAGGCGATTAACTATCTTTTTGACTTTGGAAGTATGCCTTTTTAAAATTCAAACAATACATATTGCAGTAGATATATAGCTTTATTCACTTTAAGGGTGCTTGCTCGCCAGTAAATTACAAGTCCAAAATGAAGGAAAAATTCACATTGACGTTAAGAATAAAATGTTCATTTTTGATTCATTATAAATTCAATTTGCGTTAATGATATTAATCAGAGTACGGTTTTTTCCAAACCCTTATACAGCATTTATTTATTTATTCATTCGTTCGTTCGTTCATTCATTTTTTCATTCATTCATTCATTCATTCATTTATTTATTTATTTATTTATTTATTTATTTATTTATTTATTTATTTATTTATTTATTTATTTATTTACTTATTTATTTATTTATTCATTCATTCATTCATTCATTCATTAACTTAGTTATTTATTTATTTATTTTGTTAACATTTGCATTTTCATCAAAAATCACTAATTTATTCATAAAATTTTATGAAATTGACATTTTTTTATTTGGAGTTATTTCAACGGTGCATTACGAAAAATGCCGAAACACAGCGAATTTTCACGAAGTTATGTCAGAAATACTTTTGTTTTACAGTTTCAAGAATGTTTTCTGTGCTATCTGTAATGGTAGAGATGCTGATCATATAAATAACTGTATGCCTGTAATCGTTGGACCACTCAATCCTACAGACCTTCACGCACTTCTTACCTTCAGTGGAGAAAACGTCGCCGGGATGGGCTTTAACAAGAAATATTGTCCCGTTGGAACGGTTTATATACCAGTCCTGGTACGGTTAAATAGGCTCATTTAGAAATTCCTCAGACATTATCTCAGACTGGACGGAAATTTTCTTCCTTTTTACCTTTTCTTATTATGTATTTATCTTAGTTGTTTATTTATTTATTTTTGAGCCACGTTTACAGCCCGTTTATTTCAAGAAAAGAAAACAAACATGATAAGTATAGCATTTGTCCAAATTGTTACAAATATTTATAAGACATGACCTATAACAAAGCATTTTTACATTTTGTTCCATACCGTTATTTACTTTTTTATAAATTGTCTTAATATCTTTTGTGTATTTTCAGTTGATGCTATTTATTTTTATGATTTTAGGAATCATGTAAGAGTGTACACTGCACGTCTCCATATGTGGTCGATATTCTACGTAACACGTGCGTTCTACGGTCGTTGGTATCTCAATCTGTAAGTGTACACATACCTATCTTGGTCAGTCTAAACCAAAGTATTCCGCTCTTCAATTATGGAGAGTTACATAATGACGTCACCAGTATACTAGCTGCTCTGTATACGACGTCATGTATAAGTGACGTCTTTTTTGTCGATGAATTAGACACTACCTACACACCTGACATGACCAGTGATTCGCTCCTAACTACACGCGTGCAAGCTCTTTATATTTCTTTGCACGTGATAGAATCCACGCCACATCTCAACTACGATGAATATGTAGCAACCGTCAATACAGAACACAATCAAGTCATCCATGATTTAAATGTTTTGATGAAATTTAGCTACCGCCAGCTACCGCCAGCTGGATCCATTATATGTAAATCGGCAAACCTATATCGACAGTGATATGATTGTGGAGAGAAATCCGTACAATGGCGCGGCGCTCGTATCTAACCCACTGATCACAGTCAATTGCAATTGCTCAGAAAAAGGTGAACTTGGAATGGACTACCCGTTGCATTTTATGGAATGCCCTTCAGCATTGATATCACTGGCAGAATTCGGTGTAACTCGGATGGACTCGGGCCTAAGATTCGGAGAGAAAGGAGTCATAAGTTTCAGTGAATTCAGAAGCGTTAACTCTTCACATGTTTACGTTTGTATCGATTCCATGAAGAAAAAAGTACAAAACTGGTCTTCACGTGGAAATTTAATCTTTGATAGATATGCTGTGTTTCTCATTTTTACTTTGCATCTGTTAATGATATTGCTTTGGTAAATCAAAGCACTGAAAGGCTGAATTACTGGAAACCAGCGAAGCACGTGGAACTATTTTTGTATTAATCCGCCTGATATTTCGCTCACGTGATTAGCAAACTGTCGGTTATTTGACAACGGTATTTGTGACTCGTATAATAGCCGAGGAGTTCCGATGAAAAGCCTCGTTTTTACTGTTATTTTTCTGTTTGTTTGTTGTTATAACCAGTTGCATATTATATGCCTTGGTTTAATAAAAACTGAAACTGAAAACTGAAATGTTCATACTGATAAAATGTGATAGACTTTTACTAAGTATTTTCGTTTTCTCATATACATTGTACTTTTTATGTTCTGCATTCTCAAGTCATAAATACTTCAAACATTATCCGCTTTCCCCATGAAATGCAAAAACACAAAAATTCCAACAAAAAATATTTACGCTATTTGCAACCATGTTTTTCCCGATAATATATATGTTCGTTGCTTTTCGTTTACATGTTATTACCTATAAATGTTAAAACTGTATTATGTAGTTTATGACAATATAAAAATAAAATTCTTGTATTGTGGTGTATATTTCAATTTTGCAATATAGTGTTTTAAGAAATTAAAAATTACTGTACACAGTTTTCTGAACTTTTTAAAGCTGCATGCATCCAGATTCATGATAATTTTTTGAAAATTTTGAAAATGTACTAAAAAGTATAATATTGTGATTTAATTGAAAGGAAACAATTACATTAATTATCAATGGCACTTGCAACCCAAAATTAAATTACCAAAAAGAGGTTACAATTTGCAAAAAGTACCCTTACTGTGTTAGAAATTGTTATAAAAACTGAAAAAATTGTCATTTGTCACACAACACATGTAAATTATTACTTGAATCTTGAATCTGTTTACTCTTTCTATAACATTAGTACATTTTTCTCAAGTTTGATTTTATTGCAATAATTTGGCTCATCTGGAGGCATGTTGCTTTAAAGTTTTATGTAATAGATTAGTTTCTAATATTCGATGTATTCAAATGCTTAGTAGAGTTGAACAGATCTTTTGCTAGAAATTTCCACTCGCTTTGATATTTATAGACGATGAAAAAATGAAATATAATCCTACATTATTGTATAAAGAAATATATGGCGCAGAGAAATCATCGCAGAAATGTGAAAGACATTTTAAACGTTGTTAGCTTGTTGTAATCAAAAGAAATATATCTACAATAACGTCAATCACCTAAGTCCACGAAATTTGTCCGGCGTTCGTCACAATTTGACTAATGGTTAATCTTTTAGATGACATCAAATTGTTTATGAAGTTGATGAGTACTGATTTAATGTATTATTTTGTTATTGCATTTCTTCCCTACGCAAAATGCGCATGCGCGAAATGCAACATCCGTTTCTATGGACATATCCTTTTGTAAATAGGTCTATAAAAAGCCATTTGGCCATTGCGGTCCCTCATATCTTTCGTCATGTGTAATATGTAAGCCTAATATATATGACATGCATAATGAATTCAAACACATAACTTCTCCCTGCCCAATACCTAAATTGTGCCAATGTCTTATTTAAATACGATGGATATTTCAATATGAACCAGTTACGAACAAGTTACCCTGACCCTTCTTAGATACTTACAATACACTTAGAGGCACTTATAACCCGACACTGACATTTTTCGGCATAAATTGGTCATTTATTGAAGGATTTTGATCAAATTTGGACCATACAAAATACAACGTATTATACTTACTATTTAGAATTTTATTTACAATTCATTGACAAGAAAATAGGAAAAATAACAAAACAAATAGACTTGGTGAATATTTCGCCATTCCTAAACAAGGCCTTGCTCGAGTTCCCGTAAATTGTGGCATGAATTGAACAGGTGTGTGATAAAGCGACTTGTATAGCCCCTCGAAATAGAGAAATATTCCCCAAACCTTTTTCAGAAACTACGTCATTTCCATGAGACGGAGGTGTTTAAATTTTGTTATAGCTATGGCAGGACACACACAGTATTAGATCCGGTTAACATACAGATTTAGTGCGATTCAGAGACTGCTCGTTTTGTTACGACTTTTACAGCCATTCTGTGATTTTTCATTTAACAGTAGCCTATAAGTATTTGTTTTTTTTTATTTTCTTGTCATTGAATTGTAAATAAAATTATAAGTTGTAAGTATGATATATTGAATTTTGTATGTACCAAACTTGAACAAAATCCGTACACAGATAACCAATTTATACCGAAAAATGTAAGTGCATCTGAGTGAATATCTAAGTCTATCAAATATATATGAGCCGTGTCACGACAAAAACAACGTAATGCGTTTGCGACCAGCATGGATTCAGACCAGCCTGCGCATCCGCGCAGTCTGATCAGGATCCATGCTGTTCGCTAACAATCACTATTACAAGTAGAGAAACTGATAGCGAACAGCATGGATCTTGATCTGGATCCATGCTGGTCGCAAACCTATAATGTTGGTTTTGTCGTGACGTGTCGTGACGCGGCTCAAAGTGACGCTTGTTGCAATGTAGGCATACTTCGGAATATGATTATTAAAGAAAAAAAATGTCAGCGAAGATTTCCTTTTTACTTTCGTACCTTAATAAAAACAAGTCTTTTTTTTCATTGAACTGCTATAAGAATCGGTCTGAAAATGTGATATTGACTTTTTCCGTGTGGCAAATGACTGGTCTCTTGACGGACAATTTTCTATTACACTTTGTTTCCATTTCAAACAATTCGTGAACAAAAAACTAGAATTAAATGATATTATATTTGACATGTAAGTAACATCAGCTGACCAGGTAAGGCCAAGAAGGCCAATATAAGGAAAATGCCTGCCAATCACGCTCCTTCACATATGCTAAGAAGTTCAAAAATATAAACCTGTCATGGAAACACCTTTTACTGGAAATGCAAGAGAAAAAAAAGAAAGCGGATAACTTGTCCATGAAAATTGTAAAATGATAATATAATTCCTTTAAAACAAAAGGCAAGCATGCTTATTGATAAAGGGTGGACTCACAATATAAAATAATGATTTAAGATTGAATTTTTATTGAATCTATCTGGACTATACTTTTTTGTACGTTAGATCCTTCTCAAGATGATGAAGAAAGCTCGAACCTACTAACTGGAACACAAACATATACAAATGTGACTTAATCACCAAGGACTCTTTAGCATAAACGACAGTCGTCAATTTATAATACACTTTATAAATACGCATCTGTTCACAAAAACTACTACATTCTTTTGACGATTTTGACTTAATTTCCATTGAAGTCATTACGAAGTCGTGGCACATATTGCCAGGGTTTATTTTTCAAACATTTTGGCGGAGTTATTGCCCTTTGTTCTCAACTGCTACCAATCGTAATAACTCGGCAATCTCTGTCAAGTTGTTCTTGAAGTCGCCCGAGGTGTTCCGATTGAATTGCTGGTGTATTTTACAGATGAGCACTGGCGCATATTGTCGGTATTGGCAGAATTATGACCCTTTGGGAGTAGAGAAATAATTATACTTCTGTGTGCAACTTTTTTTTTTATATTACAAACAACTCGAGTTTTTATATTACATTAAAATTTTATACATATATTGGCCTAATGTAATATATCATATAATATCACTGTACAAATTCCATAACACTTATTAACATTTTAACAGAATTTTTTGCCCTTTTTTTGGCATAAGAAGTTTAAGTTAAGATAGGAGTAAATCACTGTCACTGATAGCTCCGGATTATAATATATATAAATGCATAATAGATGATACATTTATAAAGTAAATAATAAACAAGTAAATGTTCAAAGCAAACAAAATGATCAAGCAACGTAATATATTACTATATATTAAAGAATGAATTAGAATTAGGAAAATTTTTAATTTGTTTAATATGCATCTAATTAGATAAATTAGCATTTCTAATCTGTATAAAATACAAGATTCTAATTAATATTGGCTGATATGTTACATATTTTTAAAAAAATAAAAAGGACATAATACCCCCAGAAATGCTCGAATTGCAAAATTCTGACAACACATGTGTAGTAAGCAAGTCTACAAGATATAATAAGCCACGCCTTTAATATCAAATATCGTTATTGTTACTGTGTGTATGTTTACTTGATGTTTGGGAGTTTATGAGTGTATACTTGGATGCAACACATATAATAAAATATATAAACCATCCTTCGGGTCTTGTTTAGTTTGTGTGTTAGTAAGCCATCCAAATAGAAAATACAAATGTTACAACATGCACCAGGGTATATCTGTGAAACAAAAAATGAAGGTTGATAACCTGGTGTTTGTCTCATTGCATCATTTGCGGATGTGTTCTTAAACTGACCTAACATTTGTTAGATTCAGACATCCAGGTTAAACTGACCTAATATTAAAGGATAATCTAGACTGATAACAAAGATTACGGGGTTATTGGACTGTGTCACCGCACAGATAACCGGTTACCTAGTTTGTCGTTATATTAGGTCACATTTTGTGTAGACATACTCTCTGTGACAACATGGATATATCCTCACTAGGTATGTATAATTGTTGAAACAATTTTGAGTAATTCTTCCGCAATATTTTGTATGGGTCTAGTTTTCAAAAGAAAAAAAATCATGTCATGAAAATATGTCTCCTTTCCTAGTAGTGCATGCTTTGAATTGTCAACCAAAAAAAACACCCTGATATTCGTAGGTTTATTTGTTGTTTTTAGGGGTGGGGGAGTTGTTGTCTTTCGAGATAGGTTCGACCTTTCCAACCTGAAGTATTATTATCACTGGTTCATTGACTTGCATAGATTAAATACATGTCTCAGTCAATACCAGCAACTTTGAATTAAAGTCTCATCCAAAAATACTGTTTGAACGACTATTATAATTAGAGTAGTGGGCTATCAGACCACTCAATAAACATAAATTTTCGTAGCAAATAACAGTTTTATCCATAACAAATAAAATCATAGAACAAGCTTATTATCTAGACTCGTTCACAAATCAGCTGTTGTCATCGCTACCCGGCATCCCTTACCCCGGAGGATACCGGTGACTATTAGCCAAGATTTTACCAAACGTCTGACACTGCAGTGGTTTTCTAACCCTGAATATCTTATATCCAGCTCGCAGTGTGGGGACTTTTAGCGGGGATGTGACCTTGAACCGTAGGGCGAGAAATTTGAAAATAGTTTGATTATCCCAAAGTCGGAGTATTCTGCGTGATAGGACCGGGATTATAAACATCTTAATACTTGCCTTAGTGCGATTCAGTATTGCTAAACACTAAAGCACAACAGAATATATAGGTCGATTGAGAGTTTTATATTTGAAGATATTATTATCAAACTTTCAGATGCAAAATTCCAGGAGTTGATAAAAGCTGCAGTTGATGTGAAGAATAATGCATATTGTCCGTACAGTAATTTCCGAGTTGGGGCTTCAGTTCTATGTACGGACGGTTCCATTTACGCTGGTATGTATGTCATAAAAGGGGAATGGATAACGATTTGAGATTAATCGACTGTTTAATAACTAATACGGCCACAGTATGCGATGTTCTTTCGTTCAATTTTTAACCATTCAATTGTGTATGAAGATATCCGGCTTTAAGTTTAGAACAGTCCATTTAAAGTTTTAAAGGATTTCAATATCAAAATACATGTACAAAAATTGAGCTACCAAAGCATTAAGCTGGTGGCAAAGGTTAATCACCAATCGCATCTTCTCGGCCCTTTCCGTCAAACGGCAATTAATGAATATATGTAGTTAATGAATATATGTAATTAATGAATATATGTAATTAATGAATATAGGTAAATAATGAATAAAGTAATTGATGAATATAGGTAACTAACGAATATATGTATTTAATGAATATAGGTAATTAATGAATATATTTATTGATGAATATAGATAATTAACGAATATCATTAAATATATGTAATTAGGGATTTATGTAATAAACGAATATTTGTAATAAATGAATATATGTAATTGATGAATATATTTGATTAATGAATTTAGGTAATTAATGCATAGAGGTTATAAATGAATATAATTATGCCATAAATGAATTACAGGCTGTAATGTAGAGAATGCGTCATATGGTTTGTGCGTCTGTGCGGAGAGGAACGCCGTCATGAAAGCGGTGTCCGAGGGGAAGATGAATTTTGTAGCGGCAGCTGTCTCGTGGTATGTCAAACCCTAGTTTATATTACATGTCATTAAACTATAGTTTTAAAATCATATTATGTTGTCATAACACTTGAATTATAGAAAAATGTGGACATTGTTCAAAAATAAGGAAAAAACGTGTGAAATGTCTAGTGGCTACACTTTTTACACTTTTTGGGCACGATCCTGGTGAACCTTGGTATACAAACAAGATACTTAAAAACTATTCTGCTTAAATAATATTGATATGAACAGGTACGTATATACGTACCTGTTATGAAGGACAGATTAAAGGAGATAAATTAAGACTTTTCAGAAAATATATGTATATCAACATTCCTGTTGTTAGTTTGGCCTAATACCTATGTACGTAAGCTCGATTGCAAAACAAGTTCTTGCAATTTATATTAATTACTTTCGAGTCCGCTTCCTGGAACTAACCAGTACTGGTGTCATATGAAGGAACATGGTCGTGACCCGATTAGGGCTCGAACCCACGGTCCCTAGGTTGAAAGGCAGGCACCTTAACAAATAGGTCCCCGCTCTTCTAGTTAGTTCACTTGTTATATGTTCTCTTATCATATGTAGGCACAATGGTTATCTACACCTGTTTCAAAAGTCTACTAGCGATATAAACAACAAAATTCTGTTTGCAAGCGCCTTTTGAATGTTTACGTTTTAGTTAAATAAAACCCCACGGATGGCCACCTGAGTCATTCCTCCACCGGTTAAGCTGGAAAGTCGCCATATGACCTTTACAGTGTTGGTGCGACATCAAGTCAAACAAAAAAAGAATGCCGCTGCTGCTGATGATGATGATGCTGCTGCTGCTGATGATGATGATGATGATCAGTAATAATATTAAGAACGTTTAATTTGATTTTCAGTGACATTAAAGGCGACTTTAAAGGTCCGTGTGGAGTCTGTAGACAAGTATTTGCTGAGGTAATATAAATCGTAATTTCCTCGACCCTTATGAATAAAATAGCCGTTGTGTTCCGAGTGAGATGATATCTTTATTACTCTGCTGCAACAAAATATCACGCCTGTTTAACTCACAACGAGTGTAAAATATCCATTGGTAAAAATGTTGTGAGCAACTTCCGTTCCTCGTTGTGAGCACCCATCTATGACGTGTAACACGATAAACAAGGTGAATTTTCCATAATTTATGAAGATTACAGACATTAATATAAAAATATCGGAATGCAGTTAGCTAGCGATGTGTTTTCCGAGTATGCACATGTAAAGACAATGCCTGTTGGTCGACACTTTGATGGAAATACCGTGCGACGCAGACACTCGGGGTAGCTGTAAAACTGAAGACATCTTCTCTCCGGACCAAATTTAAAATTGAAAACGTCGATTCTAGTGAAGTTTTGTGCATTCTAACCTGAAACAGATGCCCACAAGTCTTCAGCGTAAATTATTATCTGAAAGTCTTCATAGAAATGAAGAAATACCCTTTTTTGCTTTAATCCTCGTTGTGAGCACCATATAACCTCGTTGTAAGCAAGACAAGCGCAATGCTTGTCTGGTTTTAATATGTAATTCAAATGGCGAGAATACAATTTTCAATCTACCAAAAGCAATCAAAACGTTTATGCACAATAGTTTTCCTTTGCAATAGTTTTTCTTTTTCTACATAACTTGGCCAGTGTAACATGAATGAAGCTCAGGATAAATACATGCATGTTTATATCACACAGACTGCCCTCGATGTAGGTATATGTAGGGTTTTTTTTTGTTTACCATTATCTATTAAGCTAAGAATATATTTGTGTAGTGTTAAAGTTACAACACACTATAAACTTGTAAGTAATCCTCCGTGAAAAACGATAGTCGCATAATAACAGATTCAAATAGTTCTCAGCGTTTGTTTGCTATGTAAAGCATTTTTCCTGATTTTAGTTGCACTGTCTTCCCTAGAAAGCTCATGACAGTCTGTGTTTGACATTTAAATAGCATTTTCATCCTGAGATAATGGCATTTTTAGAAATCTTCTTGACTTCTTAGGTGTAACACCACTAGTACAATTTTGGGTTAGCTGATTTCAAAGTTTTTGGATTTTCTAGAAGGTCATTCAGGGGTCAAGGTAAAAAAATATAGATCAGTTTGATGGTCTTGTCTATAGGGGTGTTGTGTCCAAATATGAGTATTATCCGTATACTAATAAGGAAGTTATGAGCAATTTTTAAGTTTTTGGACAATTTGACCTTCAATGTGAATGTCATTCAGGGGTCAAGGTCAAAAGAATATAGGTCAGTTGGAAGGCCTTGTCCAAAGAGGTGTTGTGCCTAAATATGAATTAAATTGATTTACTAATAAGGACATTATGGTCAATCTTAAATGATTTTGGACAATTTGACCTTCAAGGTAAAGGCCATTCAGGGTTAAAGGTAAAATACAGGTCCGTATATGAAGGTATTGTGCAAAGGGATGTTGTGTTCAAATATGAATCAAATCCGTTTACTAATAAGGCAGTTATGGCCAATGTAAAAGTTTTCGGACGGATTGACGGACTGACGGACGGACAGTTCAAAACCCCTTCGGGTATATTGCAAAAAAAATGCTGCTGTGCAAAAAAGTTTTAATTGCTTTGGTAGATTGAAAACTATATTTTCACCATCTGAATTACATATTAAAACCATACACGCACTGCGCTTGTCTTGCTCACAACGAGGTTATGGTGCTCACAACGAGGATTAAAGCAAAAAAGGGTATATCTTCGTTTCTATGAAGACTTTCAGGTAATAATTTACGCTGTCAAAGACTCGGGGCATCTGTTTTAGGTTAGAATGCACAAAACTTCACCAGAATCGACGTTTTCAATTATAAATTTGGTCCGGAGAGAAGTTGTCTCCAGTTTTTCAGCTACCCCGAGTGACTGCGTCGCACGGTATTTCCATCAAAGTGTCCACCAACAGGCAATATCTTTACATGTGCATACTCGGAAAACACATCGCTAGCTAACTGCATTCCGATATGTTTACATTAATGTCTGTAATCTTCAAAAATTATGAAAAACTTACCTTGTTTACCGTGTTACACGTCAGAGATGGGTGTTCATAACGAGGAATGGAAGTTGCACCGATGGATATTTTACACTTGTTGTGAATTAAACGGGCGTGAATATGGCCAAACACTACCATCAGTATAGAGCCAAATCACCTTGCACATATTTGCAGTCTGACCAGGTTCAATACTGTTGGTATTTTTATATTTGAATCTATTATATTTAAATGGACTGTTCCAAATTTAAAGGAGGATAAGTTCATTACATAAATTCACGAGGTGAGAGGTTAACAATTTTTGTTCAATATGAATATGTTTTGTACGGCTTATCTTTTCATCCCAGCTGGATTTTGGCGTTCAAAAACACCTTATCCAAAATGGCCGGAAAGCTGCGTTCGAGAACAATGGTCATTGTGTCCACAATTTCATTTTGTTATTCGTATATTGCTCGGATTTTTATGCTCCCCGAAAATTTCGGTGGAGCATATAGTCGCCGGGTTGTCCGTCAGTCCATCCGTCCGAACGTCCCGAATACGTGTCCGGCCCATAACTTCGTAATTTGAAGTCGGATTTTACAACTATTTCACAGAAATGATCACCATATTGAGACGCTTGTCGCGCGCAACATTTGGGTCGCTACCTTGAAGGTCAAGGTCAAAGAATGACCTTGCAGCAAAATCGTGTCCGGCCCATAACTTTGTTAATTGAAGTCGGATTTTAAAAATATTTCACAGAAATAATCACTATATTGAGACGACGTGTCGCGTGCAACATTTGGGTCGCTACCTTGAAGGTCAAGGTCACAGCATGACCTTGCAGCAAAATCGTGTCCGGCCCATAACTTTGTTGTTTTTTTTTTTAAAGTCTGATTTTAAAACTATTTTATGGAAATGATCACCATATTGAGATGACGTGTCACGCGCAACATTTGGGTCGCTACCTTGAAGGTCAAGGTCACAGCATGACCTTGCAGCAAAATTGTGTCAGGCCTATAACTTCGTTATGTGAAGTCGGATTTTACAACTATTTCACAGAAATGATCACCATATTGAGAAGATGTGTCGCGCACAACATTTGGGTCGCTACCTTGTTTTAACACTTTGAACTTTGACTGTGACATAACTCACAACAAGAGGTATACCTTCCTGTGTCCAAAACCTATTCGGAGAGCATCACCCGGTTCAACCGGCTCTTGTTGAATTATTCTGTACTTGACTAGGTATTGCTATTGAAAAACATAATATATTATGATCAGTCAAAGGGGAAAAACTTGTATCACTTTAATTTTAGACAGACAGAGTTATTTACCATTGCAAAGGTGTCCACATCGTCGAGTATTTCAATTTTTAAACAGCTTATATTTATTTTCATACCACATTTATGTTTATGTTTATATTTTCAGTTTAACTTGGACTTGGATCTTTATCTAACCAAGCCAGACATGACGTACAAGAAAGTAGTTCTCAGGGAACTTTTACCCATGGCTTTTACCCCTAAGAGTTTAGAAGAGGAAAGAATTTAGAAAAATTAAACATTTACAAAGACAGACCGTCCAATAAGGAGTGCTAGGTGGTTAAATGATACATTAAAACGTGTTTTAATTTCTTTTATTATATATGACACGTGATATATAATCGGGGATTTAGATGGGTGAAGAAAGAAATATAGGAGCTTACAACCCGTTGTTTTTCTCTCCTTGAACTTGTTTAATCTCTTGAATTTAGAAAATAATAAAATATAAAAACATAGTTATTGATCCTACATCGACAGTGATTGCCGTTTAACAAAATACTGAAATGTTTGAACAAGCAAATCATGGTCAAAATTTGTACTTTTAAATGTTCTAAAATTGAACGTATCTAGGGCAGGTGTCTACTAGTGAGCTTTGCGGACGACCCTCATATAAATATGAGCCGCGTCACGACAAAACCACCTTAATGGCTTTGCGACCAGCATGGATCCAGACCAGCCTGCGCATCTGCGCAGTCTGATCAGCATCCATGTTGTTCGCTTACCAACCCTGTTACAAGTAGAGAAACTAATTAGCGAACAGCATGGATCCTGATCAGACTGCGCGTATGTGCAGGCTGGTCTGGATCCATGCTGGTCGCAAACCCATTTTGTTGGTTTTGTCATGACGCGGCTCATATAATTTGGAAGTACGTTAAAATATCAACTTGATTTGTGTTCATATATATGTATATACACAAAATTATAGAGGCTATTTAAGTTTATTTTTCTACGACTACATGACTTATTTTCAACAAGTGGTATGCAAATAAATTGTTTATGAGTGGCGGTAGCCACGAGTGAGGTATGATAATTTTCATAACACAAGATGGAAATAAAACCTGGATTTTTAGGGAAAAAACTTTTTTGTTTATTGTGATTATATTTTTTTCATTTTTATGACATTACAATTAGAAAGAGTTGTCCTTCAATTTTGTGTATTGGGAGAATATAATTAAGAGAAAGTAATCCAACAAGAAAGCAGTAAAAAGACCGTAAATATGTTTCACTGCAGTGAAAAATGTTTTACAGTGAAAATACGGAAATGAACACACGCATTTTATTCAATATTTCATTTATAAGTACATAATAAATAATCTTCTATATGCACATGTACAATGGTATGACATATGTCTATGTATATATCCATAACAAAATGTTTGATGTAACATTACTTTACATTAATGTACAATTTGATCCAATTAGTTGTTCTTAATTTCCTATGACCTACTCATATCTAAAATGATATGTATTAATAATGAATAATGCAATACATTCACAGGGGTGGTATTAAAGATGTAAAAACATATCCTCGTAAAAAACGTTTCTTACTACAATCAATGAAATGATGAAACTTGTAATTTATATTCAATCAAATCTTTTTTTATGTTGCCATAACAATATCTCATCTAACAAAAATAATAATAACAACAACAACAACAACAAAAAAACAGATAATAATAATTGCACTGCTCTTAATCCGAGACAGTCGGATATATTAAGTAGGTATTAAAACGCATATTTAACCTCAAAATACCGTTCTAGTTTTGAGACAAGTTAACTTTCGGAATATAATAAACGCATTGATATTTGTATAAACCAAGTTAACAATCTTAAAAATAAAAATCCAGTTAATTTGAAAGATACAAATTTACTGGTGTTGAAATATTTTTAAACAAAAAAGAACCGGTTTACACGGGCATTGTATGATTATTTAATAATATAAAAAATGAACATATTTCAAAGGGACTCCGCCAGATCGGACTGGAAATGATTTTTCGAGATTAATTTTCGATTTGGTATCTGTCTCGACCATTAACTTGCGTAGAAAAAATCGCTCCCTCCGTTTTCCCAGAATAATGATTCTACTTGTGAAAGATGATCCCAAATTGAAAAAAAGTGTATATCAAATCGGTCCGAGAATAACACAAGCAAACGTATTTCAATGTATGTCTTAGTATATTTCTTAATTACCGTGTGCTTAGATCTATGTAAGACATTTAAATGTTCTCGGGCTTTTGCAAATGGACCTCATTGGAGTTCTTTTTAAACACGTACACAGAGGTGTAGCATGGCTTATTTGGCTATGAGGATGTTAGAAAGTCATTATTTAATAATAAGAACGGCTGGAGTGGCTTCTCTTCCCCCAATGATGACGATGTTAGTTTCAGATACGCAAAGTGATGTTTAAGTTCAGAAAATACGAGTTTATTAATATACTAGTACATTTCTTGTTTAGACACTGTGAAATCGATGTCAAGACCACATGATGGATTTTCACATTTTACTTTGGAAAGATAATCTCATGTAAATTTGTTATTTAAAGCATGAATCGAACCAGTGATTTTAGTTTAAAGGCAGTTGCCTGAAACATTTTCAGTCAACCGCTCATCTTTAATCTTCTCTTTCAGTTGTCAGAGATCCTAAGGCTACACTTCTCTTCTTACAATAATTTCTTTTCGTTTGTACATGGGTGTTTTTTTTTGGGGGGGGGGGGCAGGGGGGGGGGGGCTTCAGTTTTTGTTTTCTCTATCTTATTAAGATTTACCCTTTACTCTTAACCCGTTTCACGTATAAATCTTAAAACACTGGTCTCGACTATATAACAAACTTACGCCACTGCAGAGTGTACTCATCCCCTCAAAATCTGTCGTTTACAGATATAACAGCTACGCTACTGTATTGTTTACAGTTGCTCCACTTCACATGTATAAACCGCGTCAATAAGTAGCCTAAATCATTTACCATAGTACGTGAGAACTTAAGCAATGGATGTTTCAACTCTAGGTATGTTGTAAATTAGTTATAATATAATGAATTAAAATTGTATGCATGCACGTTTTATTTCAATTTAACTGTTGCTAGCTTTAATTGTAATGCAATTGTTGCACAATTATAGAAAAAAATGTACGTTACACGATAAAGCTTAACTGCAATAATCGATCTCCGATAAGAGTTCCTTGTACCATATATTTTGCCTAAAACGTAGTCGTGGTTGTGTATAGAATGGCTGAATACTTTACAATGAATGAGAAACGTTTTGTTAAATACAAATTTAATGTTATGATGCAAGTGTACTTAGTTTAATTTCAATGTTTTTTGTTGTTATTTTTTTTTGAAAGCACATTATCGACCTTAAATATACAAATATACGTTATACTTATAGATGGCAAGCTACAAGAACTGATTAAAGCTGCGGATAAAGTTAAAGAAAATGCTTATTGTCCGTACAGTAATTTCAGAGTTGGGGCCGCCGTGTTGTGTGCTGATGGGTCTATATATGCAGGTATACTTACTAGTATATAGAAAATATTTAGAAAACAAAAAATATTATAATTTTCTACAATGTATATCCCTGGCAGATGTATTTTATAGTTTATGCATTTTTAATTTGATTGTTGTTAGATGTAATTGCTTGTTTATTTTTTTATTATGTAAAATGTAAACTTTCATTATCATGAATGTATTATCATGAAGATATATGTATATTTTGTATTCAAATAGACTGTAAAATGCTGTATCTCATTACAGTTAATGATTAATATTAAATTAAATGTGCAGATACATGTTCAAGTTTAGCAAGAATTCTTAATGGCCGATAATAAATTTAATGTTCATCACGTGCTATGTCAATCTGTGTATATTTCCACAAGCGCGAGTTACACTACCAAATAAACCAAGATAGTATGCATGATTCAATCGTTCATCCAGTTTAAAATGTAATTATATACATGTAATTTAATCTAGTTAATGCATATCACTGAAACCTTTCAGAAAAAAATGTACATGTGTAATTTGCTCTCCTAACAATTATACGACAAATATGATATAAAGTCAAACCTTCACCAAAGGCCATCTTTTAATAACGGCCATACATAGAAGAACATGTAATGCAAGGCCAGCATTGAAAGATTCCACTTTGATCAGTTAAGAAAACTGCCTTTGGAAAATAAAGGACATTCTTATTAATGGATCCCTAAATCGGCCGTTGAAGACAGGGTTTTGTAAACATGTCAAATTGTCAATATGATTTACAGGATGTAATGTAGAGAATGCATCTTATGGTGTCAGTGTGTGTGCGGAACGTAATGCAGTAATGAAAGCTGTAACAGAAGGGAATAAATCATTCAAAGCATTGGCAGTGTGTTGGTAAGTTTACGACCGGCTACCTTTCTAGAACGACCATATACTTTTCTTTAGAACGACCATATTAACTTCTGTTCAAACGATCGTCTACATATCGAGAGTAACGTATTTTCTTCTAAAACGGTCATCTACATATCTATAACAAATTTGCATTCTTCCTTTACACCATTAACCTTTCTAGAACAATCGTATTTCCTTCATAAACGACCATCTTAATATATAGCCTTCTATAACAAACGTATAACACTGATTGGTCGTTTAACATTCTAAAATGACGGCACTTTTGATAGAGCGACCTAATTTCATAATAAAACATTGTACTCTTTAAGAACGTCCATATTTTTTTTCAAAATGGCATACAACCTTTCTTGAACGACCACACTGCATTGTAAAATGACCATTTTCTTTTGATATATTAATTTAAAAGTAGGTAAAGTTCGTCAATACAGACTTTTCGCCGTTGTTATACTTCTATTGATATCGTTCGATAAAATTTTCAATAAATTTCACATACATATTGTATAATATATAATCTTCAAATTAAACATTTACATATATTATTTTATAATTCAGTGACGTGAAGGGAGAATTTACAGGACCATGTGGTATATGTAGACAAGTGTTGTCAGAGGTAACTATATAATAAAATGCACTGACCAGTAAATATGAATACATAAAACAATTGTGTCATTGTTAATAGACTTAGATTTACAACCGGAAATCCTAGTCTCAATGAATTGTGTACAAGTTTTATCTCCAAAGCTACAACTAAAGTAAATTTTCGCCATTTTATCAAAATTTATTACTTTTTCAACAACATGTATATTGTAAAAATATAAATCAAACTGTGATAAGATCCATAAATACATTTTAAAAAGGGGATAAAATGTATGTTCCTCCATTTTCAAGTGTTCGGGAAGATAAAAACTCATTATATTTGAACAGAATTTACTCCCCTTTTGATAAATTGATAAAATCGGTATAATTTTTTGTGTACATGTATACATAAATAACGCGCACGTGTTGTGAATATTTCAGTTCAACATGGACCTGGAGATTTATCTAACTAAACCAGACATGACGTACCAGAAAGTAATTTTCCGGGACCTATATCCATTATCGTTTACTCGACACAGTTTGGAGGAGGAGAAAATCTAGAAAATATATGTCTCATACTTGAGAATAAAGTGGTGCATCTATATCCATTGTGCAGCTATAGGAAGATTTGAAGAAAATAAAACTTTTACAAGTACAAACATTCGTCAAGTCATACATATATACATCTCTCAGGAACCTTATAGTTTTTGGTAAGCTTGGAGATAAGCCATTTTTGTCGTCAGTATATGTACATGCAGGCATACTTGCATATCCGTACAGTTAACGGTCCTATACTGTAGGTATTTTAACATTTGAAATCCCTTGAACTTTGAATGGACTATTCCAAATTCAAAGCAGGACGAATCCATTATACAAATTGAGCAGGTTAAAATTTATCAGCTGTCCGTACATGAGTCTGTCTACAGTGTTCTTATATACACTACAGAAGTACATTCCAGATATCAGTAGATGTACAAATCTAAATATAAATAACTTCTTCATATCATAGTAAGGACTGGCTACATGTATTGCATAGTTCCAGCACTTACAGACCACAGACACTTTGGGTGTGTAGCTCAAAATGCCTTTAAAAAAACCCAAAAAGTATATTTTTTTCAATTTGGCACATTACTTAATCAAAAATATATCATTAAAAAATTTTAAAAGAAAGGCCCCGAAATAAATTAAAAAAGGGCTTCGAAAAAATTTAAAATTTTTTTTAAAAAAAATTTTTTTTACTTTAATTTTAAAATATTTAATTTTTTTTGGGGTATCCCCGGGGTTGGGGTTTTACAAAAATACATTAAATTTTATAATTTTATATACATTTCATTTTTGGGTTTTTAAAAAAAGTTTTAAAGTTTTTTTCCCGCCCCCAACCAAAAGGTTTTTCCCGTGTTAAAGGGATTTTTCATTAAAGAAAAATAAAAAAATTCATTTGTTTTTTTTTTTTTCTTTTCCCTTTTTGTTTTTTCAGCAAATTTTTTTTGAATACTTTTAAGGCATTAAATTGGGATTAAAGAAAACATATCCCGAAGTAAAAAATAAAAAGGGGCTTTTTAAAAAAAATTTTTTTATTTTTGCATTTTTTTTTGTTTTTTTTTTAAAAAGCAGCCCCCTTTTTTAAAAATGCTTTGGTTTTTTTCCCCGGGAAACCCGTCCCCGATATAAAAAAAGCTTTTTTTTTCAAACCCCCGCCCCCCCCTGCCTTGGGAATTTCATCCCCCCAAAATTTAAACGTGGAAAAAAGTCAAAAGTGGGGGGTGGGGAAAAGGGGGGGTCTTTTAAAAATTTCCCTTTAAATTAAAAAAAAATGCATACACCTGGAAAAAGGGGAAAACAACCTTTTAATTTTGTCTAAAAACAAAGGTTTAAAAATTTTCCGAAAATGGGATAAAAAAAAACAAGAGGGCCCTGAAAGGGGGCCTGAAATCGCTTTTCCCCCTTTTAAAATAGGCCCCGGGCCAAAGGGCCCAATTTTTTAAAACCCGGGCCCCTTTTTTTGAAAAAAAACTTGGGGAAAACACCCCCTTAGAAGATGTTTCATGCTAAATATCTTAGCTCTAGCTCTATGGGGGTTTATAAAAGAAGAGTGTTTAAGTTTTTACTATATACAAATATGGAAAATCAATGCCCCCTGGGGCAGGGCCAAATTCTTACCCCAGGGCTTTATTTGAACAAACTTGGTAGACACCCACTAGAAGATGTTTTCATCCTTAATATCTAAGCTCTAGCTAAAAGAAAGTTTTTTAAGTTTTATTATATACAAATAAGGAAAATCAATAACCCTCCCCCCTGGGCGGTGCCAATTTTGACCCCAGGGCATTTATTTGAACAAACTTAGTAGACACTGACTAAGATGATGTTTCATGCCAAATATTTAAGCTCTAGCTCTAATGGTTTTCTGAAAGAAGATTATTTTAAGTTTTTTTTCTTTCGGTTGCCATGGTAACCAGAGGTCTGCTTTGAATTAAATTCTTTGAAAAAACATTTTAAAACAGTCTACCTAAGGAACATTCCTATGGAGTTTGGATGAAATTGGCAGTTTATTGATGAGATGTCGTTTTAAAGTAAAAGTTTACAAACGGACGCTGGACGGAAAAGCGATCAAAAAAGTTCACCATGTCACTTTGTGACAGGTGAGCTTAATAACGATTTATTTAAATTAATATGATAGTAGTGGAGAAACGTTCATTTTAAAAAAGGAACTCCACTGAGGTACAAAACATAAAATTGACAACCTTACAAGGCTCAAGTTAAAACATTTAAAATTGGAAAAATCTTTAAACGATTATAAAGAATAATACTTAGAATTAAATAGAAAATCGATTTTTTGTGCAATTCTTTAGCCGGATTTGAGTGAAAAGCTTTTCAATTTTGTGTCATTTTGGAAAATAAAAATTATTCTGGAAAAAAAGTGGGTTTAGGGGAAAAGACCCCGAAAATTTTGGGTTTAAAACGTTTATAAGTTTTTAGTTTTATAAATTTTTTGGAAAAAATTTAAAATTTTCCCAAACCATTCATTTCGAAAAAATTTAAAATGGAAAATTGGGCCCTTTTAACCCCAGGCCCTATAATAATTTTTAATGGAAAAATATCAGTCAGAGCCTAAAAAGAGGGGTAATTTAAAAGAATTTCCCAAAATAGCCGCATGGGGTTTAAATCCCCCCATAGCAAAATTTAAATTTTTTTCCCTTTAGCCAAAAAAAACTTTTAAAAACTCATTCCCCTTTCTGGTTGGTTTTCCAAGGTTTGGGTTCCCAAAAATTTCCCCCTTCCTTTAAAAACCCCAAATCAAACTAAAATAAATTTTGTATAAACCAAAAGAACTTAGATGACAAATTTAAATTTCATATACATGTATTTATTTCAAATCATATCCATGTGCAACACTAATGTCTCAAAATGTGTTAAAAATATATCAGAAATTAAAACAGTAGAATGTATAAAATTTAACAAATTATTTAAACATTTTCTCTGTATCAAAATTGAATTTTATGCAAAATATGGGGTATTGTAACAAAAGAAAATCTTGCAAAAATAAATTGACCACTATTCTAATGCAACGTGGTTAAAGAATGTAGCACTTTAATACAATGTATGTTAAGTAAATAGCAATTTTAATAGAATTTTTGTTATTAATAATTGACAAATTAAGTTAGATAAACAACATTTTCTCTAGTAAATTTGTATTGTCACAGATAGCACTTTATATAGGAGGGCTATCCCAAAATATCGTAGACAATGTCTGTAACTCAATCAGTTATAACACAATAAAATAATCCAGCTAAGGAAAAGTCAATACACAGTGTATGCTAAAAACAAAATAAATATAACAAAATTGTTCTCCTTTAATTCCTAATATAATTACATGTATATAATTGTTGTAAATCTGTGTAACAAAATAAGATCTTTTAACTTGAATTTTTAATATAACTTTTTACATCACTAAATCTATATTGCATTTTAAATAAAAACAGACATCTTTAACACATAATTTATGTGATTACTTAAAACTTAATTCAATAGAGCAGCATCTTTAACAAATTTAAATTCCTTAATATCTAGGTCAGACTAACAACAGATTATATTCTATCCCAGTTAATATCAATCAAACTTCATGAAGATATAAAAACTTTTTTTTAACTTAAACTTAAATTTGAAATTTCAATAAAACTTCATTGTTACTAAGACAACAATTACAATAATTACAATAATACAACTGCTTAAATTTAGTTTAGTTCTTGTATAAAATTTTACATCTGTAACAGTATCTTCATTAAACTCTGAATATTATTGTGACTGATAACAAAAAAAAAAATCATTTATGTAATAAAATGACTTTGGGTCAATTTCAACTATAAACTTCTAAAACTAATATCTATTTATTCCTTAAAGGTCATTATTTGACTTGAAGGGAAGAGAACATCTTTAAATTCATTGTGCACCGGCTAACCCATTACATTGATAATAATTCCCCATTCTCACACCTAAGTCTGACAAAATAAGACTGGGATGTGTTATGGTTTGTCTTTTCTTCCCATTTATTAAGGCTTTTCATTTATACACAACAAAAACAACTGAAAAGTTAATTAGGAAAGGAAAAACATTTTTTGGGGGTTGTACATATAAATTGTCTTATAATACAGATTTGACTGTACAAGTTTCCCAAACGTTATCAGACAAGTTGTGTACCTCTTATGCACCTGTGCATTATAAAATATACTATAACAAACCCTTGTTATCACAAACCGTGTTATAATTCCTTTCAATGAGCCACAACAGAGCTGTCATTTTCATGCCATTTTAGTCATTAGATTAAAATCATTCTGTCATTTTCAGTGACACGAAAACCCACCCTTTACAGATTCAGGACCCTTAGCACCCATCCACAAAATCCCAGCCGTTAAGGATTCAGGACCCCTAATACCCATCTAAATGCCAGCTCTCATCATTTTGACCTTGTGGAGAGAAATGCTCAAACACAAGCTACAAACATACCCAGGACCCCCCATATGGACCCCAAAGTCACTTTGTGTTTGTATTTATAGTTAGAGTCCAAATATAGATGGGTCTTTAAGCTTGAGAGAGGACAAAACACGCTTCAAGTCATCGGTGTTCCATCGTGTAACAGACGTAGGTACAGCATGGTGACTGCTGCTTGCAACACTGAAAATATATAAACATACATTTAACTGACACATTTGTACATTAAATATAAAACAGATAATTAATTTCCTTAAGAAAATTGCAACGTAATTGGCAATTCCTGTAGAAGAATTCTTGAAGAGTAAAAAAAACTATATATTTGCTGCCTATAGTTTAATAAATTAGTGTTTGAATTTTTTAAAGATCATACCTGTATGAAAGAACAAGAGCTGTCCATAAGAGAACGCGCCCAACAATTCTCATCACTTGACAGTAGAAAAGGTGACATAACTCTATAAAATGGTAACTCAGAGTTACGGAAACTGTGTCCATCATGTTAGATAAACACAAGCATAGAACAAGTTTGGGAAGTTTTTACCCATTCCCTTCAATAGTTTTGGAGATACCAATATGCACACAAAAAAACCTAAACGGAAATGTGACACTAATGCCTGGGTGAGTACAAGAACTTTCCTTATGCTTCTAACAGTCAAAATTAAAGGTTTGTAAACTCCATAGACATAGAAGGGAATGACCCATCAGCAAAATCATTGCTAAATGGTTAACACCCAATTTAAAACATCAAAAGAACATTTTATTCTATTTACTTTCAAAATTCATGTGTGTTTAATAACAGAGACATTATATATTACAATTCATTTGAGAATTAAATTAACTGTTGAATCATAATGTTATGGAAACGACATGGTTTCACTGTTTACAAATTTTATAAAAATATTTCATTAGATATAGCTTTATACATTTTAAGGGTTAAATTTTAAGTTATATGTTCTCAAGTTAAAGTTGAAGAACCTGAGATAAAATCATATACATGTATATACTTAAGTTACTAAAATCAGTGGGTTTTTTTTTCTCTATATTTTACAGCTGTATAATTTCCCCTAAAAATGTTATATTTTCCCCTAAAATGCCCTGTGACCATGATTCTTTACCAAAACCATGATTTAAAAGCAGCTGACTTATATCAACTAGTTGATCAATTTAATTGACTAAAAGACAGAAATCTGTCTCTATAAAAAGCCTCTACCATGTACCATACATTTTCAATTCAACTGAAATTGAATATTTTGTAAAATGTGTGGGTCAACTTTATTCTCAGTAATTGGACTTTGATTTCAAGTTTTCCCCCTTTTCTGATTTATTGTTTTGTATTTTCCCCTTCAGAAAACCACAGGTTTTCTTGAAAATTAAAATAAAAATCAATGAAAATAGAGTCTAGTCACATAAAATTTAGCATGGATAGTATTACAGTTCTGGTTCTTACAATATTTGGTATGACAATAGCAGCTAAAATTCTACACAAATCATGGTCATTCAGTATTCTCACATCACAGTGAGAGATAGGTGGTCCAGGCCTATTGTTCTCAGATTACCAAATAAATCATTACACTTACTCTATGTTGATCGGGTCATTAAATGTGATCAGAATGTCTGTCGAGTATCGTCCAACACGAAGCAAGCCCATGTGTAGCTCCACTGTATTCTTCACTGCTTCGTTGAACTTGGCAATGTTTTGTTCGCCTATCACATACCAGCAACTGTCAGCCCTGAATAGTCAATAAAACATTTTACTGTATAAAACATATCAAAGTCATTAAAATTATATAGAGACATGTACCAACTTCTATCGTCTATTGGTCACACAGTTTTCAATTCCAATATAATATAAACTCTATCAAATTCCTGTTAATTCAGTGCATAAACATAAACTGTAGCATAATGGTTTTCCTCGACTGATATCATAATGCCAACAAGAACCTAAATGCACAGTTCCTGAAAAAAACAGTGCATGTGGATATAAAACTGAGCAAAAGGTCTTACTCTTCCATAGCAATATTGTCTTTCATCACTTGTTCTGTGTGAATAACTCTACTGTCATTCGCAGCACCATTTGCTGTGGCAAGGTCATCAAAATGTGTCCTGAAAATCAAAGGATTATAAATTTGTAACATTAAAACTGACTAGAATGTCAATGTTAGGCATTGTAACATGCTTCATATTACCCCCCTATTAAACCAGCAGAGTACGTTATTCCAAAATATATGCACAGCAGAAAAAACAGAATGGTTACACATCATATGATGTCAGATATGCCGTTAATTAACCAAACAATGTTAGGAAAAATACTTCTACGCTCAATTTAGTTGAACATATTTTTATCAATGCTCTATCTTACTAGTATGTCAAAGTATAATAATGTATGGTTAACGGTATTCGCTCCCAATGATTGAAATTAATCACTCAGGCCTATCAGCATTCATGACAATATTCCTACGCATTTGAATCCAAACTATAAATTATTCTACAACAACACACTCACAAATTTATATCTCTTTCCTAATTAACAAAGAATTTCAGAATCTATTCAATGGTAACTATTCTACTCACCTGGGTCACAAGAATAACAAACTGAAAGTAGGGCATTAACAAAGAAATTCTGAATCCAATTAACATGTACCTGTACGCCTATGTCACAAGTATAACAATGTAAACTTACTTAATAGCAACTTCATCTGGTTCTTGTGAATCAACTGCTTCCATCAGCTCTATAATGATGCTCTGATCAGTTTGGGGATGTGCAAATACTTCCTGGTTGTCAGGGATCTGGCGTATAACACTGAAATTATCATAAGTTTATCATTTTAAACGGTGTAACGACTTCTACCATATTCAAACATTTTAACTTTTTCTTTTTAGCATTACAAAATTTTATTTTTCAATTTTTTTTTTTTTTCAGACCCATGGCTTGCTAACAGATTCTACCCACACTATTAAGTCTGATTAAGTACATATTTTGATATTTTCCTTAAAAAAAAGTTGAATAGTTTTAGCTAGATTGAAAGATGGATAAGTGTTAGTCTTAAAATACCTCCTCAATCCAACATTAACTTTTAGAAGGCAATTGACCATAATCACTAAAATGCTTTGTGTCTGAAATAATGCATAATTCTGACACATTGCCAAAGTCAAGAACTGGTTTTAGCCTGTCAGATCTACTACAACTTAAAAAAAATATAATTCTTGGCTAAATTTCAAAATCTAAATTACCATTGATTCTCTTATATAAATCATGCTTCATTACTATTAATAAAAGTATTATTTCCATAAAAGGAATCATAAACACAGACCTTAGATCATCCCTGTTGTCTGGGAGAACAACACTAAAGGCGCCACCAAACAACAGCTGTTCAGACATCTGAAAAACACAATTAAATTGACATTAATTCATTAAATAATAAATCATAAATTAAACGGTAATAAAGTTTGTAACAAAACAAAACAAACAAAATGACTCATATTGTAAAGGTCTCCTGCTAGCTTGATTATCTTAAAATCCTCTCAATATTTCTATTGTACCAAGTTTATTGCTTCAATCACCTATTAAGTACATAAAACATGATAGATACACAGTTAATTGTTGTTCTTCTTCTCTTTAATACGGGGAAGTCAAAGACCGGGCCCGCGAAGCGGGTCCGGGCTTTGGCTTGCCCGGCTATAGACTACACGTGTATATTTAAAAGAAAATCAAATAAAAAACAATAAAAAAATATATAGAATTCTATACCTATCAACGAAATTTTCAGTGTCAGTTCTAGTCGGGCACCGCCATTTACAATATAACTCAATGATAATAGGCGGGGTATTCCGATAACGTACCAAATCTCAACTTTTCGGATAAATAATAATCGTCGAGTGTTCCGAGTGAAAACGGAAGCAGTGCATGTAATACCGAATGACACATTTAAAACGGAAGGAATGAAAGGAATATTTTAACGACTTCCCTGTTCATAGGCTTTGCCTAATTTCATATTAAAACCAGAGACATAGATAACATATGTCTCTGATAAAACTACAACTGAAAATGTAAATTTAAAAATTAATTCAAAGTTTTCCACTATACAGGTAGCATTTTATCACTCTTTCTTTATATTATTCATTAAACAGGTGAAGTTCAGTGAAGATTGATATACAATTTACACAGTCACATAATAATATAATAATCACATATTACATTATGTATATATTAATTATTAAAATATTACATGTCATGTTACAGAACTGTTAGGTGAAAAGATGTGTAAGCCACCGGAAAGCTCAGTCGGTAGAGCTTCGTAACTGTATACCAAGTTTCGCAGATTTAAGTCCTGATCAGGCTGTACATTCTTTTTCTCACCATGTGACATACCATTGATATAATAAGGTAAATTCTAAATTCTATTTTCTTTAAATCAAATTTTTTTTAATATATACACCAGCCTGTCTACACACATCATTCATCAATGAAAAAATATTGTGATAATTAATACGGGGAAGTCAAAGTCCGGGCCCGCAAAGCGGGCCCGGGCTTTGGCTTGCCCGGCTATAGACTACACGGGTATATTTAAAAGAAAATTCAAATAAAAAACAATTAAAAAATATATAGAATTCTATACCTATCAATGAAATTTTCAGTGTCAGTTCTAGTTAGGCGCCGCCATTTACAATGTAACTCAATGATAAAAGGCGGTGTATTCCGATAACGGAACAAATCTCAACTTTTCGGATTATTAATAATCGTCGAGTGTTCAGAGTGAAAACGGAAGTGGGTATATATAATACCGAATGACACATTTAAAACGGAAAAATGAAAGGATTTTTTTACCGACTTCCCCGTTCATAGGCTTTGCCTAATTTCATATTAATAATAAAACACTTAAATAACTCAAATGAGAAAATATTTTTATCAAGCTGATCTAGATACTGTACCTTTTCAGAGCAGCTCACAAATTAGTTTAGTAGATCTATCCAAAATTTCAGTTATCCGAATGTAAGTATTTTTTAAAATTCTTGACTGACGACTCGAATATGGAAATTTCATAGAAATATAAAAGTATATTTACAAAAACGATAACGGTCTTAAAGATTTTTCGGGTATTAGACGCAAGAAGAAAGTTATTGCTGTTTATTGTGCAATAAAGTCTGTGTCAATTTGGCGCTTTATTTTTAGGTGCGCGTAAAATTAGTACGCTGTAGTTATCATTTAACGGTTGAACACTACAAAAAGACATGACTTAAAAAAATCGGCCAAAAAGTTAATCTGAGATTAAAATAAAAAATAAATCCTTCAGTTAATCAAATTATTATATTTTTTCTGTTGTGCTTTTTTTTTACGAGACCTTTCTAATTAAAATAATTAACAATTTGAAATTAAAATAAAGATATTGGAATATAACTTTTGAATGCTATGAGGAGGCTTCGATCGTTCTCTACAGTGAATTAATACTTGTTTGGTTTTTTTCTTGTTTAATTAAGTTGATATATCTCGCGTTCGTGAATAACGTGAATAATAACTATGCCATATAAAAATGTGGTTGCCCAATACGAGCCTCTAGAAGACAAAGGAGAGTTTAAATTACGGAAGACGGTTTTCCTCGGCTACACGGATGTAGCGGCAGGTGGCATGTAAGTTCTTTGTTATTTTCTCACTCCACATTTGCAATCTGATAAAAACGCTTTGTAATTAAAACATCATATACAGATATTTGTTGTCCTTTTCTAAATGAAAGCGCAACATAGCTTGGAATAACATTCATTCATTCATTCATTCATTCATTCATTCATTCATTCATTCATTCATTCATTCTTATTTATTTATTTGTTTGTTTATTTATAAAATGTTCTTTTTAGAGTTAAGTCGTGTGTCCCATGTTACTGTACAAAATACTTCAGTCACTTTGTTGTTCGAAATACAGGGTCATGATTTTTATTCGCAACATTATTCTTTGCAAGCTAGGTGATCGTATTTGATATGAGAATGAATTTCGCGTAGTTTTTTTCAGACGAGCTCTGCTTGGCATCAACATGAAGAAAGAGTTTTTAACAATAGATATCCCGGAACTGGGTGATGTAAAATTAGCGGTAGAAAGCACGGAGAAATTAGACCCGAGGGATCAGCCATATGCACCTTTTCAAATCTGGAATCTTAAATATGAACTGGTAAGCATGAGCACGAAATAATAAATTGTCACAACTCACCTTGCATTTCTCGTTTGTGCGTCCGTATTAATGCAGTTGAGAAAGGAATACTTTATCAAACATATAATTCCGATATCTAGAAGATCATGTTCTAATTTAAATCCAAGAAAAATACATGCAACTATAAACCGAACTGAAATGTTGATAAACTGGTGCAAAATAAACCAACAAAACCAAACCAAACCAAACAAAAGGAAGGAACGAACGAACGAACGAAGGAACGAACGAACGAATGAAGGGTGGTTGGTTCGTAGGAAGGAAGAACGAATGAATGAATGAAGGAATGAATGAATGAATGAATGAATGAATGAATGAATGAATGAATGAATGAATAAAAGAAAGAAAGAAAGAAAGAAAGAAAGAAAGAAAGAAAGAAAGAAAGAAAGAAAAGAAAGAAAGAAAGAAAGAAAGAAAAAGAAAGAAAGAAAGAAAGAAAGAAAGAAAGAAGAATTCTTCTACCAGTCAATCTGAATAAATGTTGTTTATTATAATCTTAAAGACCAGTCTACTAGTTAATACATTAAATCAAATACTGAAATGTTTCGAATGACACATTGTATAAAACTTTGGTACACTATGTATTTTTTTAATGCATTTTAGAGTGCTGTTTTAAAATATTAATGATGATGTTTTGCTTTTAAATGGCACTTAAATCTCAAAGTGTCTTTGCAGCTAAGAAATAAATAGCCAAATATAAAATCAGTTTTTGAAGTGTCACAATTAACGTGTGTCTACATTTTAAAATAGGGCACTTGATATATTACTTTGTTTATGTTCTTACTGTGCAATAAAATCAATGCTGGTTTTAAGATTTGATTTTATAACTCGGTTCGATTTAGTAATGCCCTGTATGAATTTAAGTAAACGATTTTCCTGCTGTAAGCATGTCTCCACTTTGACAAGAATAAAACAAATTTCGCATACATGCATGTTGCCTTAAATATTTTTTTGGTATGCATGTAATATTATACTTTTAACTATTAATTAAGCTTTGTAAATTTGAGTAAGTTTCCCTATTCGGCCATTTTATAAAAACAAATCACCGTGTCCTATACATGTAGATGTGCAAGTTTAACATACAATGCATATGATGAAAGTTATGGTTATTTTGTATGAAGATACCAAGTAAATTGTTATATTATTAGCTATAAAAAGTATATTAGCTATAACAAGTAGATCCATTGGTAGCTGCAGGTAAAATCTTATCTTCTACATATAATACATATGAATATGTTATCAATTTTAAAACATATATATGTTTTGTTTCAGTTTTCTGTTATTCTAGTCAACACCAAACTGAAAGCAGACAAATGCCACTATGTATGCTCCAAAATAATGGATTTATGCACTCGATGGTAAGCCACTTTTTAAAACCCTTTATCTAATTAAATTTATTATTCAAGACAGTAATTTAAACACTTACAATCCACGTTAACTACAAAAGGAAGGTCAAAAGGTGCAAAAGGAGCCCTTACTGTGTTAGTTATGTGGTAAAATCACAGTAATAAATACTGCAAAGTCAGTCTATACTCGCATATAACATGATAACATTATTACTCGAATCTTATTTCTACTTTCTTAAAAATCTTAGTGAAGTTTTCTCAAGTTTCTGGAATATTCTGGCTTATCTGGTGACATTATATGCAGCTTGAACTGTAAGAATTTAAGAAAATTATAAACTAAATCAACCAATATAGACTTACAGACATATGCGTTAGACGATTTCCCCAAAGACAAGGGTACAAAGTAAAGGGACATCGTCTAATTAATACGAAAATGCTTTTAGATTTATATCAATTGTAACTTTAAATTGAAGTTATGAGTTTTAGCAATTAAAATATTTCAAAGCTACTGTTAATGTAAAATACAACAAAAGTATCATATTTTTTTAATGTTTACAGGTGTGTAGATAAGCTGGTTGTTCTGAGTGCACTAAGGTTAGATGTTTCCATGGATAATATTTCTGATATATATGAAACTGTCATAAATGACATGCCACGTAAGAATTATTTATATGTATATACCTGTATATGTAGTTTACTAAATTCAATCAAAGAATGCAGGGTCACCCAAGAGGCGGTGGTTACCTACTTATACCTGTACATGTTTTATCAAGTAGAAGTTGAATGTTAATGGACAATATACATTTATTCATAATTCATTATGACTTTTCCCGCAAATGCAACAATTCAAGTTATAAAGTTGACTAGAACACACGTGTGTCTTTTCTCTTTGTGGACCACATGGATCTCCTTTATAATACGAAGAATATTACATCGTGATTGGAAAATATGCATGCATTATTAAGATATGTAGCTTGAAGTTTTTTAACAACTCCATCATGGAGATAATAAAGCACAAAAAGCATTACAAATGTTATCCTTGTTCTTAATTAAGCAATTCAAAACAAAAACAATAAGTATATTTTAGTTATCTGCGCTGATATGTGAATATTTCAGTTACAAAATGTCCGGAACTTTCCGGGGATACCAGGATGAATGACCCATTTCTGAGTACATTAATACAAATGGTACAAGTTGAATACATACCGACATGCTTCCTGTTAATACCTGCCCACAGGGCGTGTCTTGGTGAAGCACGTGAAACTGACGGCAGTAAACAGGTATTCAAAGTTAATGATAAAAATTTAGACACTTCAATTTAAATTAGAATAATGTATTTAATAGATAAACAATTATAAGTACTGCCGTTTTTTATAAAAATTAAAGTTAAAGCTTCATGAAATGAGAAATTGCTTAATGAAGTAGAAACGATGCGTAGTAAGCAATAATGTAACACTTATAGATCTATTCTAATGGCCTAGGTTTGTCATCTGTATTGCTATTAGATACTAGGTTAATATACGCAAGTTTCAGGTGAACTTCATAAAAAATATTGTAAATTCCTGTAAGTCAATTATAAGAATGAAGAATTTGCAGATTTTTTTAAATTATTTTATTTCAGGTGATTAAGACATTTCAACAAACCATCAATACAGCAACGAAAATAAGCTTTGATCAGGAGTTTAGTAATAACTTGGTTAGTATACATGTATATACGAGTACTTGCATGTCATATGAATTTAGTGTATACTTTACAAATTCATTTTAATTTGTTGATCAAAATTCATTTTGACGCTACTGTATGTGATTAAGGAATATAAGTACATGTATATAGGTTATAGTGATTTCATTAATGCTGACTAACAAAAACTAACAAACTTAGGATTGAAATTATGCAGGATTGAAATTATGCATCGTGCGACTGTGGTACGCTGATTGAACGGGGAAATATTAAATGATATTTTGCACCGATTAATTAAATTTACAAAAGAATTTGAAAAATGGAAATATCTCATTTGACAAAATATATTCAAAATTAAAACAAATTTCCAATAAAAAAATATAGTGTTTCGTCAAAAGGTGCACGTTGTGACAAAAAATCAAAAATGTATAATTTATGCTGTTCTTGTTATTCAACACCTTTTCAGATATACATGTATAGTATGATTGTTTATTCCTTACCATGCTAAATATCTTATATGAATTTGTCTGTCTTTCAATCATAACCATTCATCACTTTAGGAGGAAACAATTTACCAAGAAACTAGTGAACAGTGAAGACCCTGATCAGACAGCACAAATGAGTTATTTAAATTTTCAATATTTCTAAACATTTTTTTTCTTCAGATATACAAGGGAGATAATGACCAGAAAGATTCCAACAGTGTCTCAATGATCTACTCGTGAAGATGACCGCCATCATATTTCGTGACTTCCTTCATGTCCTTGGCAAAGATTGGAATAATAAACTGAAAAGTCTATAATGTCTTATTGCATTGTAATGCAATTGTTAACAGTGCATTCCTTGCAGACATTTTGAGATATCAGCAAAATGTTATCATAAAATGGTCTTATTATCATAAGAGTTCCACAACTTAAAAACATATAATTTGAAAATCTTACATAATTGTAAATCAAATGGGACAGTAAATCCCAGAAATATGAGAAAGATAAAGAAATATGTACAGTATTAAATTGAAAATAGACGTTTAGTGTGAATCTTTGCTCAATTTTCACTTGAATTAACTTGAAAGGTTTTCATTTTCCACAATAAAAAAGATTATTTTGTAAAAAGCAATGCCAGTGAATTAATGTTCAGAAATTTTGCACACATTTTAATGATACACACCTTCACCAAATGGTATAAAAATCTTGAAAAGATATGTCCAGTCCTGTCTAGCAAAAAAAACCTCAGTGGAGTCGCTCTTATGAATTTGTATACAATAAATGCCATTTTTTTTTTTATCTCATATCAATAAATTTGTTAACATGAAATCTAAATGAGTATGCTGTCGTACTATGTTAATAAAATCAATATCTTGTAATCAATAAGTAATTTATTTATTTAGTATGTTAACTGTTTTTCATCTTGTCACACCATCATACTCATTTCATTATCTTATAAAGTTAAGTTAAAACAGAGTGGTTATTCCATTTTTTACACACACATATTTGCCCCTTGTGGCTGAGGGGCTGCCTTAAAGGATCGAGGGATCAGAATTTCACCCACCATTTATCCCTGCGTGATCGTAAGAGGCGATAAAATGGGTTCAAATAACTGAAGTCTATGAATCCCTTAGCTCTAGGTTGACCCAGGTATTGATTTAATTTTGTAACACCCTAGGTAAAACAACTTTCCTGTTTCGGTGCCAAATGACCTAAACTGTGGTAGTGCACCATAAACCCAAACAAAGCAAAAACATATATTTTCTGATATTCAAGTTTAATTATCTTATAATGTGTAAAAAATCACATTGCTTATTTCATTTTTATGACATACATTTTTCACATCCAGGGGACATGGACCTGAATTGATGTTTCATTAGGAAACAAGGATATAAATGAATAAAAAATAAACAAATCGGTTACCAATCTTATATATTTTATTTGTTTCTTAACTTTATACTATTAAAATAAATACAATTGCATGATGAAAAAAATTATCACAGATTTATCTAAATACATGTATATACTTTCACTACAAAATGCAAAAACTTGTGTCAGTAACTTTCAAAGCAAATCATCATATTTTGTTAACGGTCTTGGCTAACCCACCCATCACATAGACTTCTGACTATGACAAGTGTTTAAATAAGGATTTTCTTGTTATTTAATGTAAACTAAATAATATAGAAAGGTTCAACAAGAGCCGGTCGAACCGGGTGATGTTCCCTGAAAAGGTTTAAAACACAGAGAAGTAGTTTCTTGTTGAAATCTTGAAGTTTTGGTTATATCATGGACAAAGTTTACAGTGTAAAAATGATTAAAAACCCAATAACTCCAAAATTAGACAAGGCAGAGTTACTGTTCTTTTGCACTGTACTTCTACTTAATGAGATCTATCTACCTACAAAGTTTCTTGTTGATATCTCTTGTAGTTTCAGAGTTATGTTCCTGACAATGTTCAAAGTGTAAAAATGAATAAAAGGGCAATAATTCAAAACTTAGACAAGACAGAGTTATTGAATTGCACTTCTATTCAATGAGATCTATCTACCTACAAAGTTTCTTGATGATACCTTGTTTTGTCCTTGACAAGAAAAGTGGAAAGACGGACGGACAAAGCCGTGAGGCTTTCCCTTTGGAAAGCATTAAAAGTGAATAAGCAAAATAAAGAAAACAAACTTGTTTAATTTGATCTGGATAGGGTATAAAGTTTTTGTTCATTTCTGAACAAACGGTTATCTTTTACCATAAACAATAACTGTCTCTATAATTATTGATTTAAGCAAATCATAAATTCAACTCAAATTCATCAAAAATATCAAAATACCACTATAAAACGGATTTAACTCAAAACAAGATTGGAGCAGTACCTCTAGACGCTTGCAGAAATCATTATCAGAAAATAGACAAATATCGTTTTTTTTTGCCAATTTTCAATTTTTACATTTATTATCATACATAAATCGGTGTGAAAAGATGAATTAGACCTTTTAAAGTTCATTCCGTTGGGTTAAAAAGCAAGATTTTAGCATTTTATCATTCAAGCGCCGTGTCCGGTATATACCCAAATACGGTATTTAGTGTGGTGCTCCAATCCTTTTTTTAGTCTCACTCCTATAAAACAAGACACATTTAAATACACATGGAAATAAAATGCATTATTGCCCCTTTCTTATCGTTATGTATACAAAATGAACTTCAAAAAATGGTTCATTTGTACTAATATTCTAGCAAAAAAACCCAAATTTTTTTCATACTTATAAAATAGAAATATTTTTTTAGAAGTATTTTGAAATATGAATAAAAATTTACACTAAAATTTACTATAATCTAATTGGGTCATCACTTCTTTCCATTTTAAGTCGTTTCATCTCGTACATCAGTGAGTAGGTAGAGTTCAATAAATCGTCTGTGGCCTGTTTAAGTCCCTGGGAAGACTGGCTAAATGCTGATGTATTAGTGTGTACTGATGGCCATATCGTGTCCGTGTACTTGGCCTCGGGACGGTAAGTGGGTGCTGGCATTGGTTTACAAATTGATTGCTCCGCGGCGTCCCAGTGGTACGGGTAATTAGCTGCCAGCCTCTCTGCCTCACTCAAAGTCTGAAATAATCAAAATATTGAAAATAATTTTTTTTTTTTTAAACTTAACCCTGATTTGAATTTGGAACAGTCCAATCATATCTTAGGGTTTTCAACATCAAAATACAGAAAATAAGCTACCATCAGTATAAAGCCTGGTCAAACTGCAGCATTGATTTTGATCCTAAACATTTAAAATTTCCAGATCAAAATATTATTTCAATGACTTTGTTACTATTTATATAACTGTGTTTTATATAACTGTGTTTTATATAACTGTGTTATATATAACTGTGTTTTATATAACTGTGTTTTATATAACTGTGTTTTATATAACTGTGTTATATATAACTGTGTTTTATATAACTGTGTTATATATAACTGTGTTTTATATAACTGTGTTTTATATAACTGTGTTTTATATAACTGTGTTTTATATAACTGTGTTTTATATAACTGTGTTTTATATAACTGTGTTATATATAACTGTGTTATATATAACTGTGTTTTATATAACTGTGTTTTATATAACTGTGTTTTATATAACTGTGTTATATATAACTGTGTTATATATAACTGTGTTTTATATAACTGTGTTTTATATAACTGTGTTTTATATAACTGTGTTTTAATTACATAAAAAATATTTGGAATACTCCTGAATTTCATAATAATATTTAACTAACATAACATCACTATTTTTTGTACATAAAACCTACAAAAAAAATATCTTTAATTCAGTTTCCAGTTTATTTTTATTTTTTCCTCTTAGCTTCCACACATGAAGTAAGTTCCATGAAACATACCAAATAATACAAATATTTCCTTGATAAAACAAAGCAAAACTTATTTTTTTCCTTTTTATAATTATGTATAACAATCAACATTGGTACATTATAATTGACATGATGAGTGCAAAATGTCTTACAGTTTTCATGGAGGATTTGATCCCAGTGGTGGCATCTCTCAGAGCTATGTTAGAGGAAGCTGGTACCATGGCAGGCTGTGTCGTGTTCCAACCCTTCAAACAATGCTGAAAAAATATGATAACTTATAATTAATATAAATATTTTCAAAGTTAATATTCATCCTTACATAGAGATCCATATTTTGTATTTCGATGCAACCCATCAGAAAAGTATTGCTTAATCTTCTTGCAAGAACTCAGTAACTTGTAATCTTACAATACATTTATATCATTTTCAATACATTTTGTTTGTTCTGAATTTGTATTACAAACAGGTAATGTACTAGTCAATTATTTAGTTTATCCAAATTTATTTTAGTTTCTGTCTGAATCTATAAACTTATTGAAACACTCTAAAATCCCTGACTAGGACCCACCAATAGTAAGCAACAAGTGTAAAGTTTCTTGCTGATAGAAACAAGGCCTTGCCCCCGACAGGGTTTTAACCTATACCACAAGCAATCCTTAGATGACTAGTCAGTTGTAATCACATCAAAGGACAGTAAGATGGTAAAATCCTCAATCCATTCAAGGTTAACACACACTAACATACACACTTGAGAACACCTACCTGTGACAAAGCCATGGAATCTGTGCCATCAAAACTATTTCTACGATGAGGTTTAACTCTGTGTGGAGGCATTAACGTAGATCTTGGTATACTCACTCTGAAATAACAACAGTTCTGATTACTAAATTATGAAGCTGTTTTGGTTAAGACAGTAAGACAAATTTTATTTATAGTCCGTTGTGGTTAACAGTACAAAACATAAGCTTTAAGCTTGTATCAGACATGAAAATGTTCTAGTATGAATAATGCAAAGTGTGATATCATTTAAGTATGAATAATGCAAAGTGTGATATCACTCTAGTACAAATAATGCAAAGTGTGATATTATTTAAGTATGAATAATGCAAAAAAGTGTGATATCACTTAAGTATGAATAATGAAAAAAAAAGTGATATCATTTAAGTATGAATAATGCAAAGTGTGATATCATTAAAGTATGAATAATGCAAAGTGTGATATCACTCTAGTACAAATAATGCAAAGTGTGATATCATTTAAGTATGAATAATGCAAAAAAGTGTGATATCACTTAAGTATGAATAATGCAAAAAAAAGTGATATCATTTAAGTATGAATAATACAAAGTGTGATATCACTCTAGTACAAATAATGCAAAGTGTGATATCACTTAAGTATAAAAAATGCAAAAAATGTGATATCATTTAAGTATGAATAATGCAAAGTGTGATACCATTCAAGCTTTGCCTGGTATTTATATAAAAAAATTTTAATATGATAATAATCAGATTTTAGTTACCGCACAAATCTTGGTTCATCATAGGTTGGTTCCTTCTCTTTCACATGACTGGTATCTGGCTCCTGATAATCATAATCGGCAAAAAGACTTTTCTTAATTGGCTCGGGAAACAATCTGTTGTTAACAACGTACGGCTTCACCTCTATAAATATCAAATATAAAACTGTTTGTAAAATCTATTTTCATTGAATGACTGTAATGTCTATTCCATTGGATGACTTTTCATGTACATATCAAAAATGCAAAGCTGCAGTTAATCTAGAAATTATTTTTCATTTTCCTCAAAAATAAAGGACTTGTGTGTTATTATAGATTAGTTAAAAAGATTTTGTGACAGGTATGGCCAAATGCTACAAAACCCCTACCTTGGTTCTAATGTTAAATAAACTTCATTAATACAGGGCAAAACAACCTTTCAAACAAAATCTTTAAAATTAATGATATACAAAAGTTTACATCCTAAAAAACACAAATGTGATGACATCCTCGCTATTCTATACAAATACAAGTCTTTGGTGGTGGTGTTGATTTTCACTCAGGATCACGACAGTAAGCCACACTGAATTTATCAGAGCACAGTTCTGCAACCGCATCATTCCTGGGCAGGCTGTCAAGCAGTTTACCAGTACTAGTTGCCTTCACTTCCACAAGGAATTAAAATTTCTGTTTATGGCAGAGCAGAGGTACAGTGCGAATGACCGTATTAAGTACAGTGCTAATGATCGTAGAAAAGATTTCTTGACCAATCACAACAAAAGTGATCTGCACCGTCCCCGAATCATACTCTGGTTGCCCGATTCACAGTCCAATGCATTACCTATTGAGCTAACCAGACGGAATTACTTTAATCTCCTAAATATATATATATCAAGGGAAACAATGGCTTAGTGTTTAAAGTGTCTGCTTCTCAACCCAGGAATCATGGGTTTGAGCCCTAATTGGGTCACAACCATGTTTCTTCTTATAACATCAGTACTAGCGGATTCCAGGAAGTGGACTCATAAGTGAATTAATATAAGTTTCACAATCAAGCTCTACTTAGCACAAATAAGTTCACAATACTTAGAATGCCATGAAAGCACTGTTTATCATTATATTATAAATATCATCATAAATCAGCATTCACTTCTAGGACAAATTTGTTTATAAGTAAAACTGATTTACAGAACATTTGTATGTTATAATGTATCACATATAGGATCTAAGTGTTAAACATTTATTACTAAAACTGTTATTTACACCTTAAAAAGAAATAACCATTATTCTAAACATATACACTAAAACTTCTATGATATCACTTTACCCTTTCTAAAACACAAAGAATCCAATTTTGAGACAAATATGTGTTAAAAGTTATTTTATACCTAAAATCCACATGTTTAATTGACACCAAACACAAAGCAATTTATATATTAATGCTGTAATACTATATATATCAGTATCATAAATAAAGCATACAATTGTACTATTTAATTTACTTTTATACAAAATGCCTAGTTTCATGAATGATTGACAAACATTATCTTAAAGCTATAAAATTTTGTGATCAATCATAAATTTAACAAAAGTTGTCACAGAGAAATTTCACCTCCCCAAACCAGCAACCCACAGTGGGTAAAGATTATTTCAAAATACTTTTAAGGGAAAGACTTGCAACTTAACATGACTAAAAATACAGTATAACTTAAAACTACGCTTATAATATGCAGATATATATGTAAATAATACAAAAAAATAATACTTTGAATATAACCACTATAGGTAAATATTTGGTAATTGGTATTGATACTTTTTGGTATATAATAATTAATTGTAATATGGTAAAAAAGCTGGAATAATCTGTACAGCAGCTAAAATTCCAAACAATAGTATTTTGAATAACTTTTCAAATATTATATTATTATGTTTAGTTTATTGCTACATCAAATATGTTTGCAGTGAAATCAGTTATCCACAAAAGTGGTTTTCATTTTCAGCATGTTCTTGATTTATGTCATATTACTTTATGCCTAGGAATTCAATACATTCATAAATGGGGTGCGCAGGAATGACGTCATTTAATACATGCAACTTGTCTTACACAGAAGTTGTTACACAGGTGCTTTTTTTTAAATAGCACTGGCGTAAACAGTAAATACTTACACCCTCTACCCCAGTTATCATTTAATACAAATGTAACATCTGACATTGTACAATAAATGATTTCCTGTTAAAACATTAAAATTTGTTATATATAAGATATAAAAAACCTCTAATAATAAGTTATGGAACTGCAAACTACCTGATACTGGGTTCTCCTTTTGTCCTGGTACATTAAACATATATATCAGTTATAAATATCATAAATAGAGGATATTGAATGAGTGTAAGTTTAATACTGAATTTATTGAACCAGTTGAATTAAAGTATATTATGTGGGCCTTTGGTGAGCATGACATTATTTTATTCAACAAGTTCAATAAATTCAGTAATGAACTTAAACAAATTTAATATTCTATTTATCACATACCAAAGCAAAAGCGGCATGAGTATGTGATAGAAATATCATACAAGGTATAGTGCAACCTCCGTAGGAGCAACCCTCTGTTGAACAGTAACCTCTTTACAAAAACCAACTCTCAATTCTTCAAATTATAAGACCATACAATATTTCAAATCTTTCTAGTGCAATACCCATAAGCGACAACTAAAATCCTGGTCTCAAAAGGTAAACATCCTGAAAAGTTAGTACTGTAATTGCTAAAAACTTAAACATCATTTTTCTAATTTTACTGGAAAAAAACCTACACTATTACAGTAAACTGACAACATTTCACAGTAACCGGAACACCATACATATATTTGAAATGTATGTGAAATGGGATCAGAACATGTAGGTCTTTCCAAAATCAAAATATTTTTTTGGAATATAAGCTGACAATAGAAATGTGTTCAGCATTGTATCTTGATGTGAATGTAATAATGTATTGTATATGGAATAACGTTATTCGCTCTTACTTGTTTCTTCCAGGGCTTTCTGTACAGGAAGTGGCTCTCTTTCTGGGTGTTCCCACAATTGCTGGGGACTGCTGTTATAGTGAAAACAAAAAAGATAAACATTAGAGAACATAACTCATAATTCATTATGTGCAGTATGAACATATTGAAAAGATAAACATTAGAGAACATAACTTATGATTCATTCTGTGCAGTATGAACATATTTAAATGATAAACATTGGTTAAATGCACCCTGTTTTGTCTGTTGCTTGTTTTCTTTCATTTATCTGGCAATGTTCCACTGTTACCTGGTTTTCAAGAGAATATCTAATCAATCAGAAGCCTGGTGATTAACATGTCTGCCTTTCAACTACTGACTGTATGTTTAAAACCTTAAATGGTCATTGTACCTACATGTATTTCTCTACAGGGTAAGGTGGTACACAAAGTAGACTTAAGCATGTTGGCTTATGAAAACTGTAGGATACATGTTAGTTAAGTCCTTTTTTTTTTATACAGTTGCAATAATAAAATAATGTGATGAAAATTGAACGTGTACATGTACATACATGTATGATTTAGGAAAATGGCATAATCATTCTACAAAACAAGATACTCTAAGGACTCTGTGATCAGAATGAAAACATATTTCACAATTATGAATAACTTACTCCATGTACATAGAGTTTACACATTCCTCTAAATTCAGACGTCTAAATTCTTTCAAATCTTCAAAGAAAGTCTCTGATTGGTTGATGGCATTGGAGTCGTTGTCAAGCAAGGCCGCTATCCAATCATATCCCAGCATTTTCTGTTGTTGCTTGGAGATAGAGTCCATCTGAAAGGTCAAACTTCCTGATGCGTCCCGTGTTGGACTTCGGAAACTGACCCGACTTGTGTTACTTGTACCAGATGTAGACTGAAATAGAACACAGAATGACATATTTCAGGGTGTTTTTCTTTTTTTAGTATTTTGGGAACATGATCCATACCCATGGAATCGGGAATTTCAGTGATGTCTTGTTAAAATTGGGAAAAAATACATGTCATTGACTTAAATTTTGCAGTGATTAAATGATTATGAATACAAAGAATCACTGTCTAGAATGGCATCTTCGATTCATTTTTGCACCACCTTATTTTCAAAGATTTTAGAATTTGTTATTAAATATTTTTATTTTGTAACTTTCAATTGGGAATTTTTTCCCATGGATTGGGAAAATAACATACTATTTTCAATTGGGAATTATGGCTGAATATCGGCTATAAAATAAGCCAGAAAAAAATCCCTGTATAATTTGTATATTCTTTACAAGGTTATTGAGCCCTTCATCTGCTGGTAGCAACTGGATCTACCAATGTGATCTGAGCCATCTGATCATGGTCTGCACTGTTCACTACTCAGACAGTAAACATTTTGAAATTTTCCCTTAGTTTTGTCCAGACTGAAAGATGGACAAGTCTTTGATTTGAGATTTTTAGCATTATTTAAGTGTTAAGTGATGCCCTTTTCTTTCAATGCAATGTGGTTGAGCCAAATCAGACTTAATAAAGTTGGCATGTTGATATTAACTTTGTGAAACAGAAGCAGTTAAAACTATTTGTGCAACATTATGTTATCTGTTAATACAAAAAATAAACTATAAAAGTATCACTTTACTCTTTCTTGTTAACTTTTATATATAAATTAATAGAAGGCAGTGCTTAGAAAAATACTTAGAAAAATACTTCTGTTCTATGTTTGCCCTTGATTTTAAAAGATTAAAATAGTTATAAAGATAAAAAGAAATCTTACCCTGTTTGATCTGTTGCTAGTGGACAGCAATATTGATTTGGGCTTTTTGGTTTCTTTTATAAATTTGGCAATTTTCCTACTGTTACCAGGGTTACCCAGATTTTTGGAATAATTCTCTTCACCAGATATTGGATCTGTATCTCTTACAGGTATATCGTCATCATCACTAACACCTGTACCAGTTCCCAGTCTCTCCTGCAAGAACTTCAGATCACTGTCTTCCACATTGGAATAGCTGTAGTTTAACCGAGGATACTCATCTTCACATTCCTTCAACAGCTCGCTAGCGTTCAGATTCGCCATTCCATTAACTTTCACATTCTGATCAATAATTCGCCTCCTTCGGAGAGTATTTGGAGTCCCCGAACCTTTTGCCGCAGTCTCTGCATAACTATCATGATGAGCATTTTCTTTAAGATCATCCATGTAAACTTCCTCTATGTCTTTTCTCAAGTTAGATAACTCTGTATTAGTGTCCCTGCTTAAATATTCTTGACTTTCTACATTTAAATCTTTACTTTGGAATGATTTCTTTGGGGAAGTCTCAACAAGATTTTCTTTGTTGGAATTGCGTCCACGTTTCAAATCTGCCTGATCTGTTTCTTCTCTTGATTGAGTTCTCCTTCTATGTAGTCTGTAAACAAATCCAATGTCCTAGTTTACAAATTTTAAGTAGTAACACCATACCATTTTTATCATCTAACTCTTTTTAATAAACAAATTATTTCATCTCATAGTGCTCATTATTCGCAATTCAGGACAGTTTTCTTTTTCTTAATATCTTTAAAAAGTCATGGCAATTAATAATGAGGAAAATTGTGCATTTTTTAAAAGAATTTTTTACTATATACAATCAATAGGAAATGCTCGCACCCTGACAGAACCCAAATGACATTGTTTATGACAAATTTCACACTTAAAATAACATAACATTTTTATTATTTGAGTATTTTTATGAAATTTGGACTATAAGTAAATGACAGACCATTAACTGACTAGTAGACCACTATAAGTCTAATACAGTAAGCAAAGCATTGATAAAATTGTAGAAAAATTAAAATTTAAATATGTAAATATTATGATATAAATATAATGTAATGTACTATATTATTTCCCACCAGTTATTTCCTGAAAATTTATTAACTTCAATATAATTCTGACAAACTGAATTCTTGTTTTTTTAAAAAAAATGCTAAGAACATTCAAAATTTATTTCAATTCAATGAACAATGAAAGAGTTTTTCATTTAAAAACTACTCAATATTTACTTTGACAAATATACATAATGATGAATTTATCTTATATGTAAGACCAAAATATTTAACTAATGGCTCGGGTGATATAAAATCTTGACAGGTAATATATCCACATATACGTGGGTTGTCCCAAAAGTCTGTGACAAATTTTATAGCCGGTTCATTTTTAACGCCAATAGAAAGTAATTCACACATATAACCGTTAAGTTTATTATTTAACATTACAACAAATCATTTACAAAAAATTTATCCTAGTTACTTAGAAATTTTCAATATTTACGACATTGGTTTGAGTTGCCGGTGCACGTCAAATAATTTACATTTTGCTATGAATAGGCTGAAATTAATTACGTATATTTCAAATATCTGATGATGTGTCTGCACAATGTCACGTTGACTTCCTCTGCTGCTATGTTTAAATCATCTCTGAAAATTTTAGTTAAATAACTTAAACAACGAAAAAGATACGAATAAATGAAAATATCTCATATAAAATAGGAAAGTTAAAATGGCGACGTTCGAAAAATTTGTGGCGCAGTGAACAACATGTCACTCAGGTTTCATGACTATTTCGAGATGACACATGTAACGATTTTCAACAATTATACCGAATATAACAGTTTAGCAACCTATTCTGAGCATTTGTGTACAAAAGGCATGAACGGAACCATAAATTTGCGCTACAAAAAGCGAAAATAAGGAAAACACGGATAGGAAGACCGATCTTCGTCGCCTATTTCCTACAGCTAAAAACAGGAGTAACGAGATCGGAAGTTCGCGTATAGCAAAAATTAATGTATGCCATCCAAACATTCAACAGACATTAACAACCACATGATTTAAGTCAGAAATTGACGATTTATGGGTACCATTATTGCGTTGAAAGCCATTGAGAGTATTTGAGAACGGCGCCTTATATAGATTTAACGCCGTCCTTTGACGTTGGACGTGCGCCGAGATTCAGTTAGTTGCCATGGTGTTTATGGCATATTTTTGTTGTTTGTTAATATTTTTCTATGAAAATTTGTGAAAATATTTAAATTATATGGGTTTATAACATATTAAAATATCAAATTCGCACCTGTTTAAGTTAGCTTTTTATCAATCTTGTCACAGAATATTAGGACAACCCTCGTATCACTCCAAAACCAAAATAACATATAATATTTGTAACACATTACCTTGCTCTAACTTCTCTACTAGGAGTGTTTGAGACAGACTTCTGTAAACCTGTATCCATTCTCTCAGTTAAATTACTTCTACAATTTGAGTCTTGGTTGTTTCCAAACCTCCGTACTGGAGACCTCTTAGTTCTCTCCCCTCTAGCTTGTTTTGTCATGGTTACGCTGGACAATGAAGATTGACCCTGTTCACCATTGTTATCATATGTAGATGGATCCCTGGTAGAGGAGGTACTAACAAAACTTTGTTGTAATCTGGACTGTTTATCTTTCAGCTTACGAAGAAGAAGCTTGCTCTGCTCCCTAAGATCTTCATCAATTTCCACGGACATCATTCTTCTTCAATGGCTTGACTGAAAAATAAAAAATTATTAAGTGTATGTTACGACAAAATCAAAACATGTAGTAGGGGTAGTTGCAACTTAAAAAGTGACAAATTTTTACACCGCTTATTAATTAACACCATTCAAAGCTGACAAATTCTGATAAAGAAAAGCATAATTTAATTCAACATATCAAAGTTCTCAGGGTTAGCATTTAGCAAGATTTTCTACTTGCAGATTTTTGCAAGTGATCAAATGTTAAACTGGCAATATAAGGTACTCAACTGGCATTTCCATGTCTGATGATCACGTATCTTATTATTATTATCATTATTATTATTATTATTATTATTATTACACAATACACAATGACAATGTTTTTGAACATCTGGTATATCAAATGATAATAAGCTTGAATGTCTATTAAATATCAGAATCATCTTTATCACCGTTAATCACAGATGTCTTCTTGTAGCAAACACATTAATTTATAAATTTTAAACAAATTTTTAGAGATCAGATTTCGTATACCTACACTTATAAACTTGTTCATGTTATGTAATTTCTTTGGACCTTCATTAATTTTTGCATATTTTGTACTTGATTACACCAACAGCCTGAAAACTCAGAGGTACTGATCTACTTAAATAAATATTTCAGCTTAAAAGTAAACACTTTACAGAGGATTGCTACGCATTTACATTGGACCCTGATAAAACATCTTGGATGCTCTAACAAATAGTGTTTGGCTGTTATAAATAGTCAATCAAAATATAGTCACAGGAAAAATAAATAGAGCAACCAAAAATTGATTTTTAAGTTTTAAAGGTAAACGTCATCAGTTTCTGCAGCGGGCACTTGCCAATCATCAGCTCAGAAGATAACAATTATGTAAACGTCCAAAATTAACAGTAACTTGCAAATAAATGCCAGCTAGAGTAATTTTTACTGGCATTATTAAATTTTAACTGGCATTTTGCCAGTATGCCAGCTTAAATTCGAACCCTGGTTCTTACATATCAAAGTTTGCTGCTCCAGTTATTTATATACTAACATGGGGAATGCAGAAGAAGGGGAATGCAGAAGAAAAAACAGCCCAGTGGTTGAAACTGAAATTTGTTTCTTTTCAAAAATAAAAAAAAAAAAAAATTTAATAAGGCTAATTAAGTATACATAGAACAAGAGCTGTCACAGGAGACAGCGAAGCTCGACTAATAAAATACTGGACGCAGTAAGGAGGACAAAACTATGAAAGAAAAATCAATTATGTATAATTATGTATTAAGTTATAGTAAAAAAATAACATTTGTTAACATAAATTCCAGATCAAGGGGAATAATTCTAAAAATAGTCATGCTAGAGTTATGGACCTTTTCACACAACATGTGTGTTATGATAAGAAATATATATTTGAAGTTTGAAGTAGATACCTTAACAAGAGCTGTCACAGGAGACAGCGAAGCTCGACTAATAAAATACTGGACGCAGTAAGGAGGACAAAACTATGAAAGAAAAATCAATTATGTATAATTACGTATTAAGTTATAGTAAAAAAATAACATTTGTTAACATAAATTCCAAGATCAAGGGGAATAATTATAGAAAAAGTCATGCTAGAGTTATGGATCTTGCCACACAACATTTGTGTAATGATAAGAAATATATATTTGAAGTTTGAAGTAGAAAATTACCTTAAAAAGTAAAGAAGTTATTATATTTCTTAAAGAAAATCCTAAGTTCAAAGAGAGATAAATCTGTAAATATTGCTTCAAGAGTTATGAACATTGTCACATAAAATGTAATTAATGATAAGGTATAAGTATTTGAAGTTTGAGGTAGATACCTTTAAAAATAAAAAAGTTAAAATAAAAAATAACATTTTTTCTAGTAAATAAATCTAAGTTTATGGGAGATAATTCTTGCAAATATTGGTGCTAGAGTTATGAACCTTGTCACATAAGATGTGGATGATGATTACGTAATTATATTTGAAGTATAAAGTTGATCCCTTTAGAAATAAATAAGTTACAGTAAAAAATAATATTTTTTATGGAAAATTCTAAGTTCAAAGGGAGATAAATCTGAAAATATTGGTGCTAGAGTTATGAACCTTGTCACATAAGATGGGGATGATGATAACGTAAATATATTTGAAGTATGAGGTCGACCCCCTAAGAAACAAAGAAGAAACAGTAAGAAATAGTATTTTTTGAGGAAAATTCTAAGTTCAAGGGGAGATAAATCTGAAAATATTGGTGCTAGAGTTATGAACCTTGTCACATAAGATGGGGATGATGATAAGGTACATATATTTGAAGTATGAGGTTGATCCCTTAAGAAATAAAGAAGAATCAGTAAAAAAATAGTATTTTTTAAGGAAAATTCTAAGTTCAAGGGGAGATAAATCTGAAAATATTGGTGCTAGAGTTATGAACCTTGTCACATAAGATGTGGTTGATGATAAGGAACATATATTTGAAGTTTGAAGTTGATACCTTAAGAAATGACAAAGTTATAGTGAAAAATATTTTACTGCACCAAAACTTTAATCTAAAATCTGGACGCGGACGCCGACGCCGGGGCGAGTAGGACAGCTCTCCATATACTTCGTATAGTCGAGCTAAAAAGTAAAGAAGTTATTATATTTCTTAAAGAAAATCCTAAGTTCAAAGAGAGATAAATCTGTAAATATTACTTCTAGAGTTATGAACATTGTCACATAAAATGTAATTGATGATAAAGAATAAGTATTTGAAGTTTGAGTTAGATACCTTTAAAAATAAAAAAGTTATAATAAAAAATAACATTTTTCTAGTAAAAAAATCTAAGTTTATGGGGAGATAATTCTTGCAATATTGGAGCTAGAGTTATGAACCTTGTCACATAAGATATGGATGATGATAAGGTACATATATTTGAAGTATGAAGTTGATCCCTTTAGAAATAAATAAGTTACAGTAAAAAATAATATTTTTTTTCGGGAAAAATTCTAAGTTCAAGAGAGATAAATCTGAAATTATTTGTGCTAGAGTTACGAACCTTGTCACATAAGATGGGGATGATGATAAGGTACATATATTTGAAGTATGAGGGTGATCCTTTAAGAATTAAAGAAGTAACAGTAAAAAATATTATTTTTTAAGGAAAATTCTAAGTTCAAGGGAAGATAAATCTTAAAAACATTGGTGCTAAAGTTATGACCCTTGTCACATAAGATGGGGATGATGATAAGATACATTTATTTAAAGTATGAGGGTGATCCCTTAAGAAATAAAGAAGTTACAGTAAAAAATAGTATTTTTTAAGGAAAATTCTAAGTTCAAGGGGAGATAAATCTGAAAATATTGGTGCTAGAGTTATGAACCTTGTCACATAAGATGTGGTTGATGATAAGGAACATATATTTGAAGTTTGAAGTTGATACCTTAAGAAATGACAAAGTTATAGTGAAAAATATTTTACTGCACCAAAACTTTAATCTGAAATCTGGACGCGGACGCCGGGGCGAGTAGGACAGCTCTCCATATACTTCGTATAGTCGAGCTAAAAAGGATAAAGTGCTTCAGGAACAGACTGGTCATTCTGACAGAGGTGATTTTGACACTTGACGGTTAAGCTTAAAGGAAGCAGAGCACAGTCATGAATGGTATAGTCATAATAAGATAACCAGTAATTGTACCTGAAATTAAGATGATATCTAATTTAATTGAACCCACCCGCCTGCAAAAATTAATTTGCTTAAAATCAAATTTTGGGATTAATAATTTCATTTCCAATTAATAATTTTCATTTTACGGTAAATAGCTTATTAGCTAATATTTCTTGTAATATGTAAACCTACTTAAATAGAATAAATTTCCTTAAAGTTTCTTGTTTCCATTCAGGGAAAAAAAGTTGTCACGAAATGTAAGCATATAATTTGACTCGACACCTAAAATTAAGTTGCGTTAAAGAGTAATTTCAGGGCTTGAATTTAACTTTTTTGGCCACTTGCAATTTTTTGCTAGTGGACAAATTTTTAACTAGCATAAACTGAATTCAACTAGCACTTTTAAAGACAATGATTTTTTAATTCCAAAATTGTTTAAACTTTTGTATACATTCATTAATTGTTTAAATTATCATGTACCATAATAATTAATTCATTGTTGTTACAATTATGTATCATAATAATGATTAAATTAACACGATCAATATGAAAGATTACTTTTTTATTTCTGCATAAAAGGTTTAAACATATTTTGTGACAGCTGACTTAATCATGAAATTGGGCATGAAAAAAATTAGAATACTTCACTTTTAAGTTTAATTATTTGATGTGCTGAAAGACAAAGTTGTTGCTGGATATAGAGAATAACAAAATTAAAATTGTAATTTATTTGGACGAGTTCGAACTGCCCGGGGTACGAATCAGCAACGTAACTTTCTACTCAAAAACTTGATTTAGGGGACAGGGATTCTTATCAAATGTCAATCTACATGTAAATAAATAATAATGCAATATTGTCGCCATATCCACGATGTCTGGTCTGGATTATGCGCACAACAATCGGCGCAAAATATTTTGGCAACATTTCCATCTACGTAAGACTGACATGCAGTTCTTTCTTCCATTTTTTAACAGTTCTAACTGAAAGTCTGATTGTCTTTCATTTGATAGACTGTGAATCATCTTCTGTACTCGGAGTATTGTTATTGGAAGACACATTTGCTTCAGTAAGTGGGAAGAAGTTTGTTACTTTTCATTTAGACATTTTATTCCGATCACGCTTGATTTACACGGACAAAATGACATTTGGACTGGTTTAAATTTGTGTACTTTTTTAAGCGAGGTTAAGGTATAGAAAATGTAAACCAGACAGCAAGTGCGCGCACAGTTTATAACTCGGCTACCTGCGAATATTACGCCCCATTTAAATTTCGGATTTTCCAGACAAGCGTATTCTGTTTTTTCTTCAACTCGCAAAAAATTGCGGGTAGTCATAAATCTAACTCGCAAAATCATTTTTCAACTAGCATTTTGCGAGTGTTAAATTCGAGCCCTGAATTTTATTGCCTGTAGGAACCGGCGATATAAATTATTCTTGGTCAGTAACGTGTTAACAATATATGCTGGAAATTGATCAATTCCAAAGGCCAATGAATTTCGTGCAAGGAAATGTTGAATTTTTTAAGAGCTATTTATCATTTTATGCTTGATACCTGACCAGTGCATAGCTATTTCTGAAAATTGTATTCAAATACATTCAGGATCTTTTCAGTAAATACATTAAGAACTATTCAATAAGAGAACATTTAAAACTTGTTAATGCGATGATAAAATTTTATTTTCTAACCCCACCCACTAATCTTGACAGAGGCAGAACTGAAACAAGTTTTGACAAGTTGAAATATGGAACCAAATTTACATGCAAGGAACATGATTAAATCAAACTTGTAACAGGATGTTAGCTTGTTTAAATTCTTAACAAAAATCATAGAAAACAGACACTCAACCTTTGAGTTATTAAAACATGCCACAAATATTGAATAAAAAGTTGAATTTAGTTTCAATCATCCGCCATTGGAGTTTACATCAACGACGCTTTCTGATTGGTTCGATAGATCTCGCAAGATCTCACGTACCGTGTTCCGTAAGAACAGTAAGATCATGGAAGTTGTACAGATACTACAAAATCGTGTAAAACGATCTAAAATTTTACAATTGCTCGTGGTTTTAATTGCCACTTTGGCAATATATTCGTTTTATAAACTTGGAAGCACTCCAAAGATTTCGGGTTTGAATACAAGTTATCATGAGAGAGACAAACATGTTGTGCAAAACCAAAAACAAGTTAAAGAAACTCTACTTTCAGTTTCGGATTCAGCTGTAAACAAAGTTGTGAAAGACGAAGATGATCACCCTATCGATGTAATGATAACTTTTACCAAAGCAGAAAACAATAACAATCTTCAAGTCAAGTTTAGAATGACTGTCATGTCGCTATTCAAATTTGCTAGCTCTAAAATTAATCTTTACATACTTGGAGATGTGAAAAGTGAGGAAATTGCCAAAGATATCCTTTCAGAAGTTGCTGATAAACAAAAATATAATGTAAGTATTCTTAATGATAATGAGTGTGAATCTGGTATGGTATAAACATGCAGCATTGCATTGGTAACATGCCAGAGTGGCCATATTTTTGTAGTATTAAAATGGTAGTACTTTAATCCTGTGACCACTCCAAAATTTGGAGTCCAAATGTAAATTTTACCATGTTCAAGATAAGTGTTGATTGGATTAAAATGGTCTTAATGGCAGCATTATAGTCTTAATTCTGGCATAGTATTACGTAGCTAAAGAGACTTCAGCGAACAGGTTTTATAGTACTGCTAGACCTGTCGCACAACGTCAAAATAAAAGCGACATATAAAGTTATGGAAGCCAGAACTACGTATTACGTACAGTTTCTACTGTACCATCATTGAATGATATACATGTAACTTGATTTGAAAATAGTATTCCATATGAATCAAGGGAATATAATAATAAAGGAATTTTTCAAAAGGGTAAAAAAACTTGATTGGATAACTATGGTACATGGAAGAGGCTATCAATTGGGACAGCCTTTCTAGCTGATATAAGTCAGCTGCTTTTATGTCATGGTTCTGGCGAAGAATGTGCTTTTGGCATTTCAGCAGAAAAATATAGCATTTATAGGGGGAAAATACCTACATGTATTTTAGACTTTGGGAAACATCCTTTATTTGGCTGTAAAATACAGGAAAAAAAATCACTTCTGTAAAAACAGGCCATACTATGGAATGGATTATACTGATAGATAAAAAGCGACTCTGACATCTTAGAAATGAATTATTGATAATATAATTTTTCTAAATGCAAGTTAACATTTTTATCTATCTTTCAGGTCTTGCATTTAGACATAGACACTTTAGTTAAAGAAGTCCACGAGATAGTATCAGAGATGCAGAAATATTTCAGCTACAAACCAGGGGCGTATTACAGCGATTCCTTGTTCTTCATGTCACTTGTCATTCATAAAGTTCTACCTGACATGCATAAAGTGATCATGTTGGATTGTGATTTAAAATTTAATGCAGACATCAAAGAATTGTTCAACCGGTTTGAATTATTTACTGACACTAACATAATGGGAATAGCTAGAGATGCACAACCTGTTTATAGACACAATTTTCATATGTACATAAACAAAAACAAAGGGACAAGAGTTGGTGCCCCTCCGCCTGACGGTCTAACTGGTTTCAACAGTGGCGTATTATTACTAGACCTTGATAAGATGAGAAAATCTGAAGTTTATAACTCACTTTTATCTGCTGAGTCTATCAAACTTCTCACTGAAAAATTCCTGTTCAAGGGCCATCTTGGTGATCAAGATTTTTACTCATTGATCTCATTGGAACACGAGGAATTGTTCCATGTGTTACCGTGTACTTGGAATAGACAGTTATGCACATGGTGGCGTGATCATGGTTATGCTGAAGTATTTGATCAGTATTTTAAATGTGAAGGTCATATCAATATATACCACGGCAACTGTAACACTGCAATACCAAAACTTGATTGGGAATCTTAGCTTTGGAAACACATTATTATTTTTTTTTTATCTTAAAACACTTTTAAGGAAAAGTGAATGAGATTCTTGAAAGCGTTGTTACATAAAAAAACAACTGTTATTTAGTGTTTGAAATTATTTTTTGCCCAATAGGATTGCAGTACATGTATTTCAAATGAATCGAACACATTTACATTGGTAAATCGGAAAACTGTAAATCAGACTGGTAAATTCACTGTTTATAAAAATAATTTAAAAAGTTTGTAAACACATTTTAATAAACTTTAACCTATACATAATCATTATATACATGCATTTTGAAAAAATTGCATAATGGAAGTTGAAAATTTTTGTCAAACTTATTTTGTTAGCACAAATAAAATGAAGAATAATAATGTAAATTTATTGTATTGATAATCTTATTTTGATAGTGGAAATAGTCCGATGGATTATAAGATTAGATTTATTAAGGTTAAGAACTGATTATATTCTGCTGACTTGACATTTATCTTTATGCTTAATATATTGCTTTGACATTGAAATACTTATTTTGTAAGATCTAAGTATTGGGGGGGGGGGGGGGTGAGAGAGAGAGGCTTGGGTATAGGTAGACCTGTGTAAATAGATACTGCTTGGAACTTGGCAAATGTTGGATGTTCTCATGTAGTCTAGGATACAAACAGAATTTAACTGTTCACACTGCAGTACTGTTTACATTACAGTGATCACGGTGTTATACTTGTTAACGCTACCTTAACCAAGTTGTAACTGTGAAAGTTTGTACCCAGAGATTAGATGGGAAAAACCAGCATTCACTGAGTTCCATAATATATCAATTGTCATTTACCCTACCATTGACAGCATTGTACTTGCGGAAGTATAATTATAGTGTATTTACTTACTCATTAACAAATATTTGGTGTTTGAAATTATTAATGTTCAATAGGACTGTAGTATTTCAAATGAATCATAACACATCTACTTTCGTATATTGGCTAATCATTAACCATTAAATTAACTGCTGTCTTTTAGACTTATTTTATTTATCTGGAGGCATGCCACTTTAAAGTAATGTAAATGTACAGTCTCACTGTTCAGTAAAAGCTTCAGCTGGAAGGTTAGGTCTTTATTTACAGAGGTTGACTGTATGTAAAATGATAATCTGATTTTATTTCAAAGTAAAGGTATACCTGTATTATTGAAATCCAATTATTTGTTGTATATAACCAAAAATTTATTATGTATTTACTTTTTTATATACAGTATTATTTGCGTTTCTTTAAAGGTAATAATAAAAATATGCAAAATATACATTATTTTGTTGTTACTTTCTGTCATAGAAAAATACAATGAAGATGTTATGTATTTCCTGGTAATGGAATAGTCCTGGTTGTAAAATTTGGAACAGTTCATTTGTATTCAAGGGATTTCAGTATGACAATAGTAAAATTTGAGCAGTCAACAGTATGAAGCCTAGTCTGACTTGCCAGGCTCTACACTAGTATTGATATTTTATTTTAGCTTACCTGACCACATAGTAGTACTGTACTCAAAAGTTAAGTTAGTAAGTAAGTTGCCAGGCAACCATCACATACACTAACTGTATAGCATCTTCTTTCACCCCCATATGTGCACGTCAATAAGAGGCACAGGGCATTGGCAGAAGATTTAGAGCTAATGGTCAAACTTTGTTCAACTGAGGACACTGCTGACTGGTTAAGACCCAAACTTTGTTTCTGCACATGGAGGGCAGATCCTAGAGATTCAAACTATCACATACTATAAATTTGGAGTAATGCCTATCTTGCATTATACGATTAATATGCTGATACAGAGTAGGCAGGGACAAGGAGGGGTTACCTCCTTCATTATTGTCACTGGTTACTGTATGTTCAGGTGCTCATTGGCCGCTGTACAGTGACATGTACTTCAAAATTCCTATCTTTGGCTCACTACTCTGAGGATATTGCACAGAGGGAAATTTTCACCACTTAATGCTTTAAAATTAACCTTTTACGGGCACGACTGGCGACATTTTCTGGGTCTAAGCTAATTTTTTGTGCCTGAACGTGCGTATGGACTCTTATTAAACAAAGATCAAAGAATATGATGAAACAGTATAAAGTTGTTTCAGACTACACAGATTGGCCCGACTATACTGTTGGTATTGACAAGTCATTACCAACTTCAGTTTTTGCATATATTACATTTGTATTGCTTGTCATTGTATTATGATGTTTTACCAACATCATTACATTACTTTCCCCTCCGAGAAGTCTTGTTTCGTACCCTTCTTTATCCAGGGTTAAGTTGCATGCCTGCAGATGAGCCAAAAAAAAAATAATCAAAAAACAATCAAGAAAATCAACTTTGAAAAAAATTAACTAAGATTTAAAGGATAGTAGAAATATTCTAAATTCAAGTTATGATTTTACATTTTACCGGTATATGCAATGAATGACAGATTTTGCAGTATTTATCTCAAAATCTCTAACACGTGACTCTATTTTAAAATATTTTGACCTTTTTTTTGGTAATTAATGTGGACTGAAATGAGTAAGTTTCTGTCTTCCTTCCCGTAACAATATTTTACATTTTAGTACATTTTCATGAAAATTAGCTGCACTAGCAGGAATCTGGAGGCATGCTGCTAAGAGACTTTAAACATATAACAAACACACATATATTTATTTAATAGTATTTAATAAAATAACAAGGAAGAAACTCAGGTATATTATGTATAACCTATCAATAAAATCTTATGGAAAAAACACAACAGATCTTTATATAGACTTAACAACAGTAAAAAGGGAAAAAATAACATTGTGCAAAACGCTGTATTGCGTAGAAATATCAACAATAATTGAGTAAAAAGTATTATACAACCCTTACTTAGGCTTTAAATTTACATACTAAACACTGTGCAGTGAGAAAGGTCTAGAAAAGGTTGAAGCACTATATGAGCCGTGTCATGACAAAACCAACATAATGGGTTTGCGACCAGCATGGATCCAGACCAGCCTGCACATCCACATAGTCTGATCAGGATCCATGCTGTTCGCTTACAAACTCTATTACAAGTAGAGAAACTAATAGGGAACAGCATGGATCCTGATCAGACTGCATGGATGCGCAGGCTGGTCTGGATCCATGCTGGTTGCAAACCCATTATTGGTTTTGTCATGGCGCAGATCAAATATTTATACATGTGTAGTAATATATTTCAAAATGAAAATTATATCAAATGCTATAACTTGTAATAGATAAATCCTTTAACAAGACTTATATAAAATTTGTAATTCAAAAGCTTCTTAACACTAATATATTTCAGATCTTGTGTCCAATTATATATGGTATCAATTTTCACTACAGTAACAGATTCAAATATGTAGACACCTTAATCAACCACAAAGCATGGATCCCCCTTATGATGTTCCTAAATTGGTAACAGCTTTAAGACATTGCAAAATGTTGTGAAAAGTTGAAAGATTATATTTTTTACTCGGTTTGAACTTTGAACCCATGCAGAGTTGATCTCCATGTAAAGTTACCACTTATCAAATATCAAACAGTTCTGTAAATAAGAAATTGACACTCTAGTAGAAAAAGTACCAAACTAAATATTAAGATTTTTTACGATGACCCCCTTCAATTAACCAATAAATCAACCCAAGATTGCCAAAACACAAAATTTATAAATGAACGCCCTTGACAAAATGTTGGTAAATGTGAGGTAATCAAAGGTAAATAGACAGATTCAAATCTATGACATAATATTTTTGACCATGAAAGGGCTATTAAATATATGTAATTAATTAAGAGAATATAATGTATTTCAGATGAAAGACAAAATAGGGATTCTTGAAATAAGTGAGCAAATCTGTCATCAACACAGAACTTTCATAAAAAAAACACACCTAAAAAATAACAGAAATAATGTGTAAATAACATTTGTTATGAATTACAAAACTTTCATGTAAATAACATAACATCTGTTATTAATTACTGACTTTCATGTAAATAACATAACATCAGTTATTAATTACAGACTTTCATGTTATTAATAACAAAAGTTGCAGTCAGATTACAACATTTTTGGTCCCGCTGTGTTGTGTACATATAAAATTTCAAATTTTACAATACATGTATTTTGAACACATTATTTTGTTCTCACAACCATATAAAACCATGAAAGATAGAAAATACAGACATTGGGTAGAAATAAATTCAAAACAAATATATCTATATTTTGGTCCAGTTAAATTTCAACATGAACTTGAACAAAAATGAATTTGACATTCTATGCACAATATTCAACTTTTAAATAAGATAAATGAAAATATTTATACAAATTAGATTTTATTCCAGCTGGAAAAATTTCTTAGTGATAAATAAAAAAAAGAAGAGAAAAATATAATTTCATTCAAATTCTTATATTAGTAAAGTGGAACAATTATACAAAAGTTAGTAACAAATTAAACACATTAAAAAATCAGCTCCAACAGGGGATAGGTTAATAGCTTTAAAGAATGAATAAATTAACATACATAACATCACCTTAGTCACGGACCTTAATTGTCAATTAAGGTCCGTGCTTAAGTGCAATAACTCCTATTAAATTCAGAAGGACTTAACTGGTTACTACAATAAGGTGACAATAAGATTATGAGACAACAAAATGCATTTTTTTTCAGCAAAGTTGTATATTTGACAAAAAATACAATACATTAGTCTCAATTTTTTTTCTTTTGTGAATTTATCATTATAATTATCTTAGTATATGTAATGTATGTAATATTACTATCTCGAAAATTGCTGGAATTTAAACTAAGGTGTATCACCTCTTCTCCCATATCCCAGTTACTATAATTTTCACTACTAAAAATACAGGTTAGTGTATAGTTCTATATTTTGCAATGATATTTTGTCATAAACAAAGTGGTACAAATTTTAATACATCACTATTTCTCATATAAATGTATTTAGTAAACAAAACACTATTTAATCCTATTTTTAAAGAAAGCTTTTATAATTTACTCCTACCTTTTACATTTAGACAAAGCTGGTATATTTTACTCCCAGGTAGCATAAATTTATTAAACAATTGATTGGCCAAAGTTTATAACATGAAGTCAATTATATCCAGTAATAAAAATTTAGGTCCACACTTGCGAACAGTCTTCTTTAAACTGCACTTTAATTATGTATGATTTTAATACATATTATTATTGTCATTAGAATCAAAATGATAAAATTAAATATTTTATCTTTATTTCATAAATAATCATAATTATGATAAAGGCTATTTGCTAAAATGCTATAAATGAATAACTGATGACTTACTGGAATAATTATCATAATCTTTTTTTAATTGAAAAATACAAATCCTGCAAAGGTAGCACTTATGAGAGTGACGATGCACATACTTTGGTTAATAATTGACTTACAGGTTTTTATATAGATCATTTTTTACAAAACAGTCAATAATATGACTTTCAATTATTGAAAACAATAAGGGTGTCAGTCATAATTAATACAATGTCAGAATTGTCTTTAAATTAGAACAATAAATGTGAAAAGGCAAGAATATAACTGAGAATATGTAACCCCTTAAGTGAGTATGTTAAGTAGACTAAACAAAATTTCATCACATGAACAAGAGTGATACTCTATTGCATATCCTATAATAAATATACCTGTGAACAATTTTACAATAAAGTGTAAAGAATATATAAATAAACACTGAGTTTATAACTAAATAACAACAAATAGGTTTCAAAGAAAATCTAGCAAGAGTACATACAATATCACTTTGAACATGAAAGGAAAAATAGGGTTTTATAGGGATCCATTTCTGGGGATTATTTGAGGGGATCCATTTGTAGGGATTATTGAGGGGATCCATTTTGGGGGTTATTTGTGGTGACTATTGAGGGAATTCATTATTGGGGGTTATTTGTGGAATCCTTTTATTGGGATTATTTGTGGGGATCCATTTGTGGGAATTATTTGAGAAGATCCATTTGTGGGGATTATTTGAGGGGATCCATTTGTGGGGATTCATTTGTGGAATCCTTTTATTGGGATTATTTGTGGGGATCCATTTGTGGGAATTATTTGAGAAGATCCATTTGTGGGGATTATTTGTAGAATCCATTTGTAGGGATTATTGCAAGGGATCCATTAGTGCAGATTATTTGAGGGGGTCCATTTGTGAGGATTATTTGGGGGGATCCATTTGAAAGTTAGTCGAGGAGATCCATAAGTGGATATTAAAGTATTAGAGGGATATACATGTATACAACATACCCTCACTAGTTGACTACTTCTAACAAGTTTGTGTGGTATACCAGGCTTAATTAAGTATTTCCCTATATGTCCCTCTATTCTTATTTCCCTATATGTCCCTCTATTAAGTATTTCCCTATATGTCCCTCTATTCTTATAATAGTTGGTGATAATCATTGCTAGCTAAACTCTATGGTTTCATATTTAACAGTTAATGAGATTCTGTAATGAACACTTCATTAAAACATAACCATAAAATGTGGTCTGTGGGTATTTTAAAATAATGAAGATTATTATAATGGTTTGGCATCATGATGCAACATTGTGGTACATGTATGTAAATTTACAATTTTTCCAAAACTAAACTCAATTTGAGTAAATAGATCAAAATAGGCCAAATATAACTTTCAATTTATGAAAATAAACACATAAAACTACCCATTTCAACAAAATGACATCTATTATCTCAAGTAGATGTTCATTTATGAAAACAAAAATTTAATAAAATAAACAACATAAAATCTTTCATGAAAGATTATGAATAAATGCTTGCACAACATTGCTTAGTAGAAAAAAATCTATTTTCAGACCAATCTGATAAATAAATTATATAAAGTAGAAATTCTACACACAAAAAGAAATACAAACTTTTAGCAAATATTGCTTTTTTTCTTTGAGAAAGGGACATAAATTTAAATATCAATGACTAACATTTGATATAACATTTTATAAATAACAAGTAGGAATGCCAAATAAAAAATACAAACGGTTGAAACCTTCAACATACATTGTTTTTTTCCTCATGAAAGGGACATAACTCATAATATCATCGTTAAAACTGCATGCCTCCAGATGAACCAAACTATTTCAAGAAAAAAAAAAACAAAAAAAAAAAAAAAAAAAAATACTCCCAAGATTTTAAGAAAAGTAAAAAGATTCAAGATTCAAGTAATAATTTACATGTTATGTGAGATTAATGACTGACTTTTCAGTATTTATAACCATATTCTTACTGCATGGCTTTACTAAAGCAGTAACATCTTTCTTTGCATATTTTGACCTGTTTTTTGTAATTTACATGGATTGTAAATGCTATTTGCAATGTGTAAATTACTTTCTTTGTTCACTACACAATATTTTACATTTTAATACATTTTCAAAATTTCAAATAAAATTAGCATGATTCTGAAGGCATGCTGCTTTAAAACTTTTGTTGCACCTGCTATACATGTACATATTAATCCAGCAAACTTCAAATGCAAAATTCAATACATCGATATACATTAGAAATGCTAAAATAAATGAAAAACTTAAACAAACATTGCTGTTTTCCATCGACATGGACATTAATCAATATCATTATTATTATCACAAATGTCACACTCTCAACTTACAAATTTATCATCATATATTTTGAATTGTGTCATTTTAACAGTAGACAGCAAAAATGCTGTGCAAAAAAATGCAAACTTCAGGAGCTCCACTGAAGTCCCAAAAACATAAAAACATAAACTTTGAAATTCTTACATGGATCACCTCAGGGACACTAAAAACAGAAGAAAACTAGAAATGTGTCCATAGGACACGGATGCCCACACACGCCACTGTTCTGTCAATCTTATGACTCTAGGTCAAATATTTTTTTGGACTACATGTGCCACAAGTTGAAAACTAACTAGAACTGTGTCCCAAGGTCACGGATGCCCCCACTGACAACATATATATGGTATATAGTGAAAAAATCAACAAAGGGCCATAATTCTGTTAAATTTGGTCGCAGCAAAAATTCCTTCCTTTACTACCATCTACACATTAAGGTTATTCATCCCAGGAAGTTTAAGCAAAATCTGCCAACAAGTTTAAGAGGAGTTGCGTTCACAAAATTTCTATATGGTATATAGTGAAAAAATCAACAAAGGGCCATAATTCTGTTAAATTTGGTCGCAGCAAAAATTCCTTCCTTTACTACCATCTACACATTAAGGTTGTTCATCCTTGGAAGTTTAAGCAAAATCTGCCATCCGGTTTAAGAGGAGTTGCGTTCACAAAATTTTTACATAGTATACAGTGAAAAAATCAACAAAGGGCCATAATTCTGTTAAATTTGGTCGCAGCGAAAATTCCTTCCTTTACTACCATCTTCACATTAAGGTTGTTCATCCCTGGAAGTTTAAGCAAAATCTGCCAACCGGTTTAAGAGGAGTTGCGTTCACAAGATTATGGGACGTACGGACGGACGGACGGACAGACGGACGGATGGACGGACAAGTGCAACGCTATATGCTCCCACATTGTGGGGGCATAAAAATCAACAAAGGGCCATAATTCTGTTAAATTTGGTCGCAGCAAAAAATTCCTTCCTTCACTACCATGTACACATTAAGATTGTTAATCCCTGGAAGTTTAAGCAAAATCTGCCATCCGGTTTAAGAGGAGTTGCATTCACAAAATTTCTACATAGTATATAGTGAAAAAATCAACAAAGGGCCATAATTCTGTAAAATTTGGTTGCAGGGAAAATTCCTTCCTTTACTTCCATCTACACCTTAAGGTTGTTCATCCCTGTAAGTTTAAGCAAAATCTGCCATCCGGTTTAAGAAGAGTTGCGTTCACAAAATTTTTACATAGTATATAGTGAAAAAATCATCAAAGGGCTGTAATTCTGTTAAATTTGGTCGCAGCAAAAATTCCTTCCTTTACTACCATCTACACATTAAGGTTGTTCATTCCTGTAAGTTTAAGCAAAATCTGCCATCCGATTTAAGAGGAGTTGCGTTCACAAAATTTCTACATAGTATCTAGTGAAAAAATGAACAAAGGGCCATAATTCTGTTAAATTTGGTCGCAGCGAAAATTCCTTCCTTTACTACCATCTACACATTAAGGTTGTTCATCCGTGTAAGTTTAAGCAAAATCTGCCATCCGGTTTAAGAGGAGTTGCGTTCACAAGATTTCGGGACATACAGACTGACGGACGGACAGACGGACGGACAAGTGCAACGCTATATGCTCCCACATTGTGGGGGCATAAAAATGCAAAAGAATATAAACAAAAATACTCTAAATAAAATTGAAAATCATTTTTTTGTGTGTGCAATTCTTAGCTTGATCTGAGGTAATCACACTTTGACACTTCATTGTTGGGAAATTTTGCACAATAAAAAGTTTTTATTATGGAAAAAAAAACAGAGTGAGAAAATGATATGAAAGTTTGCCAGCAAGTTATTGTTCAAGACCATCTAGTCCTGTTGTGTTAGAAAACTTAAGTGTAATCTGTTTTACATTTTGTTTGTCTGATTGTGTTTTACGTCACACCAACACAGTATAAGTCATTTGGTGACGTTCCCGTTTTACTGGTGGAGGAACACCCCGGGTGCCCTTCTGTGCATACGAGGAAGCTATCCAGCTAGCTTCCAGATGGTGGGTTGTTCTGTTTAACATAATATGCTAATTTTTTGCATGGTGAGGGTATAAATAATATTATTATAAGCATTTTTGACACATGTACATGTATAAATGTTCTACATATAAACTCTACACTGATGTGACTAGCTAAGCTATTCTACCTCACAACCTTAAGTTACCTTCATGTATAAGATGTAAAAAGCACAAGCATTTCATAACATTAACAGCTTGTTTTTTAAATTTTACACATAATCATTCTACTGAAAAACACTGCAGAGCACAACAGAATTCAAAGCAGCTTAGTTAAACTTGTCTGGTGAAAAAATAACAGGATTTAGACGGAGTTAGAAACGTAACAATAAAGTTCAGGATAATCTGCTGTCATTTTCTGTTGTAGTAACCTCCCTTGAAAACTGTCCAACAGTATCAGGGTTATCTCCCTTGCTCCCCTCCATCTTCACCTCTTGCAATCTGGAAAAAAAAAATCAAACAAAATTTAATTTAAATCTTAATCAATGTAAATGAATTTACAATTTTGTTCATTATATCACTGAGGCAAAGTGTTAAAATGCAATTTTATCAGCACCAAAATAATACAAGTAATAAAAAAATATCAAAATATGATCTGAAATAAAATAAACATATTAAGCATTTGTGTAATTACTGTAGCTAATTAATGATTATATCAGTTTGCTTAAATAAAAGCTGAAATAAAAACATTCTAGGTATACAAATTATGATGTTGTTAATGTTATGATAGCTAAAAGGATTATGTATTATGATTTGCTGAACAACACTCAGTCAAAATTAAATATAACAGGTGCTTCATTAATTTAAAACATTTAAAACATTTCTTACAATAGTTTACAACAACACCTAAATTAACTCCTTAATTAAGAAAACAACAAAACTTATATTATATTTAAACAAAATAATAAGCAACATTTGTTATGTAAAATTTTTACAATCACAAAAGCAAATGATAATATTAAATACAGATACAGAAAACAAAACTGCTGGAATAAATCATACGAGGGCATACAAGTTATATAGTACATGTGGTACATAAAAAATTCTTCTATAAAACAAAATGTTCATATATGACAACAACATAAAACAAGTCTTACAATCATTATGAGATATATTCAACTATTATCTTCCAAATACAGGTCAGTTGATATCAACCCCTCCCGTCAATAACAATTTTTCTGAACAATCAAGAGGAAGTGAGTTATATAAATAGCCCATATTATGTATATGACCCCTTTGATGAAAATCCATTTTAAAAATTTCATATTTAAAAAAGATATACAAAAAAAACCCTACCAGATTTAATGCTATTTTAAGAATTTTTCACCAAAAACTTTGTCCAAATATTAGGGTATGCCCCAAATCCATATTGAATTTGGCCTACCGGTCCTTTAAAACTTAAACAAAACTTCGGCCCTAAAAGACTATTCCTCTGAATTAATATTTAAAATGGTTTGACACATGTTCACATACTTTAATATGAATTTTCTTTTTTCATTCAGTTACTGGTCATTCAATTTTTACACAATACAACATAGGTACAAGACTGTCATATCAATATACACATGTACAACATCTGTTTCTCACATACATCCAGCAAATCATCGTCGTCATCATCATCATCGTTATCATCATTGATAACGTTTGATGCAGATTTTCTCTTGGTATCTAGGCCCTGCTCACAAGCAATGTAAGGCATAAAGTGAAAGCAGAAGCAAATATTTGCAAAATTTATAAAAAAAATATATATCTTGTTTATAAATAACTGTGTGTGCAAATTTTCTAAATTTAAACTGTAAAATGTATATGTGGTAGAAAGCTGTAAAACAATTGCATAAATTGATAATATTAAAAAAGTGTAGCATATAAAAATTGAAAATATAAAATCTATCAAAACATCAACAAAGATATTTCAATATTTTAAAAATCTGTGAAGAAATTAAATGTATAACAAAGTTATTTCAATATATGATTTTACATGATTTTATAATCAGTGATACGAAACCTGAAGTACCAATTGGCAAAAGTAAGGTGAATTATTGAAATACCACTTCACCACTTGCAATATATTATGCAGTATTAGTGATTACACACATCCGAACAATGTGATTCTTTAATTAATAATAATGTGATGTTGTTTTTTTTTCACAAAAGAAATAGAACAGTTGGGTTACAATAAAAATGCAATTAATATTATATACCAAGATTTTTTTTAAAAAGTTCTGAATTTAGTTTTAGAACTTTATTTCAAAACGCCTCTACACTTACATGCAAAACAATTATATTTCTGATATTAAAGATGTTTCAATTAAGAGAAACAGTATTAGATTTTTTTCCATTCCAAAACTTTTTAACATACATCTATACATGGGATACACATCATACATATATATAGGTAATATATAATGTAAGTATAAAATATACATATGAGCGCGTCACAACAAAACCAACATCAGTAGAGAAACTGATGCGGATGCGCAGGCTGGTCTGGATCCATACTGGTCGCAAACGCACTATGCTGGTTTTGTCGTGACGTGGCTCATATAGATCATAGTATTAATGTAAATACACTAGCAGTCACTGACAACCAATCATTAATTTAAAAGCATAGTAAAGTTATATTATATATAAATAGCTCAAACATTTTTAGTAACCATGTCTTGGCGACTTTGTTGTTAGTAAAAACACCCCCAATTCATATAACAACAATTTCAGCATTTCTTAAACATTTGTTTAAGTTATCTGGAAACCTACTTGTTTCCCAAAGTATATAGCTATAGGTATATGAACATTCATTGGATTTATAGTGTAACCTCAAAAGAGCAGCTCCCTTTGGGAGACGCGAAATTAACCTGTTGCTGAAAGGGGGTTGCTCTGGAGAGGTGAAATTTATTCTGAAAATTTTTGGGGAAAAAAAAAATATTCCATATATTAACTTGTAGATGAATTCAATAACATTAGCTAGACAACTGTAATAATTAGCCAACTTTGTTACGAAACTTAACCCAAGAAAATTGTTTAGTTTTTTTCATCACACAAATCATTAAATTTAAGCTTGTTTGTCACATTATACAAATAAACAAATCAGAATTCATTGAAAATATTTTTGAATATTATCAATTTTTTTTTAATAATTGAAGATTTATATTTGAAAAATCCTTTTTTTTGGCAATTATCCCTTAAACAATCCTTTTTTTCCCCTGACAATTATCCTTATAAATTGTATAAGTTTGTCTTATAAGAATTGAAGCAATAACAGTTGCCAAGGGTTTATGTTGTTATTATATTCTTACAAAAATTGTTTAAGAAATGCTGAGCATTCAAAGTTGTCAAGTCAGTTGTCAATATTTTACAATGCCTTGATTTTTTTTAGATGCCATAAAATTGTGTATTCAAAATTTATTAAATCATATTTATTTCGAAATATACACTTTATTCACCATAAGAAATTTTTAAAAACATTAGAAATGCAAAAGCAATTGAGCAATAAGAAGTAATTTTATGCTTGCACAAACTTTGTGAAACACAACAGAACATCATAAAATCAAAAATTTCCTTAAAAATTATAAGCAGGAGAAGTAATCTGGCAAAACTACAATTAAATATTGACAAAATGACATATTCTGCACTCTAGCAATTATGTATATAGTTTTCTTTCTTTGTTAAATAAGCTGATAAGCCCTGCCTAATGTTGTTCAACCAGTGTGTTATAAAACTCACTTCCGTCTCATTTTCTTCACTTGTTTCACTGTCATAATCGTTCCACTCCTCTCCTATTGTCTAATGTGTTACATATACATATATTATATCATCATGTTCATTGGCTTACAGATAGTTTAGGACTCATTAGCTTACAGATAGTTTAGGACTCATTGGCTTACAGATAGTTTAAGACTCATTGGCTAGCAGAATGTTAAGGACTCATTGGCTAACAGACAGTTTGGGACACATTGACTTATAGAAAGTTTGATGCTTACAGCATTTAGAACTTATTGGCTTAAAGATAGTTAAGGACTCATTGGGTTACAGACAGTTTAGGACTCATTGGTTTTTAGACAGTTTAGGACTCATTGGCTTTTAGACAGTTTAGGACTCATTGGCTTTTAGACAGTTTAGGACTTATTGGCTTCCAGAAAGTTAAGGACTCATTGGCTTTTAGTCAGTTTAGGACTTATTGGCTTACAGAAAGTTTAAGATTCATTGGCTTACAGACAGTTTTGGACTCATTGGTCTACAGGCAGTTTAGGACCCATTGGCTTACAGACAGATAAGAACTCATTGGCTTACAGACAGTTAAGGACTCATTGGTCTACAGACAGTTTAGGACTCATTTGTTTTAGACAGTTTAAGACATAATTATTGGCTTACAGAAAGTTTAAGACTCATTAGTCTACAGAAAGTTTAAGACTTATTGGCTTACAGACAGTTAATGACTCATTGGCTTACAGAAAGTTGAAGACTCTTTGGTTTTTAGACAGTTTAGGACTCACTGGCTTACAGACAGTTTAGGACTCATTGGTTTTAGACAGTTTAAGACTTATTGGCTTACAGAAAGTTTAAGACTCATTGGTCTACAGAAAGTTTAAGACTTATTGGCTTACAGACAGTTAATGACTCATTGGCTTACAGAAAGTTGAAGACTCTTTGGCTTTTAGACAGTTTAGGACTCATTGACTTACAGAAAGTTTAGGATTCATTGGCTTACAGATAGTTTACAACTCATTAGCTTTCAGATAGTTTGCAACTCATTGGCTTACAGATAGTTTAGACCCATTGGCTTACATATAGTTTAGGTTTCATTGGCTTACAGATAGTTAGGACTCATTGGCTTACAAATAGTTTAGGACTCATTGGCTTACAAATAGTTTAGGACTCATTGGCTTACAAATAGTTTAGGACTCATTGGCTTACAAATAGTTTAGGACTCATTGGCTTACAAATAGTTTAGGACTCATTGGCTTACAAATAGTTCAGGACTCATTGGCTTACAAATAGTTTAGGATTCATTGGCTTACAAATAGTATACAACTCATGGGCCTACAGATACTTTACGAATATACCAACTTGTTTTATCTTAAATATATCACCCAACCCTGATAGCTACAATAGTCTAGAAAAAAAGTAAGAAAAAGAGAAAAGATCTTTTCAAACAAGTCCATTGCATTCCCATCTAAATTAGATTAAAATATCAATTCAATGGATCAGGAAAAATCCCTTTGCCAAAAACAAAGAAAAGAAAAATCCAAACAAAATGATGAAATCAATTAAGGAAGAAAGATTATTTCATTTAATGGACGAAGATATTGCCCCTTAACCTGCTGAAAGCAAAAGTGACCAGCTTTTGCTACTGGTAAAGAGCCAGGCCAGCCTGCACATCCATGCAGTCTGACAGACTCTGTACAATTGATAGCAAAAGTTTGTATTTTGATATTGAAACCTGGAATGTTTAAAATTGCAAATCCATCAGACAAATTCAGTTGGTTAAGGCAAATATATCAACAGCTTTCCAAATTTTAAATTTATTTATCTTGCTATATATTTCATACACAAGAGAAACTCTGTGATATTTTATAACCGGTAAGCTTCCCTGCTTCCTATTTATAGAAACACAACATGACCTTTGCTTTACTAACCTCTAAACTTATTCTTAGAATGACCCAAGATTGCAAATGTTATGGCAGGAGTTATAAATATAATTTGTTTTGGTCACAAACAAACTTTATGTTTTATCTATAGTAAATTGACCTTGGTCATTCTGTCCTTGACTTTTGTAACTAAGAAGGAACAAAATAATGGGACTGAAAACATTAAATATTTATGAAAAAACACCAATGATATTTATGTAAGTATTAAATAGTTTAAAACAAATTAAAATTAATAAAGAAGAAAAGAAAAATAAGCAGACATTCTGATTACATATGTAATTTGTGATTTTTTTAAAGCAAAAAACAAGAATATAATTCATATGAATAGATATAAAGACACAAAGCATCAAGAAAATAAAGTTAAAATATCCATATTTGCATTAATTAAAACAAACACAAAAATCAGAGTCCATGAGAAGCTTGAAACTTACCTTCATTATAGTATCTGTATCAGCAAGAGCTTGTTTGGCTAAATAATGTTCCCGCTTTATTTTTAATGACAAAGATTCCGGGACGTCTGGCACTAAAATATCTATCAACCGGCATACACCAAACACAAAATGCTGCAAAATAAAACTGTGGCAGTGAACTTTTTGTACTTCACAATGATTTTTTTGTACTTTTTATAATTATACTTTACAATGATATTATTATTTGTTATATATATATGTACTTCACAGTCAACTTAATTCAAAGCTAATTTTTTTAAAACATACTTATATATACCCTACAGTGTTTTTTACAACAACATTATGCTTTGATAATGCAAAATTTTATACAACCATAACTGCTTGAAAATTAGGAAAATTTAAGAAACTCTAGAGAAACATTCACTTTTATCAGACAATATAACACATGTGTTTCTAAAAGGAGCCATATTAATTTCTAAATGTTGTTGGGAATATGTTCACATTTTTGAAAAAGTTTTAACAGTTTTCTCAATTGGGAATAAAACCTATATTAGTCCTCTATTTCATTTATCTACAAGGTCAATATAACCTTGACCTTTGACCTCTTAACCCAAAAATCAAAAGGGGTCATCTACTGGTAAAGAACCATCCCCATACCAAGTATGAAGTTCCTAGGCCTAAGTGTTCTTCAGTTATTGATCAGAAACCATTTGGTCTACGAACCAACGGACCAAATGCAAAGCAATATACCCCCACTTCTTTGAAGGGGGGGGGGGCATAATAATTATTGTAAGAAGAATTTGTGAGTGATTCGATTGAATGGTTAATGAAAATAATATAGAATGACACCGTCACCTTATTGCAATAACTGCCACTGGTTAACTTTTATTAAATTTAGAAGGGCTTAACCCGTAACTGCACTAAGGTGACAAATTATATTGATTGGCATCCATTGATTTGAAAATAGCCTCTATTTTAAATGATGTTTAGAGAAAGAAAAATAACATTTACCTCAAAAACAATAACAAAGGCGAGCCTTATAGCCAGTAAATGCCAGAAAAACATTGAGTACTCTCCAGTCTGGTCTCTAAATGCAATGTATCTGATAAAGAAAACATATAAGTCATCATTACATCTTAATATTTCAGAATTATTGCTCGAACAAAATATATACCTGTGTTTTTAAATGAATATTTATGGTACAATGTGTTATTCTATATTCATAAATTGGTTGTGTTTGATTGAGTAATGTTGAACAATGTTCAAAATATATGTATATTAGTAATAAGAAATAATATATCCCAAACTGTGACTTTATCGCTCAATAAAATCACTGTTTGGAGTGAGGATGCAAGGAATTATATCACTAGGCCTACGCTCTCATGATGTAACGATGCGCATCTGAACGACAAACAGTGATTTTATCAAGCGATAATATCACCGATTTGGATATATTATTTTGACTCTAACACAACATTAACAAATAAATGCTGCCATTCCCAATCTTAAGCTAAATTATGCCGGATTTGATCTGTACATATTTCAATGTGTCACATTTTTAGTGGTTACGTCACATGAAATATAGAACGTTAACAGTGATTTTATTGCATAATAACACACACTTTTGGTTCTTCTATGTTCAACTGTATTATAAAGGTAACACAGCTACTGTCCAGTATCACTGGGGAAGGAGACGTCAAGAATCACTCTGTGCATTATTCCAGGCCTGAGCTGGCATTTAAGTAGAACCACCGACATTTTGTAAGCTAGCTGGGAACATTCCTCATATAAAACATCTTAAAGACCCTGACTGGATTTGAACCCTCAATGGTGAGGGCGGCTTAGGCACAAAGAATCTTAAAGAACTTGTTATATAGACTTTTTAAACCAATCAAATCAGTTGTTACAAAGACAATAAATTACCTGCATGTTTCATTGAGTGTACCATTAGGTGATACAGCCAGTGTAAAGTTCGTGTAACCGTTCAGGTTCCAGTCATACTGGTACTGATATAATAGTCGTGGTAAAAACTCTGACGTAAATGCAATTAAAAATGCCTGTAAATATAAAAATTTGAATATACAAAAATGTATACATTTGTATCATATTAAAGCTCACAAACTGATAATAATGATGAACATGTCGTACTTGGAAAAGTTAAGATTATTCACACACACATTGTGTTAATTGAACATATGTGTCAAAAACATGTATTACAACATAAAACACTGTCATTGCTTAAATTCTTGATCTCTGAATATATTGGGGGAAAACAAAAACAGAAATTAATCAGAAATAATATGCTGGACCTGTAATTTGAAGAAATTGTAGGAATTAACTGACTTAATTACTTCTTTTAATAAACCAAAATGGTTATCAATTTAATAAAATTAAGTAAATGTGTGAAAATACTCATCTTGAATGCAGTAAATGGTTTAAGTAAGAACAACTTCTAACAAAAACTAGAAATGTGTCCATAGGACACGGATGCCCCCACACGCCACTGTTCTGTCAATCTTATGACTCTAGGTCAAATATTTTTTGGACTACATGTGCCACAAGTTGAAAACTAAAAATCAACAAAGGGCCATAATTCTGTTAAATTTGGGCGCAGCAAAAATTCCTTCCTTTACTACCATCTACACATTTAGGTTGTTAACCCCTGGAAGTTTAAGCAAAATCTGCCATCCGGTTTAAGAGGAGTTGCGTTCACAAAGTTTCTACATAGTATATAATGAAAAAATCAAAAAAGGGCCATAATTCTGTAAAATTTGGTTGCAGCAAAAATTCCTTTCTTTACTACCATCTACACATTAAGGTTGTTCATCCCTGGAAGTTTAAGCAAAATCTGCCATCCGGTTTAAGAGGAGTTGCATTCACAAAATTTCTACATAGTATATAGTGAAAAAATCAACAAAGGGCCATAATTCTGTAAAATTTGGTTGCAGCGAAAATTCCTTCCTTTACTACCATCTACACCTGAAGGTTGTTCATCCCTGTAAGTTTAAGCAAAATCTGCCATCCGCTTTAAGAGGAGTTGCGTTCACAAAATTTCTATATATAGTATATAGTGAAAAAATCAACAAAGGGCCATAATTCTGTTAAATTTGGTCGCAGCAAAAATTCCTTCCTTTACTACCATCTACACATTAAGGTTGTTCATCTCTGTAAGTTTAAGCAAAATCTGCCATCCGGTTTTAGAGGAGTTGCATTCACAAAATTTCTACATAGTATCGAGTGAAAAAATCAACAAAGGGCCATAATTCTGTTAAATTTGGTCGCAGCAAAAATTCCTTCCTTTACTGCCATCTACACATTAAGGTTGTTCATCCCTGTAAGTTTAAGCAAAATCTGCCATCCGGTTTAAGAGGAGTTGCGTTCACAAGATTTTGGGACGTACGGACTGACGGACGGACGGACGGACGGACAAGTGCAACGCTATATGCTCCCACATTGTGGGGGCATAAAAACTCCAACTTACGTTACTAATAACAGCCATGTGCGCCAAGGCATCCATGATGGTAAACCAGACCCCGATATCTTGTGCCCTGTCAGCCACAGGTCGCCGGGTCTCGCACACAAACTTCTGAGCATCAATACGGATCTCTAACCAGTTGTTTAACAGGGCAAACAACGGGGCCAGAGGGAATGCAGCCACAAATATTGTTATAAATCCAAACTGTAGCACTATAATATAAAACAAAGTATTTCCATTAAATATCTCCAATTTCTATAACCTGTTAACTGCATAACTGTTGCTAAACTAGTATTTTTTCTTTTTCTCATTTTTTTTTGTTTTATTTTTTTTTTAATTTTTTTTTTCTTGAGTTGGAGGGTTAAGTCATACCAACAATATAAAGGTCATATGGTGACCTTCCAGCCTTACTGGTAGAGGACAGTCTAGTAGAACCATAGTAATTCCGTAAACACGCTGAATAACCTCCTCACATAAAAAACATTCTAATGTCCCTGGTGGCACTTGAACCCACAAACAGCAAAGCTCAAGTGGTTTAAATTTATTGCAAAAATCCTTCAAACGGTCATAATAATCTTATTAAATTCTTGTCAAATATAACTGACCCATTTCAAGATATTCCTCGAACAATCCTTCGTTAGGTATCAACTCATAGTCTGCCTCCCATCTTGCCTTCATACGACTTTTGTCTGTCTTGAGCTTCATCCTGTGCCAAAATGCCTTCAACTTCCTGCAACAAGTTCAAATATATCATCAATTACTTTCAGTCAAAAAATATACCAGTGATGCCTCATGCATAAAAAAGCCTAATTAGCCTTATTAGCTACATATCAATATCAGCATCATAGTTTAAGGTAATAAAAATAGCCTTGTGCTATGTAACAGAAAGGCATTTTGGATTAGAGCTGTCATTGATTCAAGGTAAGGCATATCAACTATATATAACGATATCGGATGACAAATATCAACGATACACCAACATATCGATAAGCTGAAAACATGTTCTGTTCAGTGTGTTGTTTATAAAAGTCCATTGCATGATTTTTATCCAGATCATTTTTTGTCATCATTGCTGTGAAATATTTATCGATTATTGATCGACAAAAATATATCAATGATACATCCATATTGTTTCTATCAATGACAGCTCTATTTTGGATAAATTTAAAAACCAAAATATCAATATTTTAAACAAAACTTGAAGTATTGCAAATATCACACAAGCTAACACAGGCCTACTAAGTTGGTTTCAGTTGTGTATGGGTTTAAATTAACACTTTAATGGTCACATGACAAATTTCCAGCTCTACTGGTGACTGAAGCCCTCGGTTGACCTTTCAAGCATTATTTCAAGGTATGAACCTAAGTAGAACCACTGACTTTCTGTAAGCTAGCTGGACAGCTTCCTCACATGAAAAGAAAATTGAAGCCCTTGTCAGGATTTGAACCTACAGCAGTAAAGAGGCAAGTGATTTGAAGTTTGTTTCCTTGACCAACTGGCCACAGAGACCTTGTTGCCACAGTGGACCCATACTAAATTTCAAATAATCTTTAACATGATGCAAATATTTCTGACTGAGATATGTATACATACGGTAAGATAACTTCCTGGGCGTTATTTATCATCTGTTTACCAATCATGATGACTGCCAACTGCTGGGCTAACTCCACCAGACATCCACCATTGTTACACTGTAATTAAAGGGGAGATAATCTTAAATAGTATTGTCTCAAATTGGAACTGAAATTCCTTCTATTCTCCCTTTCAAGCGGATTTTTTTTTCCAAAGTAAGAGTGATAGCCTAGCAGCAAAGGATCATAGGTTCTTGCCCATTTTATTAAAATGGGCCATAACCATGTTCCTTCATGTGACACAAATACTGGTTGAATTTTCGAGAGTGATTATAAGCTTCACACTTTCAAAACTAAATACATACATGTCGAAAATCATTTTAATACAAAACTTGTTTAAATTTTTGTTTTTAAATATCATAATTTTTATGTATTCAACATTTCATTCATACTTAAATAACACTTTTTAACTACAATGTATTAGAATTATGAACACACTTATGAGAAGATTCATTTCATAATTAAATCAAAGTACAAATGTATGCCATATTTCTCAGTATTATTTACCTCTTCACTACGAAGTCCAAAAAACTTTGTATAATGTCCAGGATAACCTGTAAATCTGAAAATACATTTACCATAATAAATATCGTTAGATAGGAGATAACTAAGTCTGCTTATGCAATAGAAAAAGATGTGCATTACTTAAGTTTTCAGCACACCTGCTCAAAATCTCAAAAACACACCTGTGAATTTGTCTATTGAATTCTGATTGATACAAGGAAGAATGTAAAGAATTATTTTTTTTAATTTCTCCATACTTCTGTGTATATCTGTTTCTCAGGAATGTGAAAATATGGCAGGAATTACGTAATGCTGTAGTAATGCCGAATCTGTGCAATACATGTTTTCAAAATGACCAACACGTTAAATGGTCAATATATCTTATTGTAAATCAAATTAAAAGAAATGAATTGGCAGACACACAAGCATTAACTAAATTAAAGTCTTTCATTTCACCAAATGGTAAATTCTCAATGTATAATACAATTATGCCAGAAGTAAACTTTAAAGACTAAAATAACTTGAATTTGATTATGGCAAAAAATAGCAGTTTTCAAACCTTAACCTCTCTAATATTACTTCAAATCTTGACTTACCTCCCTTTGAAAAATGCAATGTAAATTATAGATGAGTAGAAATGCACAAAATTGGAAAATAAAAACTTTAAATGTCACTGGTCTTCAAATTCAGTCTGTGTTCTATGCATTTCTGGAAATACAAAAATTAAATGAATTCCTGAAACCAAAACCCATGGATTTTTACGAAACAGATTGCACTATTTACCAGTTTTAAAAAATTTAGTAAGCATTTTTGGGGGGCAATTGTATATAGCAAAGTATAATACAAGCATATTCTAAGAATCTTATGCGAGGTTCCTATACCTCTTTGTAAAACCTACATTTTCATATATAAAATCATTATCTTGTTTTTTGTAAGAAGAATGTTTATACAATATTCAATTTTACCTCTGCTACTTAAAAGTCAATGTTGAACTGACAAGAAATTTTTTAAAAATCTACATTTTCAAAAAATATCTAACATGATTTTCTTTCCGAGGCCATAAATTCACAACAACTTACCTCACTGTGTCATCCTCAATGCCAATTTTTCTTATACTCTTCCCAGGGCCATAAATATACAACAACTTACCTCACCTGTGTCATCCTCAATGCCAATTTTTTCTTTATACTTCTTCCCAGGGCCATAAATATACAACAACTTACCCCACTGTGTCATTCTCAATGCCAATTTTCTTATATTCTTCCCAGGGCCATAAATATACAACAACTTACCCCATTGTGTCATTCTCAATGCCAATTTTTCTTATACTCTTCCCAGGCGCCATAAATATACAACAACTTACCCCATTGTGTCATCCTTAATGCCAATTTTTCATATACTCTTCCCAGGGCCATAAATATACAACAACTTACCCCATTGTGTCATCCTTAATCGGCCAATTTTTCATATACTCTTCCCAGGGCCATAAATATACAACAACTTACCCCATTGTGTCATCCTAATGCCAATTTTCTTATACTCTTCCCAGGGCCATAAATATTACAACAACTTACCCCATTGTGTCATTTCTCAATGCCAATTTTTCTTATATTCTTCCCAGGGCCATAAATATACAACAACTTACCCCACTGTGTCATTCTCAATGCCAATTTTTCTTAATACTCTTCCCAGGGCCATAAATATACAATTACTTACCCCACTGTGTCCATCCTCAATGCCAATTTTTCATATACTCTTCCCAGGGCCATAAATCAGAATCAAGTTAACAATGGCCGACGACATGCTGGCAATAATTTGGGCACGCGGACGAGTTGTCGGGTTTTTGGAACAACGGAATGCCTCACCAAGTAACACGGTAAACATTATTACAGCTATGATAAATATAATAACCAATGTCATCTGAAATATTACAAATAACAAATATATAAATACAACATTTGACAGGAGAATCGTCAGGTAAAAAGAATAGTTTTAAGGCAATATCAAATTTCAAAAAATTATCAAATAAAATTATTTTTTGGACAATACACATGCACCAAAGGAAACTTTATAACAATCATTTTGTGAAAGTTTGGCTGAAATCCCTGAGAAACATGGGAAGGAATTAACAAACAGAAATAACTTTTTTTAAACCTAGGGTGTTACTTTAATGTAAAAACTAGACTTTTCTCTTAAACTTCCAGGTTAACTAATATTTTACCTAAGTTACAGGGACTACGTTATCATGGCCAAATTTTAATGTTTTGTTCAGATCAAAATTCTGTTTGAACCTTTTAATCCAAAAAATCAACTAACAACAACAAAAGTTTTCAATGTTTCCTTATAAACTGTGACAATGTGAACCAATTATATAGTTACATTATATTCAAAATTGACATCTCAGTAAAACATCAAGGCAGTACCAAAAGATGTTTTGTATCTAAATGATTTTGTCCTTAATATCATTTATTTTAATTATAATACTTGCACCTACCATATACTATAATTAACTGCAATACCAGAGAGAAATTCTGGGTAATCGTTTACGCGCCGCGAAGGAAGTACGGCTCTTTAAACGCGAGTGATGGGGATTTCCTCGTATTTTGGGGCTTTTTGCTGCATATTCTGGTCTTGGTCTTTCCTGCAAATAAACAATATTCCCCATTTTATGACTATTTTAGAAAAAACCCCATTATGAAACAAAACTTTTTTAAAAAATTGTGCTTTAATTTTTTTTTCCCCCAAAATTATGGATAGATATAGAATTTTTTAAAAAATTTTGTTTTTTTACACCAAAGGAAAAACAGGGAAACTTTTACCCCCAGGGGGTTTTTTCAAAATTTTGGGGGAAAACTGAAAAAGGTTAAAAAAATTTTTTAGTTTTTAAAAAGAAAGGGGTATCCATAAAAAAGTATAACCCCCCGGGGGAAAAAGGGTTTTTTTTCCCTTTGCATAATGGAGACAAACCAATATTTAGGGGTTAAAAATTTTGCTTTTTTTCTTCCTTCCAAAACCCCCGGGAAGTTCCCCACGGGTTTTTTAATTTAAAAAAAAATATAAATAATTTTTAAAACTCTTACCTCGGGTTTAAAAAAAATTTTAATTTTAACCCTTTTTGCTTGGTCTTGATTAATTTTTGGCCGCCCCCCTTTTTTTAAAAACCTTTCAAACAATTAAAATTTTTTTTTTAATTTTGGCCTTTAAAAAAAAAAAATTTTTCCAAGGTTTTTTAAAAGCAAAGAAAAATTAAAAGAGGGTTTTTTTTGAAAAAGTAAACCACCCAAAAGAAATTTTTTTAAAATCAAGCTTTTTCCTTTGGGTTTTTAAAAAAATTTTAAATTTTTTTTTTGGGGAAGGCCCCAAATTAAAGGTTAAATTCCCTTTTAACAAATTTTAGAATTTTTGACCAAAAAACCGTGAAAGGTTTTAAAAACAAAAGGAACCTTTAAAGTTTAAAATTAAAAGGGGTTGGGAAGGATTGAAACAAGGCAAAGGGGCAAAAAACCAATTTTGACAGGGGTTTTTTTTCGTTTCCCCCCCGTTTAATTTTGAAAACTTTGGAAATCTTTTAAAACCCCCTTAAAAATTCCCCAAAACCCCAAAAATTTGGGGCAATTTAAGGAAAATTTTAATTTTTTTTTAAAAAGAAAAGTTTTTGTTTTTTTCCCTGGTTTTTCATTTTGAAAAAAAAATTTAAAAAAGGGGAATAATAAAAAAAAATTCGAAAAAAAAAAAGAAAAAAGGAAAATTTTGCCCCCCCGTTCCTCCCTTTAAAAATAATACAAATTTTTTGGGGCCTTTAAATTTTTAAAGAAAGGATGAAAAAATTTTTTTTTTTTTAATTTCCCAAAAATGGAAAGGTTTTTAAATTTGGGCAAAAAATTTTTTAAAAAAAACAAATTTTTACAAAAAAATTAAAAATAAAAGTAACCTGGGTTTGGGAATTTTTAATTTTTAAAAAAGGGTTGGGGAAAAAATTCACATTTTGTCATGGAATTTAAAAACCATTTAAATTTTTATATTGGTTTTAAAAAAAATGTGGGAAACTGGTATGTTTTTGAAATTTTTAAAACATTGTTTCAAAAAATTTTTGTTGGGGAGTGAAAAAAGGGAAAATATTTAATGTAAATTTTAAAAATTTTAAAAACCCTAAATTAATTTTCAAAATTAAAATAAATTTTTTTTCAAAAAAAATTTAAAAAAAGGATTTTTAAAAAGAAACCCCGCCTCCCCAACAAAATCAAACCCAATTTGAAATTCCGGCCCAAATTCCTTGAATCGTACATTTTTGGGTTTTTGGACCAACCCCACCCCATTTGAAAGCTAATTGCTTTCTTTTAAGGGGGGAATTGGGAAATTTCCGGGTTGAAATTTTAACAAATTTAAACAAAGGATTTGAAAAAACCAAACCCCAGCAGGTGAATTTTGGAAATTTTTTTAAACCCTATTTAGGTTCTGCTTTTAAAATAAAACGGTTTAATTTTTTTATTTGCCCCAACAAAAAAAAGAAAAGGAAAATTAATTTGAAGGGTGAAAGGATTATGGTTTTCAAGGAATTTGGGGTTGGGAAAGGGCCGTTTTTTTGAATTTTAAAAAGGTCAAAATTGTTTTTAAAATGACCTTTTGGCCCTTTAAAAAAGTTTCATTATTGGTTCCAAAGGTTCTAAATTAACCCGTTTGAAAATTTCCCAAAACCCGGGGCTTTTTTATTATTTGGAAAACGGTTGATTTTAACGGGGCCCTTTAAACCAAACCAAAATGCAAACAATTAAAAAAAAATCATTAAATTGGGGAAAATTTCCAAATTATTTAAAAAATTTTAATTTAAATTTCAGGGAAAAAAAAGGCCAAAATTGGGTTTTTAATTTATTTCCCCAATTTAAAAAGGGCCCCCCTTAAAATTTCCAAAGGGTTTTAATTTAAAAAAATTAATTTTTGGTTTTTTAAATAAGGGGGAAAGGGATAAAAATTTAATTTTTTTTTAAAAAAATTTTTTAAAGGGGTTACCCAAATTGGTTTTCAATTTTAAATGGGAATTTTTTTTAAAAAACTGCTTTAAAAAATTTAAAACAAAAAAACTTTTTAAAAACCTTTTAAGGGGAAAATGGGAAATAAAAATTTTTTCTAAACAAATTTTAAATTTTTGGTTTGTTTTTAAAAAAAATTTTTAAAAGTAAAATTTTAACAAAGAAAGAATTTTAATTATAAAAAACCTTTTTTCTTTTGAACCAAGGGGTTTTAAAAAAACCCCCAAAAAAATTCTTTTTCAAAAAATGGTTTTTAATCTTTTGGAAAAATTTAAAAAATTTTTTCATTTGTTTTTGTGGGAAAAAAAACTTTTTTGAAACGGGGGAAAATTTTTTTAACAAGGGAAAAGTGGGGAATTTCCCGGGGGGGCAACCCCAAAACGGCTTGCACCGTCCTTTTTGGGGGTTTTTTCCAAATTTTTTAAAAAAATTAAGAAAAATTAAAAAGTTAGGGGCGGGCTAAAATTTGGGGTTTCAAAGGAAAAAAGAAATTTAAATTTGTTTAAAACTAAAAGGTTTTGAATTTTAAAAAAACCACTTTTTAAAGGGTGGATAAAAAATATAATTAATTTAAAAATTTTAAACATCTAAAGAATAAGTTTTAAATATTATTTAAATTTTAATATTAATTTAACAAATTTTTTTTTTAAAAGGAAACCCCCGCTAATGAAAATAAAGTTTTTAAAAAACCCCCCCCTTTTTTTTTAAGTTTTTCGTTAAAAAATTTTTTTTAAATTTTTTTGGAATTCAAAAATTTTTTTCCCTTTTAACTTTTTAAAATTTAAATAACTAAAACCATTTTAAAAAAAAATTTTTTCCTTTTTAAAAAAAAAAAAAAATTTAAAACAAAAAAAATAATTTTATAAAAGTTCCAAAATAAAATTGGGAAAAAAGGAAAAAACCCAACAGATGCTTTTTGCCTTTTAAGGGGGCCCGTTGGGAAATTTGAGGGAAATTTAAAATTAAAGGGAGGCGCACATTTTCCAAATGTCGACGAAAAAAACCAAAAAAGGTTAAATTTTGTCCGCGCCCTCGCTCAAATTTTTTTTTAACCCTTTCAAGGTTTTAAAAACCCAAAACAACAAAAAAATTTATTAAATACAATTTAAAATTCAAAATTTGGGAAAAGCCTCGATTCTTAGCCCAAACCAAAAACATTGGGCTCCCCCCGAAATTTTTTTCTGTGGGGGGAAAAAATTTTTTTAACAAACCCAAAATGAAAAATTTTGTTTTTAATTAGTGAAAAAATTTTTGAAAAATTTTTGGGCTTTTAAAAACCTTTTTTATACGTAAAAAAAAATTTTTTCCCCTTTAAAAGAACAAAAATTTATAAAGTTCAAAGCATCTCCTTACACTAAATCAACTTCAATTTCTCTATTCAGAGACTCAATGAAAGATGCACACCAAAAAATACACCACTCATTAGACACACAAATTATCATAAATATCTCTTACAGAGAACCTTCTTCACTGGTGGATCAATGCAATTGTCTGATTTATAATGCAAATAATAGTGCTTTAAATGTCAGTTAAAGATCATATTTTCTTCACCTAACTTTTAGATGACACCTATACAGCCCACTCATTCAAATATTTGAAAGGTTATTTATTTAGAACAGACCTATCTAAAGATATGAAATGTAGAAATGGCTGAAATCTCTCACTTCTTTTAATTAAAAAAAAAAATAAATACAATTTCAAAAAAACCAATACGAAGGCAGATATAAAATGGTTTTGGGGTTTTTTGTTAATTTTTGGTTTTCCCTTTTTCAAATTTTTAAAAATAATTTTTGTTCCTGAGAATAAAATATTTAAATCAAGTAAAATTCCCCGTTGAAATATCCCTTCAGGTTTAAAACCTTTGCAAAATATTAAAAAAATACCCGGGAAAAATTCAGGGGTTGAAATTTAAATTGTTGAAAATTTTCCCCATTTTTCAAAATTAAAAAAGAAAGTCCTGATTTTTCTTTCCCCATATATTCCCTTTTAAAAACCCATAAAAGAGGGTTGAAATTTTTTTTGTGGGGGGAAGTTTCCCCATGGTACAAAATTCGCCTTTTTTTAATTTGGGTCTCGAAAAAATTTTGTAAAATTAAAAAGGGACATTCAAGAAATCGATATTTTTTTTAACAAGTCCCCCCTTTAAAATTCTACTTACTGAAATTATACTGTATTACAAAGAAATAGGTAAAGCTTACCCCAAAAAGAGACAAATATAGAGTAAAACACTGTAGCTGGGTGATCAAACAGATAGGCCACTCTTGTATATATACAAACATCTGATAGGTACCAGTATGGACAGCCTATGTTCACGTCACATAAAGGACACATCTTGTACGTCTGATAACTGTCACACACCTCGTTCCTGAAAATATATATAAAACAGGATGATGATGTGGGTTCAAACCCTACTGGCATTACAACCAGCTCAAGAGAGAGAGAGACAGGTTCATTTTAGTTGCAAGCTTCCACCACAATCTAGCTTTTAAAGTAATGTTTCACCACAATCTAGCTTTTTAAGTAATGTTTCACCACAATCAAGCTTTTTAAGTAATGTTTCACCACAATCAAGCTTTTTAAGTAATGTTTCACCACAGTCTAACTTTTTAAGTAATGTTTCACCACAATCAAGCTTTTTAAGTAATGTTTCACCACAATCTAGCTTTTAAAGTAATGTTTCACCACAATCTAGCTTTTAAAGTAATGTTTCACCACAATCAAGCTTTTTAAGTAATGTTTCACCACAATCAAGCTTTTTAAGTAATGTTTCACCACAATCAAGCTTTTTTAGTAATGTTTCACCACATGTAGCTTTATAAGTAATGTTGCACCACAATCAAGCTTTTAAAGAAATGTTTCACCACAATCTAGCTTTTTAAGTAATGTTTCACCACAATCAAGCTTTTTAAGTAATGTTTCACCACAATCAAGCTTTTTAAGTAATGTTTCACCACAGTCTAACTTTTTAAGTAATGTTTCACCACAATCAAGCTTTTTAAGTAATGTTTCACCACAATCTAGCTTTTAAAGTAATGTTTCACCACAATCTAGCTTTTAAAGTAATGTTTCACCACAATCAAGCTTTTTAAGTAATGTTTCACCACAATCAAGCTTTTTAAGTAATGTTTCACCACAATCAAGCTTTTTTAGTAATGTTTCACCACATGTAGCTTTATAAGTAATGTTGCACCACAATCAAGCTTTTAAAGAAATGTTTCACCACAATCAAGCTTTTTAAGTAATGTTTCACCACAATCTAGCTTTTAAAGTAATGTTTCACCACAATCTAGCTTTTTTTGTAATGTTTTACCACAATCAAGCTTTTTAAGTAATGTTTTACAACAATCAAGCTTTTTAAATAATGTTTCACCACAATCAAGCTTTTTAAGTAATGTTTCACCACAATCAAGCTTTTTAAGTAATATTTCACCACAATAAAGCTTATTAAGTAATGTTTCACCGCAATAAAGCTTTTTAAGTAATGTTTCACCACAATCAAGCTTTTTAAGTAATGTTTAACCACAATCTAGCTTTTTAAGTAATGTTTAACCACAATAAAGCTTTTTAAGTAAATGTTGCACCACAATCAAGCTTTTTAAGAAATGTTTCACCACAATCAAGCTTTATAAGTAATGTTTCACCATAATCAAGCTTTTTTAGTAATGTTTAACCACAATTAAGCTTTTTAAGTAATGTTTAACCACAATTAAGGTTTTTAAGTAATGTTCAGAGACTGCTGGGATATTATTGATACATTGATATATTGTGATACATTTCAAGCAGTGATAGCCAACTCTAGTTTATTCTATACACAGACTGTTAAAATTTCACAAGTGACTCTGCCAATCATCAAAATGTATGATGAGTTAAACTGTGAAATATATAATTTATCTAATTCTTCTTTATCAACTTCAAGCAATGTTGTGTTAGATTCACAACCGTCCTATGCAGGGTTTTCATTTTTATGTGAGGCAACAGAAGTGCTATCAATTATAACCGACTTGACTAAGGGACAGGCTGAAAATACAACAGATTTTAACAGCATTTCGATCACCGATCTGTTTGTATTAAAACCCTGCCTTTATGATGCTGCATTTTATATATTCACTGCTGTTAATAAGTATATAATAGAACTGGGCTAAAACTGCCTGTTTATTATTGGTATCTGTTTACTAATTTTGTCAAACTATCGGAGAACTAATTCCACTGACAGTAAAAGAATTGATGCGATTGTTTGTTGTCTGTGTCCAGTGTCCACTCTGGGAGAAGGTTTATTGACCAATATGATATTTCGCTTCTCTTCCACTTTGTATAGGAGACAAAACAAACAGAGCTGATTGTCTGGTCACTGGTCCAAAAAACCTCTACTAGAAGGTAAGAATTGGTTTAAAGGCCTATTATTCCCCAGAAATGCTTTTATTTCTCAAAAGATTTTTACTTTTGGTGTACTTTTGTAGTTTCAAAAAAAAATAAAACAAGAGGGCCATGATGGCCCTGAGGTCGCTCACCTGTATATAGGCCCTCCCCAGCCCCCCCCCCCCCCAACCCAAGGACATTTATTTAAATAAACTCATTAGAAGATCTCATTGGGTTTTTTAAAAGAAGATTTCTTAAGTTTTTACTATACACATATAGTTAAAAACAATGACACCCCTGGGGCGGGGCCAGTTTTGACCCCAGGGCTTTTATTTGAACAAACTTTGTAGATATTTACTAGAAGATGTTTCATGCTTAATATCTAAACTCTAGCTCAAAGGGTTTTTTAAAAGAAGATTTTTTAAGTTTTTACTATACACATATAGTTAAAAACAATGACACCCCTGGGGCAGGGCCAGTTTTGACCCCAGGGCTTTTATTTGAACAAACTTTGTAGATATTTACTAGAAGATGTTTCATGCTTAATATCTAAACTCTAGCTGTTTGGGTTTTTTCAAAGAAGATTTTTTAATTTTTATACTATATGCATATAGGGAAAATCAATGACCCCCTGGGGCAGAGCCAATTTTGACCCTGGGGCTTTTATTTGAACAAACTTGGTAGACACTCATTAGAAGATGTTTCATGCTAAATATCTTAGCTCTAGCTCTTTGGGTTCTTTAAAAGTAGACTTTTTAAGTTTTTACTATATGCATATAGGGAAAATCAATGACCCCCTGGGGCGGGGCCAATTTTGACCCCAAGGGCTTTTATTTGAACAAACTTGGTAGACAGTCAATAGAAGATGTTTCATGCCAAATATCTAAGCTCTAGCTCTTAGGGTTATTTAAAAGAAGATATTTAAAGATTTTTCTTTCGGTTGCCATGGCAAACAGAGTTCTGCATGGAATTAAATTCTTTGAACAATTTTTAAAGGTGACCACCAAAGGAACATTCCTGTGAAGTTTGGATGAAATTGGCTAAGTGGTTTATGAGGAGATGTCATTTAAAGCAAAAGTTTACGGACGGACGACCGATGGACGGACGGATGCCGGACGAAAAGCGATCACAAAAGCTCACCCTGTCACTCTGTGACAGGTGAGCTAAAAATAGTCATTGGCCAAGTACCTAAAACATCACTTACTTCTGTTGCATTTTAGCAATTAGTTCAGTTAAAGTGATTTTTGTATTGTGTATGGAAGTCAAAATACAACTTTTCTAATATCTTGCTACAACTATGATAAATTATTACACAAAAAGTTCTACATTTTTCAGGTAACAAGCATCTAAAACTCTCTAAAACCATTATAATATATAAACATAATGAACATCATGTTTGCCCTTTCTAAAGAAGTAAAATTGCATTAATTGTTTCTGAGGCATAATGTGCCTTTAACATGTACCCTGCTTAGCAAAAAGTTCAAAGCCTTTACCACCAGGCTAGCCTGCACAGCCATACAGTATGATCAGGCTCTATACTGTTGGCAGACTAACTTTAAAATTTTCACCTTGATACCCCTAAATTTGATAATGGACAGTCCTAAAATTGGTTGCTGGACAAGTCCGTTTTCAAAATTTAGCTGGGTAAGGAATAAAGCTGTTTGCCTTTCAAAGTGATTAATATAAGTTGCAAGAACTTGTTCCACAATCAAGCTTAAATAAATATCTTTAAACCAAAATGTGTTGCTTTGTGATCTTTTTATTCTACAAAGGAACTATATAATGTATACATACGCTGGTGTGTTATTGGACATGGTGAATACACCGTACAGGAAAACAACCACTCCAACAAATGCAGCGGGGAGGAGCCATGCTGTATAGAAACCTAGAAAATAGAAAGAGTAGATGTTATCTGGAACTCGGCAAATGTGGGTTTTTCCTGGAGCTGATCCCTTGTTACAAACAATCTTTTACTGTTATATCTTCACGAAGCACTCCTTTAAGAATAGTTAAGTCAACCTTCTGCGCTTAGTTTTGAAGCTGTGACTATAAAAGTTTGTATGTACCTGGATCAGCTGGGAAAAACCAATCATATTCTTTATTCTGAAGCAAGCCTATATTTAGTTTTTATTTTTTTTTATCATTATTACCCTTACTGAATCTTGATTCCTTAATTATGCTTCCACTTCTCCAATCACTCCTTTATTTTCATTCAAAGAATTATTTTATCACAGTGAAAAGATAAATCATTTAATTTTTCCTTATTAAAAATTGCTGTGCCTATTTTTCTTTGGAAAAAAAGAAAAGAAACTAGAACATAATCTCAGATCCACCTGAATTATTGGCAACATGCCAATAAAGAAATTTTAATTGAATTAGAAAATAGATAGCACCAAGAGAATGTTTTTTTTATGCAAGTTTATTGACCCCTGATTAATAGGCCTTCTCTTTTGTTTTATTGGCAGTCTTGATTAACTATTGCTCTGTTACTTTATATAATTTTTTTTCGTGCATACTGATCAAGCTCTACACTACTGGCTCCAAATTAATTCAAATCCCTAAAATAGTCCAAAATATCTATAAGCAAAAGTTATTTTTCACATTGGTCAAATCCACTTCACATTTTCTTCCGATATATGTGAAACTGTAAAAAAAAAAAAAAAATGTATAATGCAAACTCTTTCAATAAAGGACTAACCCTATAATTGATCACAAACAGTTCTAAACAATGGAAGCTGAACAAGTTTATTTAATAAATTCAGGAGGTTAAATTTTTAATATGGATCGTTTACAGCAGATGTAATTAATATCTACATACCTAGCCATGCAAAATATATGCCAATTTTTTCGCCGAAATATTCTCTGATGTGATCTAGGGGCTGGTATTTATTCCACTTCCACCATCTTGCCCAATAATGATATAAAACCTGGCGAGGATTGTAAGCTTCCGGGTCAAGGTTGCTGTATTTTGGGATTTCATATGGTCCCTGAAAACACATATTATAATTATTATTATCATCATCATCATTATCATTATTATTATTATTTTAATTATTATCATTATTATCAGTATCATTATCATTATTACTATTATTATTATAATTATTATTATTATTATTCTTATTATTGTTATTATTACATGTTTTATCATTATTATTATTATCATTATTACTATTATTATTATAATTATTATTATTATTATTCTTATTATTGTTATTATTACATGTTTTATCATTATTATCATTATCATTATTACTATTATTATTATAATTATTATTATTATTATTCTTATTATTGTTATTATTACATGTTTTATCATTATTATTATTATCATTATCATTATTACTATTATTATTATAATTATTATTATTATTATTGTTATTATTACATGTTTTATCATTATTATTATTATTATTATCATTATTACTATTATTATTATAATTATTATTATATTTATTATTATTATTATTATTCTTATTATTGTTATTATTACATGTATTATCATTATTATTATTATTATTATTATGTATTTATGTTTAAACAAATTAAAAGTTCTTAGGGAATATAATTCAAAACAGATTATAATGAGTTATAAACCTTCAAAATATTTTCTGTACAAAAGCTTAACAAGAAAACTGGATGTGACACCTCAGGGAGAGTAGGATAGCTTTCCATTATTTTACTTTGTATAGTCCAACTAACAATGTTTAACTGCACAAAACTTTCATAAGAAATCTAAATATGGGTGCGGGGTAAAAAATTGTCTTCTGGTTTGACATATTTTTTTTATTAGACAGGACTGAAAATATTTTTTCAAGATTTGTATACCCTTATTTTTTGTTTCTCTTTTTTTGTGTGTGTCTTTTGCATAGTTTTTTCATTTTAAGAACCCCAGGTGATCCAATATTATTAGTATTTCAATTTTATGTTTTTTGGATTTTGGACCTTTGTGGAACTCCTTTCATTTCAATTTCATTTGGCAATATTCCCCAGTTTTGTTATTGATTTTTGTTATTGTTACTTTTTTATTTCAAATCTTTCATAATTCACTTCTTTTAATATTTTGCCTACATATTTGCCTAATTTACAGTTTTTGAACCTTTTTCACAGCAATGGTATTGCTTGGCCTTTTGAAGGAAATATCTAAAACTATAATTATTCTGGAATTTCCATAGAAACAAAGTTAATTTAAGGATTTAATGATCAATTATTTTGTTCCTAGAACACTCATTAAGTTGTCCAAGGTTTTATCTACACTGCCTATAATTAACTAAATTTTTGCTGCTTTATTTTCCATTTCCAAGCCAATCAAAACCCAGTAATTTCACACCTTTATTCTCAGCAGAAAATGCTGACATAGATAATTCTTTCTCTCGTCTCATCACAGGGATAAATTACCATAGACATATTTACTGATAAGTGATGGTCATATCTTTAACATTTAATATCCTGTCTTTCACAAAAATTCCTTTCTAAAACAGTAGATAAAGATTATAGGTTGACAGTCAATTATCACCATTCATAATGACCTTATTCTATAAAACTGTTGTCCTCGAAAAATAATAAAAAATTCCTTTTAGAAAAAAATCAATAATTTGTTTGTCAGATTTTTGTCAGTTATAAATTTTCCATGACATCTGTCAATAAATAAAAGCTGTATGAACAAAAGTGTAAAAATCTATTTTTAGCACTGGTGACCTTGACACCAATGACCCTTTACTCCACTCAAAGGTAGAAGACTACCCATATTATGTTTCCACTAAATATAAAAGACATCTGTCTATAAATAGATGTTTAATGTCCATAGGCGTAAAAAACCTATTTTTGCACTGGTGATCTTGACCTTGACCCAATTTAAAAAGCAAAACGGACCATAAACTCCACCCAAAGGTAGAGGATCACTCTTTGTATGTCCCTATTAAGCATGAAAAACATAAGTTTAAGTATAATAATATTTTCAGTGTTAAAAGGGGAAATAACTGGGAAAAAAGGATGGCACAGTTATATGACTTGGCAATATTTCAATTATTATAAGCATGGCATAAAAATGAAAATTAGTAGATGGGTAAAAGACATGAAGTAATAGCCCTCATAACTTTCTAATATGAAAAAAAAAACTTAAAATATTCCTACACCCTTTGAAAAAATTTATTGTTTCAAACTAAGTTCATAATTATCGAGGAGATATACATATATATAACTGAATTTCAAAATAAGATCAAAATCAGTATTTTTTATTAAATTGTTTCCAGGATATTTTACTATAGAGAATTATAAGCAGCTTGATTTAGATTGGAAATATGAAAGACAATATATTTGTACAACAAATGAAATCCTGAAAAACAGATGATATAATAGGTTCATCAAGTACAGTTTTGTTTCCTGGTTTCACAGCTGCTGTGCATTAACAGATGTCACAAATACAGTTAAAATTAATTAATTTATGGATAAAAAATATTTAATTATCTAATTACATTGGAGTTTTTTTATACTAAATTTATTACTATAGCAAATAATTAATTTTCAACAACACAGCAGTAATGTGGAGAGTATATATACAACTTCCGTTTATATTTCATATGTATGTTAGTTATGAATATATTTGAACTTTTATGAAAGGGGAGACAATTTCAGGTCATACAGTGATTGTGAAAAAAACATATAGTACTTTTTGCATATTATATACCTTTTCTGCAGGGGTGTATTACATACATTCATTAAAGCACAAAAGTTCTTTATGTGTATATTATTTAGTAATAGAAAGAGCACCAAAACACGAGGCTTTCTGATTTGAACTCAGGGGCTATAGCCCCCGAGCATAAATCAGATTGCAGAGTGTTTTGATGTTATTTCTCTTTTGTATCATAGGCAAAAATGAAAATATGTTCCCTGTTTGAAGTCTGATTAGAGATTTTAACACATTCTGGTCATATCTTGGCAGTGAATCTTTCTAAGTAGCTTTCCTGGATAACTAACCAGTTATTACCAATTTCTCCACAAGTAACCAACAATTGATCCCACGTGATTTCTAATCTAAAACAGCGTGACAGACAAATGACCATTAAACTCAATGTCTGGAATGAATTGTCACAGGGAATTTTCACCTCACCTAAGGACGAAACCTCCAGTGGACCCTGATATACTAATTAGATGCTTTTCCTATTCAGCTAAAATATCCAGGTCGACTTGAAAACATAAATATGTACATGATAAAAGCCAGACCACAACAAATAATATTCTTAGTATAATAGGACTATGTACTTTTAATAATCTAGGTTTACTGACTACTTATAATCATCTATATAATGTTTTGCTTTCAGAAAGAAAAGTTTCAGGTCATGTAATAGGAAGGATGGAACCTGAGTGACCCTTGGAATGCTAATTCAAAAAGCTCCCTATTGAGCTATTATGATAAATATATATATAAGAGCCAGACCACACCTAGTAATATTCATAGTATAATTGGACTATGTACTTTTATAATTATCTTTTTTCAATATTTTTTAGCTTTCATATATAAAAGTTTCACTTACATCGTGTAATGGGAAGGCGGCACTATATACGCCCTCCTCTATCAATCTTTCTATACCAATCTCCGCCCTCTTCCTCTTGCCGTACGCGGCTGTAGTCAATATCTCCCATACTATACGACTTCTTTGTGTAGTCGAGAAATATGTCTCGTGATTACTGCTACCCAGAAACCTGTAAATCAAGGTCAAGGTTAAATATTTACAGCTTAACCTGTAAATCAAGGTCAAGGTTAAATATACTAGTATACAGTTTAAAAAGAGGTTAAATTTATAACAAGAGGGCCATGATGGCCCTGAAGCGCTCACCTGTATATAGGCCCCTTGGCCAAGGCCGATTTTAAACCAGGGGCTTTCGTTTGAACAAACTTGGTAGACACCATTAGAAGATGTTTCATGATAAATATCTAAGCTCTACCTATTTGGGGTTTTTATAAGAAGATTTTTTAAGTTTTTACTATATACATATAGGGAAAATCAATGAACCCCCCCCCCCCCACAAAGGGGCCAATTTTGACCCCTGGGCTTTTATTTGAACAAACTTGGTAGACACTCACTAGAAGATATTTCATGCTTAGTATCTAAACTCTAGCTATTTAGGTTTTCTAAAAGAAGATATTTCAAGTTTTTTCTTTCGGTTGCCATGGCAACCAGAGTTCTGCTTGGAATTAAATTCTTTGAACAATGTTTGAAGTTGAATACCAAAGGAACATTCCTGAGAAATTTGGATGAAATTGGCTTAGCAGTTTATGAGGAGATGTTGTTTAAAAGTAAAAGTTTACGGATGGACGGACGTTTTGTTTTTCTGGCTGTTTGTTTTATCTCCACATCATCTTCAGCAATCTAAAACATGGAACTAATCACTCAATTTCTCATTATCTTGCTATAGCTTACTGTGACAGAAATGAGCCGTGTCACGACAAAACCAACATAGTGCGTTTGCGACCAGCATGGATCCAGACCAGCCTGCGCATCCGTGCAGTCTGATCAGGATCCATGCTGTTCGCTATCAGTTTCTTTACTTGTAATAAGAGTTGGTAAGCGAACAGCATAGATCCTAATCAGACTGTGCAGATGTGCAGGCTGGTCTGGATCCATGCTGGTCGCAAACACACTATGTTGGTTTTGTCGTGACGCGGCTCAAATAGTATTTCAAGTACCTATCAAGCTTGGACTTTTTGAAAGCACAAGTATAATAGTCCAATGGTTGATGTGGGAGGTCTTCATGTAGAATATTTGGTATGTGAACAGCTCCCAGTATCTTGTCTGACCAATTACTCCTCGGATTTGGATGTGCCTACAACAATAATATATATGAGCCGCGTCACGACAAAACCAACATAATGCGTTTGCGACCAGCATGGATCCAGACCAGCCTGCGCATCCACGCAGTCTGATCAGGATCCATGCTGTTCGCTTACAAACTCTATTACAAATAGAGAAACTGATAGCGAACAGCATGGATCCTGATCAGACTGCACGGACTCGCAGGCTGGTCTGGATCCAATGCTGGCGCAAACGCATTAAGTTGGTCGTGATGCGGCTCATATATGTATTTATTAAATGCTTATAGACTTATACACAATAAAACTATTCATATCAATCAAATGTCACTTTAATTAGTCCAGGCTCTATACTGGTGGAAAAGGCTAATCATTTTTGGTTCCAGCAGGTAAAGGTATAAAATAGCCTGGCCCTGAGTTTCTATTTTATATATTAGGTCACATTTTATTCAAGCATGCTTCATTGAAACAATAGGACAATCCATTGCATAATTACACGATATATGCACAGCATAATTACACGATATATGCACAGCATAATTACACGATATATGCACAGCATAAGAAATGGATGCTTACACGCCATATGACATCATACACGTATAAACTTATTACAAATGGCATCAGGAAAATCACTTCTACTCTCAATGTAGTGCAACCTATTTATAATCAATTCTCTTTTATATTGGCATGGAAATTGATATTAATTTTTTTGCATTGCATATAATAATGCACAATTTATCATTCAAATGCTTTGCATTAATTACTCAATCAGGCCTATGACCCTTCCAGATTATATTCCTGTGCATATTCACTCGAACAGAGCATTATTCTACAACATTGCACGTCAAAATTCATATCTATTTCCTAAATATATTTATTTTCATTTTTATGACAATGACATCAGTTAACTGTAAAAGTGTTATTGCATTGATAGCAAATAAAAACCTTCAAAACACATGTATTTTAGAACTTTGGAAGGTCACACATTTTGTCATGAAAGAAATACTAAGTCTTGTTGGTGCAGCAAACAAATTTCGCAATATAAAAAGTTATTACAGGCTTAAAAAATTTTGCTAGTGTAATAGATGGTGGGAGTGCTTGTGTTGACTGGAACATTACCTGCAAAGGAGCTCTCATGCAAAGATCTTCAGCGTAGAAGACGCAAACGTCCCACGGGGCGTACAGTTTGACATACGTTATCTGCTTCTTTTCACTCTGCACGGTCTCCTGTAATATAGAATATAATATATATACCCTGTAAAAATCAATATCAATTACAACATTTTACGCTTCACATCCATACACGACTTGCGACTGCATCTCTTGTCTCTCAACAAAATATTTTCATTTTCCCGTTGGAAGTTTGAGAGACGCTGAAATAGCAGAATTGTCCTCAATATAATAAAACAGTTGTATTTATATTCAGACGGCTTTAAGGCACTCTGGATTATATTGCATGCTATATAATACTGCTGGAATATCAGTATAAATCTTGTTCTCTTTTATGAATGTATGAAGCTAAGCCATTTGACTGACTTTGTATGATTAAGTCACAATTCCAGCGAAAATTTAATCCATCAATTGTTGAAATTTAAAATCTAAATTTCAGCAGCTGACATTGTATTTATAAAATTATAGTCTCACTACTTTTGCACCAAAGTTTAGGATTAAATTAGTATGTAACAAACACCCCTCTCCTAATTGAAGCCCCCCCAGGCTTTTTGATATGGAAAAAATCTGCTCATGAGTGGTGAACTCTTTAATAAATCCGTAAGTTTATTCAAATCCTTCAGCATCCATTTCATTTCATAGTAAACACAAAAATGTATCACATGAACTTTAAAATCTTAACACAAAATTTAATGTTATTACCAACCCATGTTACACTAAATGTATTTTCAATGATTTTTGGATTTAGGAAAAACGTGTTGTAATAATAGCCCCCCTTTTGGAAAATGTTTAGCCCCCGGGGGCGTTTAATAGGAATTTTACGGTATTATATTATAGTATAGTTACATATATCATTGTATAGTGAGTATTATCAACATTAAAGCTCAATTCACCATATAATAATACATAACCTCAGTGACTTACATGTAATCATCCCTTTTTGTTTTATATCTTCAACATATTGGATTTTTTTTCTCCATCTTGTGACACCACTCAATAAGTGCCCTAGTTTTTTCTAATTAATATTATTGTTGTGTCAGAGCTTAGAAAAAAGAAGCTTTCCACATAATTTGATAGGGTATTTTTATCAATGACACTCAGGAATGGAGTCTGCAGGATTATATTAGTTACCCTACTGACATTATTGCTGCCAGCATTTTATTCATGACAATAGTTGTCTGACACTGTTCTGCCCCTCCAGTTCTGGGTGAAATTCCTTAACATAAATGCTCCCCCCCCCACCCTCAATATTGAACTAACTGACCCCCCACCCACTTTTCTAAATTCTAAATGTATCTTCTAACATCTCTTTTATTGTTACATTTTTTTTCAAATTTTCAAATTAATCAAAATTTAAAATACTATTAATTTGCCAATGTCTCCAAATAAGCATGCCCCCACTTAGCAAAATTCAACAACCCCTGCACCTTTTTTATGGTGAAATATATTAAAGTACGGTATGTACATATTACTTAATTATGCATTTCATAATATCTTTTTCAACATATACTAAAGATTGCAATTGACATTATAAATACATCTAGAGTTTGGAGGAAAAATATTTATAAAGAGTAATTGCTTCCTTGACAAAACAGACAAACAAATATGGAGCAGTAAACAAAAACATATTTCAAAAGAAACCAACAATAAAATTTGAAACAGAATTCTAAAACTGATAACATTATAATACCTTATCTATAAGATTTTTATCAATAATAACACCTGCTTCCTGCAATGTCATAATTCCAATGTTAATTTTGTAATAATAGTCTTTCTTTATACACTTTCTAATCAATTAGTTGTATTTTCAGTATTTTTTTGTTTGTTTGGCTTTTTTGTGCTTTTTTATTAAACTTACCAATGTGATTTTGGAGAAGTGAAATGATTTAAGAACTACATGTATCTAATTAAGGATAATCAAACAACTATTTTCAGTACATTATGTTGTGGAATGAAATATACATGTCGGTCCTTCTTTTACTTGCTGGGGCCATCATTAAAAAATTTTGGTTAGCAGTTGTGCAACAGTGAGTTGATAGGTTGGGATTTTTTTTATTTTTCTTGTATTTAAGTGTTGATTCAAGCAAGCATATGATTATATTTTGATAAAATAAATTGCATGTTGGGCGAGTCAAACAAATTTTTTGAGTTGAGCCAATTTCATTAAGTCATTCACACAACTGCAAACCAACAAGTTTTTAGTTATGACCTGGTGACAAAATATAAGCCTTCTATAGCTACCGCCAATTCTGACACACATCTGTGCGGCCTCAGACCAGGGTTTACACTATTGGCTGACCAACTTCAAATCTTCATCTTGATATCATGTACAGTCCTATATAAATTGAATCTTCAATCCAGGCAACTGGCCATTTAGAAATTCAGTGCTCAGATTAATTGGTCCATCCAAAAAAGATCTAACGTTAACTAATTAAAAATGCAAAAGTCCAGAGATATATAAATTTTTTTTATAGGAGGCAATAATGCCTAATGAAAAACAGGCCCGATATTGGGGGACCAATGGTCACGGGGGACTCATACATATTCTCCCATACAGGGCTAAAAATAAACAATTTTAACAGCTTGTTAATTTAAAGCTCATTTCAACCAATGTATGGATCGCCAATCTGTTAATAATGAAAACCCTTGATTTAAAGTCAATGGCAGTCAGTTATATTATGTAATCTTGATCTAAAAGTGAAGAGGATAGCCATTTACTATCATGCAACATTTCAGGGCAATATCTCAGCATGTTTAATGAATTATATGAGCCGCGTCACGACGAAACCAACGTTATGCATTTGCGACCAGCATGGATCCAGACCAGCCTGCGCATCCGCGCAGTCAGATCAGGATCCATGCTGTTCGCTATCAGTTTCGGTACTTGTAATAGGGTTTATAAGCGAACAGCATGGATCCTGATCAGACTGTGCGGAATGCGCAGGCTAGTCTGGATCCATGCTAGTCGCAAACCCACTATGTTGGTTTTGTCATGACACGGCTCAATTATGGGAAATAAAATCCTGCACTAATCTGATGCTATCATGAATGCGAATGCTGACTGCCTATTAGTAGAGGCAGTGGGATTCCGAAGTCTTATTTAATGTTCAGTTCAGGTATAAAGCAATGTGGTGTTGTTTTTTTTTATACAATGACATGTTCTGAAAATCAATTGTGATACATGGAATGACGTTGTTAGACTGATTTCTATGCAAATTTCACAGCAACGTCATTTTATGTGGTTATAAAAACAGCAATAATTGTGAATAACTCTGAATTCTTAAGTATAACCAACAATAACTATTGTCCTACATAGAGCCTTTGTCTTTCACATGTACACACGAGCATGTTATCTTGGAAGATTGGCGGACCTGTTGTGGCATTAACTCAGAAGGGTGTAGTCCTGCAAAGGATCATCGTTTATGAAACACATTAGCCTTGGAAGTCATGTTGAAGTTCATTTCCTCCAATGAACGAAGAATAGAGCGGCATAAAAAGATGAAAATATGTCACTGATATGACTACAATAAGTGGACTAGCAATGATACCATAGGTGTCGGACATATGGTTAATTCCGGCGTCGGGTATAAACAAAACAAACAACATGCAACCAAAATAATAAGTACAGTGTATATATTATTCATGTATATAAGAGTGACCAAAGTATCTGGAGAGAAAATAACGACAGACTCCCAAGATTTTTTTCTTTCCGAGGACAAAAAACAATATTTCTACAGGAAGTAAAACAACATAAAACTATCACAGATCATTATATAGTAAAAGCTACTTCTGATCTCTGGCGTCATTTTTCATATAATTTTCATCCATCATTTATGTCATGCTTGTAAATTACTAATTGCCCTATAACACATTAATCTTCTGTTACAATCCAGGAGAATAATATGAGCCTTGATCTGGAAATTAGACGAAATCAGTGACTGTGTTAAAATTAAGCCTTTAATATTATAATATAGGCTGAGTAAATTATCCACGCCAGGGCTGTGAGAAATGCCTGGAAATAATTGCTTGTTACTTTATTCATTAGTCTTTTCACTTTTCTATATAACATACAGGATATTTAAACAAGTGTAGGTTCAGTAATGAATTCATTAAACAAGTGTTTTGCAAACTTTTGGCCAAGATCTGTTCAATATCACTTTTCATTGATGCACTTTTAGTGTAATACTAACATAAGTGAGCAAAATACATGACATTATGCAAAACATCATATTTGGAATTCATTCAGAAACAAGGAATGAAAGATTTAATCCTATACACCAATTAGCATAACATGCAGGTTTCTGTATTGACTAAAATTCACAAAAAGACCTGAATTTTTAATGAAAAACCCTGTGCTCCAAACTAAACTGGACATTGCGCCTACCTGCTTCAGCCAATCCTATTATAATGTCACTATTATTATTGTTAAGAAAAGAATGTATAATTTTCTTTATAATTTCTTTATTATACATTCTTGTCAAATAAATTAATTCTACACTCTGGCATCAGATAGACTAAATTCACTGACCTATAACATATTGCAGTAACCCAAGAGACAATAAATTCCTCAAATATGCCTGACATTTCCTACAAGACCAATAAAATAGTGCCAGGCATTCATGCTTTTCTTGATTTACTTAGTCAGCTGGAAAAAAGGGGGGATGATTTTGTTATAAACAATGCATAATAATCATTGTCTATGGTAGCTTCATTTTCCTTCAAATAAGAAGGTTAATAAACTATTTATAGATAAATTTATTGATTCTCCATGAAGATATAAGTCTGAAGCAGCTGTCCAGTTACATGTTTTGCTTACCCCACCCCCATAAGTCAAGAACGACCTTAATAAGTTTTCATTTTGAATTTTGAATTTCAAATTAAATAAAAAAAAAGAGTGATCAGTGATCACACATGCCAATTAGGCAGTTGTATTGAGTGGTGATTGACCAGTTTGTTCCCTGTATGTAGCATGTATCAGCTAGTGTGTAGTTACTATAGCAAATCAAAATTCATTAACAGACTATTATTAAAGGGCCATAACTCAGCCAATGTCATTCAACTGAAAACCCATGTAATATGCGCAAGTACTTGTAAAGTTTCATTCAAATAGAATTACTGGTATAGTAGAAGTAGTCCGGAGAAACTTTAAAAAAAAGTATTGTGGGGCCTTTATAAACTCTCAGAACAAGATCTGTCCGTAAGACAGCGCGCTCGACTTTTTTATTGCTTGCCAATAAAAAAAGTTTTTGCAGTAAAAGGCAATACAAGAATCTCTGTATTTTTAAAGTGAACAATGGCCATGAGCATTAAGATATTTAGTGAAGAATTATTTTACTGAATTGTGTGATACCCTTGAACACTGCAGCAAAGTTTGAAATGTTTAAGTCAAAAGAGGGCTGGTAAGAAAGAAAAAAAAACTAGTTGTTTGATACCCTTGAATATTACAGCAATGTTTATATGACATAATTTATGGTAAAGTGAACAAGTGGATAGGAATGAATTTTTTTAGCTTTTTTAAGTTTTTTAGTGCTTGCCTATAATACAAAACATTGACAGTTAAGGGCCATAATTCAAATAAAATCTTTGACAGAATTACCTTCTCCTGGACATGTTTGGGAATCATGATTGTAAACAAGTATTCCAACTTTCAAATTAATATCTCAAACAGTTCAGTCAAAAAGTGGACTGGTACTAAAAACTTAACCAAGATTCTAAGTCGATAAAAGGCCTTAATTTTTAAAACAAATCCTTGACAGAGTTACCTTCTCTTGCGTACAGATGGGGGTAATGATGTGAAATAGCATTAAAAGTTTCAAAAGCAATATCTCAAAGGGTTAAGGCAATAAGTGGATTTTACCCATATTCAATGTATTTTCTAAGTCAAAAAGGGGCATAATTCTGTCAAAAACCTTGACAGAGTTATGTCCTCTTGTCTGTTGATGAAGGTCGTGATGGTAAACAAGTATGGTCAGTTTCAAAGCAATACCTCCAATGGTTTTGAAATAAAGTGAGGTGGTACAAAAAACTTAACCAAGCTCAATACACTTTCTAAGTCAAAAAAGGGCCATAATTCTGTCAAAAACCTTGACAGAGTTATGTACTCTTGTCTGTAGATGGAGGTTATGATGGTGAACAAGTATGGTAAGTTTCAAAGCCATACTTGTAATACTTCTGAAATAAAGTGGGGTGGTACGAAAAACTTAACCAAGGTGTGACGCCAACGCCGACGCCGACGCGAGTAGGATAGCTCCCCTTTTCATAGAAAAGTCGAGCTAAAAATCACTGAACTTGGAAATGCCGATGATATGCACATCTAGAATAGGTCCTTCTCATCCCTGTAAAGTTTGGATGAAATTGTACATTTAGTTTTTGAGGTGTAGTCCAGACAAGTTTTGTTACAGACGGACAGAATGAATTGGACAGACGGAACGATAGAGATCCTGTCCCTACATGTCATCCCTAGCCTGTAGCAGACAACACAAAAAAGAAGTTAATTCTGCATATTTAGAAATTAGTTAATTGGTTTTATTAATTAGCATACCTTGGAAGACAAGTAATTATCATGTTGTACTCAGAATTCAATTATGAAGGAACTAATCTAAGAATTAAAGAATATAATTGCCTTTGCTCTGAACTGTGATAACACAGATGAAAGACAAATGTTTATTTTGTAGAGTTTGTTTGATTATTGTACAACATCATATTGACATGAAATGCTCCAATTGCATG